CCGCATTATATGCTTTTTCTGGGCGTAACAGAAGCCCTGCAAGAGATAAGATATCGTATTGTGGTCCGTTTGCGCTTGTTAAAAGGTCAATATACTCACATAAAGCTCTAGGAAATCGACGGTATGCCCATATATCAATCTGTGACTCGCTTTTGGGCACGACCGTTGGAGAAGATTCGTCTAACGCGGACAGAAGCGTTATTGTCATCCGACGTGAATGGAACCCGGCAAGTGTTGGACCCGCGGCAAAATGGACAACGCGTCTTGGCCAGAAGCGCTGGCTGCTTGTGACACTCCAAGACGCGACGAACCACCTTTTGTCTTACTCACAAAGACCAGAGAATGTTTCAAAGGTATGTTTTCTTGCAAAGCTCATGTCTTCTGGGCTGAAGTTAGCATGATCAGGCAGTTGACATTATAAACTGGTGTGAGCGAATGCTGGTACGCCCTCCGCATTCACTATGCCTCTTATCTGACGGCTCTGAAGCCGTCGTTTTGCGGTCACCAACAGTGGGAGAACATGATCCCTCCGCAGAAACTTAACACCAGAATACCTAAGCGAGTCCGAGCTGTTCGTTTACTTGAATGATACTGTATACTTTACTCTGTTTGTCAATGAAATGCTGTGGCGCGAAAAGACGGTAAAAGGATGGACATCCATAAGCCAATCAGTGGCTGTGCACACCGCTGCTTTTCGCCACGACTCTCATTGTCGCTCCCCGGGCTGGGCGAGACACAGACACTAGTCCCTCAGGTAGGTGTTTTTTAGCATATTCCGGTCCATTCCAATCTAATGATGCTACGATAGGACTCGGAGCATCAGACATCGTCTTTTCAAATTTGCGAAACCTGTCCTCTGCCTTCATGTCCGCCTGACGATGAAGACACTCGACTACATCCTTTGGCAACTTCTGGTCGTCTACCTGATGACATACTACTGCGTTGCTGGGTGCAGTCATGCCACGAGCCCATTCGCCCGCTGTCCGATTTGCGAAGACATCAGCCGACTTGCAAACCTTACCTTGCTTCCCAGCAATCGGATGCAGCTCGATGAGCGCGTCCGCACTTGGATTTATGAGTGGGGTTACAGGGTCAAGACTGCTGCAGTCGAGCGATTTCTGACTCCGTTCTCAGAGGTCCCAACCTCCGTATGGCTACTTTGAAATCGTTTTTTGACAACATCTAATTCTTACCTCTAGAATGCATTCTCCGACCGCCTCTCGCGGTTTAATTCCGACCGTTCCAAGATGCTCGTGCCCGATTTCATGCACGAGTTTGAACTTGGCGTATTCTAAGCCTTCTTCACACTTCTCCTGCACGTATTTCAAGCCTACGGCAACGGCTGCGTTTCTATTTTGGATTATCGGTACCGTCTTGTCCCAACATTTGGCCAAGCCACAATCCGTCGCTTCACCGAAAACACATCGGCTCTTAAAAAGCTGGCTGCGTGGAACTGGCAAGCCATTCTTGTCGTAGGCCCTTTGTCTTCTAAGCCTCAGATAGTTTAACTCATAGCTTGTCCAGTGCTCGATGCCCGTGATCGAAGGGCTTCTCGATGATCTGAGCGACAACTCCATAATTCTCGACATTCTCTTTACACTGCTGAGTTTCATTCATTCGCAAAGCTCAAGATACACACGGATGATACTAGGGAACCGATGTCCTCCCCAACCGCCGACCAATCGACACCCCCCGTTACCAATCCCCCAACCATGGTTTTCGTTGGCGCGAACATCATCAGCACGTCAGCCAGTCCCTCTGCTCCTCACAGATAAGCATTGCCATTCCGGGGCTGCTCAACGCGCCAAGCTCCGGACCGTATCCGGCCGCCGGGCCGCTGGTCTGTCCACACCCGCCCTCCCGGTCGGCCCACTCGCGCCCGTTTCGGGATCCGGCATCAATTAGCCGATCCCCGGGCCGTTACTCCGGTCCCGATTCACCCGCCCATCCGCTCCTCACTCCCGCCGTTGACCGACGCGTCCGCCCGACGCCATCTCCGCGTTACTGGCTCCCATCGTCACCGTTGTCACCATCGTCACCATCGTCACTCACGCTCGTCGCGCTCCCCGCCGTCACGCCCACTACCAACCACCTCGACCACCCATGCCGTCTGCCACAAACGCGACCGATGACCACCGACTCGACATGCGCCGCGTTTGATCGTCCGTCAGACTCTCTCGCAATACCCCCTTCCCACCACCCAAGCCGAGTTGGTCGAAATCGTCTCCAAATGCGAGGAGGCTCTCTATAATCGCGTTCGGGCAATCGGGGGCTGTACACTGCCGTCAAAGACAACAAACCTGGCCAAATTTATGCGCTCGAAGTCGTACTTGACGATGGCCGTGTTGCCTTCAAAATTGGCTACACCACCCGTGGAAAGAAGCGGCTGAGGGAGTGGGAGCGGTGCCGTCCGCGCCGCTGGGAGGCTGTTTGGGAGGTCCCCACGCCGAGCGGTTCGGGTGCGCCGCCAGGGTTCACCGCAGGGTCCGGCGCTGATGCGCGATCCAGAAAAAATCGCGCATTCTTGGTTTCGTCCGGCGTGGCTAGGCCATGTGCCGTGTCGAAGCTGTCGCCAGAGGCATCGGGAGCTGTTTGGGCTTACGGGATGTGGGGGCCGAGCTGGCGTGTTGATGGGGATGAGCTTCATTCTGGAGGGTATGAATGTGCCTGTTCGGGCGCGTATATGTATAAACCAAATGCAATTAAGCGCTTTTCGCGCGTTCTCGGGCGCTCTCGCCTACCTACCCTTCGAAAAATATCAAGTTTTTATTTCACCAAATTCGTCACCCACCTAATCTTCACATTTCACCATTCGACAAGCGGCGAGTGCCCGATCTACAAACCAACCACTCGACAACGAGCAGCGAGTGCCCGACTCAACGGCTCACCCAGTAATCTCGTCCTCCCACTTTGCCGACGAAAAATGGCTCGTGCAACATCACTCCGATCCCTTCGACCACGCCACGCTCAGATACGCTCAGCATGGGTTCCGAGAAATCTAAGTTCTCGCCTTGCCCCATCCAGCAACGGACCGGCTGCTCTTCAAAATCGGACATTCGATAGATTGCTGGCGCCGCTTTGCGCCAGAATAGATCGCGTTGCTTTGGACAAAGCTTCGTCCTTTTGCTGGCGTTTGCTGTACCTCACCGGATATATCTAGGTATCTTTCTATCTTCTAGCTGACCTGTTGATTAGAACGTGTATTCCACGACAACTTCGACTTTGCGTGCGATGCCTGGTTAGGCAGGGTGTACTGCCCTTTTTAGTTCTATACTTTGTTTCGCAATTCTGTCTATTTCCTTGTGGCTGTTAGGTGGTACCTAGGATCAGGTACTTAGTAGAAAGTGAGTTGCAAGGAGCAACAAGGGTCTCGGCGAGCAATCATAAGGTAAATCCATTTTCTGTATCTGATCATGACGGAAAGCGGTTAGAACCAAGTATGATGATACCAAGCATGATGATACCAAGTATGTATGATGATACCATACTTGATGATACCAAGTATGATGATAATATAACTGAGTCCCAAAAGACAATAGTGATCAGCATGGTCTGAAAAATGACAGACCCTCTCCATTTTCCCCTTTCACATGGGATTGGTGATCAGCACTGTTGGATGATGACGAGGATACGTACTGCTGAGGAGTGCAATCATCAATGTCTTCGGTCATTGGTCTCCTGTATACCGTCACCATTCCAGTCATTACATATCACCACATTTTCCCTTTATCATCATTTTTTGGGAAATATCATCACTTATTTTAAGTTTTGTCCAGAACGGACCGTCATACCAAAGGCTGACAGAGCTGGAGTTGGATGGGCAGCAAACGCGAAGCGAGTTAGCAGTGCTCCGAAATCCTTCACTTTGCAGAACCTTTATGCCAGCCGACAACGCTTTCGCAACCCGGAACTCGAAGTGTGCTTGGTTACAGTTCTCGCACCACTGCCCATCGGAGGTGGCTTTGAAAATCAAGGCTGGTGGTACTATATTACATGGGAGTGTTTTATCTAAAATATCACACAGGCATCGTGTCAAAGACAAGTCCAGCGAGGCATGCGACATTGGAAGAGAAACAAGGGGAAATGCACATACTGCCGCTCCTCAATATAAGCGAGTAGTGGCGCTCAACAAGTAACGTCAACCGGCGCCCGATTGCTGCGCAGGGCGATGTGCGGGATTGGATTGGATTGGATTGATACGTGGCACGGTCCGACTGACGAACGCCGGTTTCCAGGAGTTATCCCAATTGCAGGCTGCTAGCGGTAACATCAGGCCGCACGATGTTCCACGTTCCAGAAGCGTATTCTCGTTGAGCAAAAGTAACATCTTATTGGTCTACATTTGTCTATTCGGCGTGGTAATGTCTTACACACGTTCGCCTGCTTCACAAGCCATGAATTTGGGATCTGGTGTATGCGTCGGTTCACCGTTCAAATTCGCTGACTTTGTGTCATAGTAATGCCATGCTTTTGCAAAGAACAAGTCTTCTCGCATGACTGTAGCCATCGTGAAACACAAGTCCTCCAATGCGTATTCAAGCTTGGAAGTCATTCGAAGAGATATTAACATAACTCGGCGCCGTCCGATATTATTATAAGTATGCCGGCGTCTCAGTGCTGCGCAGTACATAAATCGAAGTTTACCAGCGGTAAATCAAGCCCGCGACGACTCATCGATCCTCCGTGCCTCACACTACTCTATGACCCTACAAGCTCCCAGGATCCTCTCCAGCGCGGGCCTGAGGCCTCCGTGTGTTGGATCCAAACGCGACGTTCTAACACCAGTTCTCCGACGGGTTTTTGCAGAACGGGATGGATGATCCAAGATCAGACAGCACGGCGATGCAACCCCGCGTACGCCCAACGTACTTATTCCTAACATCTCAGACGGGGCAATTATAGTATTGCATACTATCACGTTTTGCTGCGGAATGTGTACCAGCTCCAATGAGGGCGTATAAAAAGCTCGAGACTGCTCTCCAATCCTCAGTGGCACATTCCCCTGCTCTACCTCTACTTACGTTCCACCGAAATTTACAACGATCATCATCATGAAGTTCACGCAAGTCTTCGTCGCGGCCGCTATGCTCGTTTCAGCTGTCCATGCGGGCGTAGTATCTGTAGGACCCTTCTTATTGCGACATTGCTGATCTAAATTCTTGGGCGCAGAGCTCACTACTGCAAGCGACTCCTGTGCGTGTTACCGTGTCCACGCTACATACGTCGAGCTCACTTATATTTCACCCCCAGACCTCTTCGGGGCTTGCCCTCACGCGTACGTCGACGCCGTGGTCTTCTGCCCTCCCCCCGGCGGGCGGCTACGTTGTCGAAGGCATCTACACGACCTGTGTTGCCTTTACTTTCGCAGCACCCGCTGAGCCTTCCGTGAGCTTGGATGTCGGCTATCTTGTGCGGTTTACTTATTCTTCCAGGCTTCTGCCTCCCCGTTCTTCGGCAAGCGTGCCGTGAGCTCCATCCAGGCACCCGTTAGCGCCAGCGCCGCACAGCCAAGCGTCAGCGTGGGCGCCCCCGCCTCTGTCTAGCACCCTCGTCAGTGCCGCCCTCATATCAACAGTGCTATGCTGACAACGTTGGATAGAGCTCCCCCACCGTCGAGCCCAGTGTCGTGTTCAGCACCTGCCTCGTCTTCCTCCCGACGGCGACGGCAGGCCACGGTCATGGGCATGGTCATGGCCCCAGCGCTAGCTTCTCCTTCGGCACGCCGGCTGCCAGTGCCACGATCGTGGCCGGTGCTCCAGTCAGCAGCGCGGCTTGAGATAGAATTGGTAGGTAAATCACTCGAACGATCCTCGGACCATTCAGATCTTCGCCTCTGCCTTGATATTTCAATCTTTTGTCGTAGAGATACAATGACGGACTCGGAGCGGACAACTTGAACTTATTCCGATAGATTATAGTACTAACAATGCAACAACTGAAATTATTTCCGAGTCCACAATAAGTGTTCAAGTTCGCGTTGCTTGAAGATGAGGAAATCGACATTCCCGAAATCTTTACGATGATTCATCGGAAGAGTTGGGCAACTTGACAATAACATATATTATATATATATATATATAGCACTAGCAGGATGTATCAGCTTACATTTTTCTAGCTTGAGAAGATAAGGCCAACCCAATACAATACAATACTCAATATATTAAGTTATATTCCATATCTATATCCAGGGTATGTAGCAAAAATTCTTTAGTATAGAGTATGTACTGTACTACTACTAGTATTGAGTTTCCTCAGAGACCTACACAGGCAGTATTTGTAGATCATATAAGAAGTCATATTCTCTCAGGAGATATGGATTCCTTGCTGGTATTGCACTGGCACTGATCTAACCATAAGTTCAGAATTTATAGATTTGAACAAATCAAAGCTGCCAGTGGTCGTTGTGAATCCCTACAGCAAGCAGACCATTGTTCCGTTTGCGTCGGACACGACTTGGCTTTCAGACATCCAATCGACAACCTGCAACCATTCGCAAGTGGTGTGCGTACTTCTCAGGCTTCAGGCGAAGAGATAATACGAATATTGTTAGTTGCGCTGGCTTAGTACATGGTTACTTTAAAATGTGAGTGGCCACGAGTTGCGCAGCCCCACCGACGCGCTGCCCTTGCCGCTGTAGACCAGCCCGCCATCGTCATCGTAAAGCTTCGCTGTCGTGGCCGTGACGACGAGGAGGTACGTGCCCGAGACGGGGGCGGTCTGCTGGCCCTTGAAGGCGCCGTTTCCGAGGTTGGCGCTGTCACCCGTGCCTACGGCAGTGCCGAGGGAAGCGTGCAGGGTGGTGCCATCACCGAAAAGGATGAGGTCGACGATGGAGGACGCAAATTCACTGTCGGCGTGGTCGAGCGTCGCCTTCAGCGCGGCTTCGTCCAGGGAGGGGACCTTGTCCTTGAGGGTTTTGAGTGCTAGATGATGTCAGGCGGAACAAATCGACAACTTCGGCTGTGGCCTACCAGTGTCCCAGTTCGACATGGTTCAAAGATGAGTTTGTGGAGGGAAAGATGGGAATGAGATCTGAAAGGTTGTTGAGTTCCTCCCAGCTCCAAGTCAAGTCTGGGAAACGAACCTGGTAGTAGAAGCGAGGAGCTCGAACTGAAGTTTGGCGTCGCCGCTCCTCCCTTAAATACTGCTCTCGCTCATTGTTGTTGCTCGCAAGGAACTCAAGTCCGACTCGGGAAGAACCATCAGCGGAAATGATGGCATTCTGGCGCTCGGAATGTCAGGCCGAATGTTGGCCAAATGAATGATGCGGGATAAGTCGCCGGAGGAAAACATCTCTAGTCATTGGGTCTTCGCATCTACCTTTCCCCAAGCTTTTCTCGGCAGCAACGAAAAGGCACAAGTAGAATCGATGTACAGCACCGCAAAAGCCTTGTCTTCGGCATGACTCGGAGTACTTGGAGGTGTTAATAGGCGGTTTGTATCAAGGCCCAAGGATTTTCACTCGCCAGTGCTCGGTACCTGGTTGTTTCTATCACTATGCGCACCCGCGCCGACAGCATTCTTGGTAGGTACCTCGCGGGCCCCGGACACGACTGCCAATTATCCATGGGAAAGGCAGGAGTTCTGGCCGCGCCGAAATTCGTATTAGATTGTTTGCGTGTTGCGACATGGAGCTGCCGTGAGATGAATACAGACCTCTTGTGTCAACAGGCGTTAAGCACTCACCGGTTTGACACAGCAAGAACCCAAACGGTGTTAATATTTGTGCTGTCGCTTGTCTGAAGCCAGCGAATTCACGTCATTCCCCACACCCCGCTCAGCATTCAACATAGGCGATTCCCAGCAGATGACGGTCTTCCGGGGGGGAAGCGTCCAGATGTTTCGTTTCTGAGCTCGTTCTAGGTCCACGAACGACTTAATTCATGATCAATTCAGGGGAGGATAACCTACATTGTCGCTTATGTCGTTTGTCCCGGCAGAGGGTGATGTAGTTTGTTCGTCGGATAGAAGACATTTGTCGCCCTTCGGGGCCCTTTGAGTATCAGACAGCGCGCTGGCGGACCGATGGCACGCGATCTAAGCAGCCCCAACCAACTGACACGACGAGTCGGTAATACTTGGAGTCAATTGTTCGGGACGATGGCGAAGCTTGCGTTAGAAAGCCTTGGGAATCGTTTGAATTGTGCTATAGCATGGGTCGAAGATTACGAATAGTCTAAGTATTTGCGACTCAATCGCCCGACTGTCGGACAAGACAAATCCTCAGTACTTATGAGAGAATGGCGCGGAGTCGTAAGACGCACTGAAGGCATGTATGATGAAGACTGGACGGCGCCGCAATTCTGCCTATTGTTGTTGGAAGGAAGGAGGAAGCGGGAAGGAGCGTGGGAATGATGAGTCACACTTTGCATCCAGCTTGTTCAAGGGTTCTGTCAACGTTCATCGTAATGTTGTTTGCAAAGCTTCAAGCACCCTTCGTTGATAATACTAAGTACAAAACAAGCAATAGTGAATAAGACTGAGGCAATATTATTAACGAGTGCAGGCGCTGTTAGTTTAGAAGCTGATTTGCCAGCTGCCGCGAATGTAGGGCGACGCGTAGCCGATACCGTTGTAGACGACGAGGCCGTTCGCGTTCAGCAGTTGGGCAGTGGTGGCGGTCACGACGAGGGTGTATGTTCCGGCCAACCAACCAGTCTGGAAGCCCTTGAAGGCGCCGTCTCCGGTTTTGCCGCAAAGGCCTTGGCCTTGCTGGCTGTTGGTGGTGACGTAAATGATGGATCCGTCCGCCCAGAGGACGAGAGGGACGACTGAAGCAGCGAATTCTTTGTCGGCGGCGGCAACGCGCTCGTTAAGGCTGGCGGCAGCGGTGGCATCGGCAGCAGCAGGGGCCTTGTCGGTCAGGCTTTTGATCGCTGGGGAGTGTCAGCCGGAGGAGAAACGCGTTAAAGAACGACCTACAAGCATCCCAGGTCGACATGTTGATAGAGGAGAGGTGGGTTTGTTGTGGAGAAACTAAAAGGTATTGAATTGTAACGATGGTGAGTTAAGAAAGTGGTTCAACAGACCTTGTAGTGGAAGCGAGGAGCTTGAACTGGATTTCCCCCTCTTCGTAGGCCGCCTTTAAATACCGCGCCCCGGGTATTGTTGTTGCGCGCAATAGAGAGGCTTGGAGCCGAGCTTGGAAAATGTTCAACTCGAATCACGCCATGTTGACGCAGCGAATGCAAGGGTGAATGCTCCCAGCATGAGAGATGTCATATGTGCCCTGGGACAGGTCCAAGATGCGGAGCAACCCGAAAGGGTACAAAGCTAAATGTCTACTTAACTTCTGGACGCCACCGCCGGTGGCGCACCAGAGTAAACACCGGAAACACATCGGTCGAGTTGAAGCCAAGTTCACGTTTTGGCTGGTGGATGGGAGAAGTTGACCATCGACCGTGAGACAGCTGGGGTCCACGCTCTTGTCAACAAAATTCTACACTGGCTGGTGGGGGAGTCCGAAGTCAAGAACCTGCCGTGACTGTGAATACATGTCAAGATGCCTTCGCCGGATCATCGCACCAGGACATTCAATAAGTATTGTTGGAAGGCCAGCGCGAAAGCCTGACATAAGCGCACAATTAGGGCTCCACGAAGTAGTAGAGTCCATGATGCGTAAACTTCCCATCCAAGTCGCAATCCGTGGGGGAAATTACGAGTGCAGGCGGAATGAGAAAGAGTCATCAATCTGAAGTGTCGCTGATTTCTTGCGCGAACGTGCCAGTTCATCCTGATGGTGTTCTGAGCAAAATAAGATTCAGTTGTGTTGATCGAGTTTAAACAATTGTTTACTCAAGTCTAATTGGAGGTGAGCTCAGCCTACTTACTGCTCCACAAACCACTTACCTGAGCATTCCCCACCTCCCCGTTAAGGTCGCAAGCGGGAATGCGTGAGCGGGGCCACCTGAGCTGCTGGTCGCAAGTGTCTCGCTCAAACGGGTAAGTCGGTCCGATCCGCGCAGCCGTCACGCCTTGACCACGGCCAAAGCAGCAACAGTCCAAGCGCCGCTTGCACTTGGTCTAAGCACCCGCATATTTATACACCTGGCGCAGACGGGTAGACCTCACCCACATCTACTCCGTCTCGCCAGGTAAGCCAATCATGTCAGTCTACTACTTATTATCTCACAATACTCCGTCTCGCCAGTTGTTTCTACGCGCACTCTGAATAAACCTTTTATTCCATCTCTAACTCACTATGACTGATGGCCCAATCCAATCCCCGCATGACGCACCCGTGGCTTTCACCGAACAGCAACGAGCCACTCTCAAGGGCGTGGTTGACAAGTATGCCGCTGGGGAGCTTGACCGAGCTGCTGCAGTTGTCCACCTCACTATCGCCCTCGGCAACATCTGTGTCGCCCTCAAGGTCCCTTTCTCCGCCACCGTTCTCCGTCCCTATATCGAAGAGCTCGAGGGTGTCGATAACCAGCGTGGGGCTGGGGACGGCGGCAGTAGCGGCGGTGCCGGCGGATCAAACAACAAGCGGAGGCGAGACGACGACGACGAAGAGCAGGCGCCGCAGAAACGTCAAAGAATCGACTATGCGGAGCTCCTTCGCCCAGCCCTTTCGGCCGATGAATTTCTTGACACGGTCGTCTCGGCCAAAGCGCTCCTGGTCGCCTCTCGAGTCCAGAAGTTCTCGGAGGACCCGAAGGAGGCAGTCCGAGTCGTTGTCAACTCGCCGCTCGCCCCTGCCTTCCCCCCGGGACTCTGGAAGCTTGTCCTCCTCGACCAATATGTCGACTTCAATCTCATCCGTGCCAACACGTTCGCGACAGAACCCGAGCGAGCCTCCGAGCTCGTCATCGGAGATGGAGAGTTGGAAGTCCGCAAGCCGCGAGCCAGCTCACAGATCACTAGCGCAGCCCAGTGGAATGACGCGTTCTGGATCTACTCAGAGGCAGTCAATTTCGCCTTCCCTGGCCGCGAACAAGAGCTACGTGCCTACAACCGGCACATCAACAATACCTTCTCCAGCACCCACGACTCCTGCCACCACCGCGTCTTCAAGTACGACCGCGCGCTCCGTGTCTATATCGGTCAGACACGGAGTCTCCTCCTTGACGACGCGCGCACCCTTGATCAAATCCGGCACGCCCATCTCTCCGAAACTGGGCTCCACGTCGTTGGAGACATCGAGCGGCACCCGCGACAGCAACAAGCTCGTGAAAGGGGGGCCCGGCCAAAGCAACGGACGGGTCCAGTGGAACTTTGCCGCAACTACAACGCAAACCGCTGCGCGTTGGCGCACTGCAAGTATCGCCACGCCTGCATCGAATGCCAAGGGCCCCATCCCGCTTGCGAGTGTCCTGACAAGTCCACCCGACGCGTCTGAACGGGCTGGTACAACTACGAGATGGGATAGCAAACTCCACCTCTTTGTCCCGGAACTACTGCTTGGGGAAGATGAAGAGTCGTCGTGCTTCCTGCCACAGTATATGCGGGGGATGGGCTGGAAGGGTTTTGAGCCTGTGTCGTACAGCCGCACCGCTCGGTATACGGAGATCGATGAACCGCTGCCGCAACCTTCGCCATACGAGTTCTCCAACGAAACCGCCATCCGAACCATCCATGCCAACCCGGACCTATTCCAAGTCCCCCAAGTAATTCGTGCCGACCACCTCGAGAACCTCCTGGGGGGGCATCCAAATCAGCCCTTTGTGCAGTCTGTCTTGACAGGGTTGCGCGAAGGCTTCTGGTCGTGGTTACACACCCACCACAATGAAGGATACCCGGAGACCTGGGATAACTCCTGGGCTCCACCGCCATCACAGCGAGAGAAGGACTTCATCACCAGTTAGCGCGACACCGAAGTACAGAAAGGGCGTTTCTCGCACCTTTGGCCCCGACCTTCTCCCCGGGATGTATAGCACTCCCATCTTCGCTGTCCCCAAGCCTCACAGTGAGGACCTTCGCCTCGTCTCACACCAAAGCTGCGGCCCGTTCGCTCTCAACACGATGGTTGACAAGGCACAAACGAAAGGACCGCGGATGGACACCATGCAGCAGTTTATTCCCGCCCTCCTCCGGTTCCGTCGCCAGAATCCGCATGCTGTCCTGGTCGTGTGGAAGTCGGACGTCTCAGAAGCCTTCCGCCTACTCCCTGTCCATCCACTCATGCAGCTCAAACAAGTCGCTACGTCGAACATACCAACGAAGGAGGAGCTCGCTAGAGGTGAAGTGGATGGGGCGATCGAACGCAATGTCGACTGGTGCTGCAATCCCTCATAAGGAGAAGAAACAGCTTCACGGATCTTCTCTAACCATCATAGGTTTCGAAGTCGACCCTAACGCTATGACGATTAGCCTCCCCCCTTCCTCCAGATCTGACCTCATCAGCGCCGTTCGCGACTTCATCTCTTCAACTTCACGCCGTCACACGCTGCACGAGTTCCAGTGCCTTGCCGGATGGATCAATTGGTCTTTCAACATGTATTTCCTCCTTCGCCCCGCACTCTCCAACATGTACGAGAAGATGCGCGGAAAGTCGCAACCACACGCACAGATCTACATCAACAAGGCCATCAAGTCCGACCTCGAATGGTTTGTGCAGCACCTGCAGTCCTCCAGCGGGACCCTTATGCTCGATGCACTTGATTGGGACCCCTTCACAGATGCACATGCAACACTACTCTGCGACGCGTCACTGAGCGGCATGGGTTTCTGGCTACCTGAGCAGTTGCTAGGTTTCTATGGACCTGTGCCCTCTGGAGTACCATCCGACATCATATTTTACTTTGAGGCTCTTTGCGTCGCCTCCGCGCTCCATTGGTATTGCAACAATGTGCTCGCTCGCACAACCACTGCTTCTCGCTACCGCATCACGATCTTCACTGACAATTCGAATACAGTCAGCATTTTCAGTTCGCTCCGCGCCACCCCACCGTATAACACAATCCTGCGTAGCGCGGTCGACAACCTCATCAAACACAATGTCGATCTGCGTGTCCTCCACATCAAAGGGGAGAAGAACTCCGTTGCCGACGCGCTGTCTCGTGGGCAGCTAGACAAGGCCCGAGAACTTGCCCCCGGCATTGTAATCAACAAGTTTCAGCCCCCTCAGGATGCGATGGGGGTGGCCGGAAGATGATGACCTCCGCCGTCCCGTCCAGGCAACCCTCCCGGCCTGCCTGGACCTTGGAGCAACTCGAGCGCGAGCTCGCTGTTGCCCTCAACGCCTCTATTGACATCTCATCAGCTCGCACATACGGCTCCGCCCTCAATTCCTGGATTGAATTCTGCCGACTTCATAAGTTCTCCACCGAACCAACAGAGAAAACGCTGGCCTACTTCGTAGTCTACCGCTCCACTCACATAAGCCCTAACTCCGTCGACTCGTACTTATCTGGGATCTGCAACCAGCTTGAAGCCGTCTTCCCGCGCGTGCGAGAAGTGCGGAAAAGTCTGCTTGTCTCCCGCGCGCATTGAAGGGAAGCAAGCGCCTTCACGGCCGCCCGGTCAAACGCAAGAATCCACTGACCCCACAACACCTCCGACAAGCCATCGAGGCCCTACCACCTTCCCCCTCCCATGACGACCTTCTCTTCATTGCCATGCTGCTATCAGGCTTCCGCGCACTCCACCGCCTTGGAGAACTCACGATGCCAGATAACCCTCGGCTGCGCAACCCTCGGAAGTACACCCAGCGCGAGAGCGTTGCTCTGAGCGATCACTCATACGAGTACTGGCTGCCTGCTCACAAAGCCGACATCGCGTTTGAAGGCAACCGCATCATAATCTCCGACGCCACCGCCCTCCTGCACTTCCGGCGTTACTTGACGTCCCGTGATCATCTCCTTCCCCTCAACCCATACCTGTGGGCCCGCGAAAACGGTCAAATGCCCGCTCGCGCCTGGTTCATCCGACGCTTACGACACTTATTTGCGGACCCCAACATTGCTGGCCAGTCACTCAGGGCCGGGGGGGCGACAGCCCTAGCAGAGGACGGAGCGCTCCCACACATTATCCAGGCGGCTGGGCGGTGGTCCTCAGATGCCTTCTACGTGTACCTCCGCAAACACCCAACCCTCCTCCATGGCATACTCCGAGCAGGCGGCGCTACCGCGAGCACCTCATCATCATAACCTCCTCTCAACATTACCCTCTTAGCCTATTTCGGCTCCTCCCGCTTTGCGCCGCCTGTAATCACATCATCGAGCTTCGGGGCAGCGCCGCCCGAAGCTGATTTTTCCACTAAACGCGCAGCGTTCGAACAACGACAATTAGTCGAGTTTAAACAATTGTTTACTCAAGTCTAATTGGAGGTGAGCTCAGCCTACTTACTGCTCCACAAACCACTTACCTGAGCATTCCCCACCTCCCCGTTAAGGTCGCAAGCGGGAATGCGTGAGCGGGGCCACCTGAGCTGCTGGTCGCAAGTGTCTCGCTCAAACGGGTAAGTCGGTCCGATCCGCGCAGCCGTCACGCCTTGACCACGGCCAAAGCAGCAACAGTCCAAGCGCCGCTTGCACTTGGTCTAAGCACCCGCATATTTATACACCTGGCGCAGACGGGTAGACCTCACCCACATCTACTCCGTCTCGCCAGGTAAGCCAATCATGTCAGTCTACTACTTATTATCTCACAATACTCCGTCTCGCCAGTTGTTTCTACGCGCCCCACCACATTTCATTCCACACCCTACTTATTTCATACTTTGTACATCTCTTGGACCTCATAGCTACATTTCCTGTATGTCCGCCTATTTCGGCTCCTCCCGCTTTGCGCCGCCTGTAATCACATCATCGAAGCTTCGGGGCAGCGCCGCCCGAAGCTGATTTTTCCACTAAACGCGCAGCATTCGAACAACGACAATTAGAGTTCTGATGGTCACAGTGTGACTCGCCGGAATGTTCTGGCACTTTCCACTTTCTGCTGACTGATATTTTTCCTGATTGCCTGAGAATATACTAGAAGAATGTATAACTAGTATATAAACAGAATAGATAGTCAGCGTAGGGCATCGTTTCCCCTAACGCACAGATCCCTCACAGGAGTGTGATTGCAAACTGATTGCGCTCACTTTGATCCCATCGCTCTCCGGATCACTCGGAATTTCAACACAAACGATCACGGTACACGGCACCGTTAACCCGCCCAGCATCGCGCCTCTGCCCGCGCATGCGTTGGCCGCTGTCCGACCTCACCGTTGACCGCTATCCCTTGGCCATGCCCATCGGCTCCACGCGCCGAAGCCCTGTCACTGCGCGCTTCTTCGCTTGGCGTTCCCACGCGCTCCCACGACGTCTCGGATTCATCGACGCCGCGCCGAGCCCGTTCCCCGCTTGAGGCCGCCGCCCTCTGCCTCTCGCAACTGGCTGCCGCCACTCTTGTGTTCTCAGGCCGGCAACCACGCTACCCCCCCATCGCTATGATGCGATCGAACTGTCGGCATTGACGCCGCCGGCGTGCTGGACTCTTCTCGTTGATAGCACCACTCCGGGACTTGGCAACCGCTGTCTCACCTTCGGTCTTCCGCTTGCAACCGGAGCATGGCCGGTCTCCCGCGAACTCGGCCGCTGCGCATTGCTCCCCGCTTCCGACCTGGCTCCCAACTCAGCCAGATCAACCCTCTGGGACCTGCTCTCTGTCCCACTGGCTACCCGCTCACGATCAGAGCGAGTGCCATGCTGCCCGCTGCTTATGCGCCATTTACCTGGCATTCCCGCGGCCTGTCAGCACCCGTCAGCCGTCCTCCCGCACTCATTACTGCTTCCACCGCGAACGACGACGACGCTCTAAAAGATGAAAGCACCCATGGTCACTGGCACTTCCTTCATCGACTATACCCCCACCTACCCTACAGCAACTCTAATCCTTCACCCACCTTCTTCCCACCCTGGATATTCACTCCCGACGGCACCCATGTCCAAAACCCAAACAGTACTTTGACCGTGACGATCTGGACATGTAGGCCTCAGCAATCCGAGTGTGCTGACACTTGCGGATGAGGCGCGAGCCGGCGACGGACTGCCAAAGGGCTGCGTAACTTGGTGTACTACATGATGCCAGAGGTATCTATGGACGGCAATCAGTTGATGGGGGAGCACGGACGGAATGGGGGAGTGGCTCGTCATGGGGGAGTGTTGAAGTTCTGATGGTCACAGTGTGACTCGCCGGAATGTTCTGGCACTTTCCACTTTCTGCTGACTGATATTTTTCCTGATTGCCTGAGAATATACTAGAAGAATGTATAACTAGTATATAAACAGAATAGATAGTCAGCGTAGGGCATCGTTTCCCCTAACGCACAGATCCCTCACAGGAGTGTGATTGCAAACTGATTGCGCTCACTTTGATCCCATCGCTCTCCGGATCACTCGGAATTTCAACAAGTTGCACACTAAAAGCCCTTCCATTTCAAGCACGCGAAGTCATCCATCACGATTGAGGACGTGAAATTTAGTTTTGCCGTTATCCAGTCCCTTCCTAAAGCATTCCGCCGACTTGACCAATAGTTGTGGCTCCGGCCTCCGAATACCTGCGAGATATGAGATCAGCAAGTCTGCTCAAACCCCGTTCAATAATTCCTACCGAAACTCTCCAGTCCTCAGTAAACAAGCCCACTTTCCCAGTTACGATCTCTTTCCGAGCCTTTCGAGAGTCACGGTGCACTAGGACATCACGGATGGATGAAAGCCTGCTGTCCAGTGAATGCGACATGGTCTATGTTGAAGAGCAGGACTGGCATTTCTGTGATTGGTAGGCATACCGGTGGGTGCAGAATCCCGGGAGACTGGTTTCAAGAAATAATTGAATAGAGAAGTCAAAGCATGTGCAACAAGTGCAGGATATGCACTGGCAGTTTCCCCCAGAAACATGACTTACTGTAGCGCTCGGAAACAGAGAGTAATCGAAGCGGTCGCCCGCCAGAGGATTTACATTATGTGCGAAGGTCAAGTACATCGTTGTTGCGACCAAGTTGATTGGGCGTCATGTGACTCACTTGCTGACCAATCTTCTCATCTTGGAGGAAACGACCATAAGCTCACTGACTTGAGACTCTGGCAACGGCTTGAATTCAATACCGCGAGCGCATTCTGCCCGAAACCCCAGCCACTGGCGCAAAAGCGCGCATTATTCTGGGATCGTTCTGGCTGTTCGCTTCCGCCATGATTGAGCTCAACACACGCCTTACCCTTGTTTTCTTGTTCGAGTATCTAAGATCTCGGATATCTTTCAAGTTCACGGGAAAGGCTTCCATTTGCCGCGCTATTGGTGCAAAAACACAATAAGCAAGTCATCTTTGTGGGCATTTGCTCAAGTACTGTCCTCACTTATATAACTGCGATCTTTCTCGTGTCATCGTGCTGGAACCTCTTTATTTCAAGGCCAGTTTTGGATTCAGAACTGCTATTTCCGTTGTTGATGCATCCTTCGTAGACTGCAGCTGAATCTCAATTATGGCGACCTGGGATGCATGTACGCCCTTCTCATTGCTCAGACTATTCTAAAGTTGACAGCAAAATCGTCAGCTCTGACAAGACTCAAGGGACAAGTTCCTGACCTAGCTACCAACACCGCTCTCGCGGCTGACCTCGACAAGCGTATCGCGGCTGCCGACCGAGAATTCACCACTAACATTGTTCCGCTCCTGCTCTGGGGCGATGGTCGCAACATTCACATCTCGCTGGACGGCATCTGTGGGGAGGGGGCTTGCGATCGTGCGGGAATGGGTGCATTCAAGGCCTGCCAGAAGTTCAACTATCCCTCCGGTACTTATATGATCGTGGTGACTTCGACCTCTGCGAAAATGTTTGACGCAGGAAGGGGTATGGCCATGGTGTTTAATGGCATTGGGTATGCGACGCCGGCAATTCGAGGTGGCTGGCTTGTCACTTTCTAAAATCAATAGATAGAGGCGTAGCCGGGCAGATAATATATGAAGCCTATGCCTTGGTCTGATTACTGAAGTGGGTTGGAAGCTGGCTCATTGGAATCGCGCCATCACAGCCATCACGAGGCTTGAATCATCCTCATCCCCACCCCGACATCGCAAACCATCCGAACAACTGTCTTCACGGGCCAGCGGAGGATTGCGAGTGAGACTGTCTATGATGTCGTTGGAGAGTCGGAATCAACGTCAGTGCGTACGTCTATGGCAATTCTCTGTCCTCATACAACGACTGATATTGCTCAAGCGCTGACTGGCAAGCCCCTTTGGCTTGAGTGCAGCCTTTTCTCACTCTGTCGCACTGATGTAGATTCATGGAATAACCCGAGCTGCCTGGTGCATTCCATTTCCCAACCCGTAGCCTGCCGAGCTTATGCCCGTCAAGCGACATAGTTGGGTTCTTCGAGTCGACAGATGCTCTTGCTCTGCTCATATTCTCCCGAATTCACTTGGGCACATTCCGTTGCTCATCCATCTCCGGTGGCGCAAAAAGTGGGGGAGGGGCTGGGCTACACCTAATTCTGACGTCCACTGTTGTTCCGGTCGACTGCTAGCATCGTACAATTGATCCACAAATGAAGATTACACGCATCTGGACCACCAGTGAAGCCTGAGCCAAGTCCCACGCACGCATCTAAGAGGATTCTCAGGGACCAAGAACCCTGTCCAGACCAGCAAGACGCGAGTCATTCGGAGAGTGAAAACGCCTGCTGCCACGGATGTAAACCGTCCCGATGGTCCCGTCGCTCTCCCACGCTACAGACTCCCTCACACCGGATGCCGCCATTCTGGCCATCATTCATTTAGACAACATTCACCCTTACATTCGCGGCGCCAGTTTGCCATCATTGTCATTCCAGTCGAATTTATTTCCCCCAAGCGCGCTCCAAGCCTTTGTCATTGAGCTGAAAGCCAGCAACTTGAAGAACAGGCCGACGCTATTTAAGAGGGCAGCCTGCCCCCTGAAAACTTCAGCCTCATCTCCTCGCCTCCCCAGGTCAGTTTCTCAAGCGCAATCAATACTTGGACTCAACTTCATCCAGACCCTCCGTTTGTTTCCTTCGCGCCACCTTAAACCATGTCTACCTGGGATCCCGGTGCGCCGCCGACCTTCTCTTCACTTGTGTACTGCCAACTTACACTTGTTTAGTTTTGACAGCTCTGAAGGCCAAGGTTCCGGCTGCCGCCGACTCTACCACTGCTGCTAGCTTGGACGAGCGTGTTGCTGCCGCCCAGAGAGAATGGGATGCGAGTATTGAGGCACTTTTGATCTACGGCGACGGGTCGGTCCTTCATGCTTCGCTCGGCGGCATCCTTGGCGAGGGGCCATCAACCGCCGTGGCGAGCGGCGCATTCAAGGGCATCATGACGCAGGACCCCAACGGAACATATACGCTCGTGGTCACCGCAACGACTGCGGATTTATACGCCAAAACTGGTGCCTCGATCTATAGCGGTACAGGAAGCGCTCCCCCCACCGTTGCGAGGAAGCTGGAAAGTCACTTTCTAGGTCGCAGTTAATTATCTGTTCTGTTAATATACTTATTCGTGGCTACTTGCGTCGATGAATAAAAAAGTGTGGTGGGAGAAAGGTGTTCTCAGCGAGTTTCCATGTATTTCGACCGCGCACAGTGGTTTCCGAATGCTTTTTTCACTGGGCGGAGACCGAAAGATTACTGAAGATTGAATCTTGCTAGATGCGAATGATGAAGAAGATCGATTCGTTATAGGCGGAAAACCTGACTGGAGATTATGAATTTGGAAGCAAAACAGAAAAAAATATTTCGTTGGTGATTACTTTTTACTAAGAAAGCAGCGCTTGGGAGGAGGACCATGCTGCGAGATTAGGATAGTGGACGCAGCATCTTGAAGACTGTTTGAACACATTGACATCATCGTGATTCGATCATAAATTGATGCCCACTTTCTCACGACGATCAATTTGTTTCCAACTCCCATCCTTGCCATGCGTTGACTTGACCTACATGTCTTGTCGCGTCTCCTCATCATTCCATCGATGCAATGCCCCGCGGCTCGGGACGTCAGCGGGCAATTGCGATGATGAAAGATCGGCTTCTGTGCTTAATGTGGAAACATCAACTTGAAGGGCTATGGGTGTTCACATTCCGCGCAAGCGCCGCAACAGCGCCGTCCAACGGCGTCTACACCTCTGAAACCTCACAACAAGTGTGTGTGTGTGCTGTGACTGCTTGAGCGCATAGTGTCCCCGGATGCATTGGATGTCAACGCTTTCGACCTCACGCCAAATAGCTGTTCTCTAAAATTAGAAGACAGGTAGATGCCGATCATCTCCTTGCATAGGTTTAGACCGGTTTCAAGACCGGTTTGCCCTCAGGGCTCGCGTTACCTTACCTTATTTATAGTTGGCTCCAACAGCAGAACATTCCCCAGCCTCCTTGCCCTTTCTTCCGCCATGCGTCATTCCTCGGCCATCGTTTTCTCCATTCTTCTACCTCATCTTCGCCCATCATACTTGGTCTCAGCGAAACCGGGGCGTCTCCCTCAGTACTCTACGGACGCGGACAATAACGTTATCAACAACTACAATGAACGTGTAGGTGTTCTTCCTGGGAGTGAGTGAACAAGATGTACTCATGTCGATGCAGTATACTGTGTCCCTGACTGTCGCTGGAACGCGTGAGTGTCCATCATGTACTATTTCGCAGTCGTCTGACGCGTAGTTTCAGAGGTGAATGCGATACTGGATACAGGGTCAACCGACATGTGGTCTGCTCTCTTGCATATCGTACAAGAATCAATGATTAAGTCTCATTCGACAGGGTTGCTCCCCCGAACGGTCTCAAGGACCAAGTGGACGAGACAGGCGCTTTTGCTACCATCTTTTATGGCGATGGGAGTGCCTTTGTCAACGGTTCTGTGGAGTTGGGCGATGTGGAGATTGCTGGGAACTCTATCCCGCACCAAGCCTTTATTAACGTCTTGAATGTGCGTGCTCTTTTCAACTTTGCTCAAAAGTCTTTTGAACTTGTCCGTAGTCTGTTGGTCAAGACTCCGACTTTTCCAATGGTATTTTTGGACTTGTTGGTCTTGGATTCGACGGACCTAGTGGCTCTATACCATCTTCCCTGACTCAAAATGGTCTTAATGGGACCGACGTTGGCAAGGCTGTGCTTACAAGTATATTCGCACAGAACCCGACAAACGGCCAATTCTTCTCCTTGTCGCTTTCGCGTGTTGGGGATGTGGATGACAGTGCAGATGCGAGCTTGACAATCAGTGGCTTCGATCCCAAATATGCCGCCGTCGCAGAATCTCCCCTGTTGTTCCAGTTCCCCTACCAAAGCGGTCGCTGGGGTATCGTCAGCGACGGAATCTGGGCGAATAACGAACAGATTCGGTGGAAGTCGTTTTCGGAGTCCCTTCAATCGCTTGAGCAGAACGCTGTCCTTCTTGATACGGGCACAACCAACTTCTTGGTCGGGAAAGCTATTCCCTTGTCACAATTGATGCTGATGTTTTTCTGGTAGGTTCCCGCGGAGGTGCGCGATGCGATCTATTCTTCTGTGCCTGGGGCCCTCGTTTCGCGAAACTCCTCCATTCGTGAGTTGGTCAACATGCCATTGTTCTATCATACTCAGTCTATAGCCAACCTCAAGTTCTCTGAGGACCAAGATACTTGGGTTCTTCCCTGCAAAGCGATCGTGAACCTGACAACGAGATTCGCGTATGTTGTACCTCGACTGTATGCTCTGGACTTACAATTGCGGCAGTGGACAAGATTTTCCTATCCACCCTCTTGATCTCTCCGATATAGTGACACTCACTACTCCTAATGGCAAACAATACACTGCCTGCCTTGGTTCTATTACTAATGGCGGTCCAATTCTTGGCCCTGGTCTCGACGCCCTCTATGGCGACTCTTTCCTGCGGAACGTCTACTCAGTGTAAACCACATATATTTGCTGTGAAGTCAGTATCACTCACGGTTGTAGCTTCTCCTTTGGCGATGGTCCAACGCCCCCGCACGTCCAGCTTCTTGCTGACACCGTTATCAACCAGGCCGCTGCCGACTTCATCAAAGTTCGAGTCGAACAACTAGAGAATGGTTTTCCAGAACTTGGCCCCGCCGATCTCATCCGTCTTTTCGATGGTCCGAATGCCATCATTGGTGGCTTTCCGTCCATTACAGACGCCTCGCCTTCAGGTTCGGCCAACAGCGACGATATGGCTGGCGCTGGCCCCAGCTCATCGAACTCTACATGTGTTCCCGGTCTTGGCTCTGACCTTTCCGAGTTGTCAACCGAGAGCAGCAAGAATTCCGTCAACCTTGCTGACAGCAAATGGGGGCCCGCCATCGTCGGTCTACTCGCCGCCAACCTCGTTATCCTGCTTGTTGTGGCGTTCTTTTCCGTCATGAATTATGTGCGAAATGGACGAACCACGGGCGTGTCGAAGGCTGCCGATGCCCGATATGTACCCGTCAAGCTAAAGGAGGATTCGACTTTCGTCCCTGCGAGGACTTCTTATGAGGAGCACGGCCAGGAGCGATATTCGGACTAGGAGGGTTGTGGTTGTTGGAACGCTTGCTTACTTTCACGTACTCTTCCTTCACGGGCACTCAAAGTACTTAGTATAATTACGATACTGACACTGGGCAATTCTTGTGTACTTACTTCAAGCTTGGGAACCATATTTTTCGGAGTGGGCTGATGTGTCGTGCTGTCAAGGGTCGTTTCCATTGAGGAGAGGAGCTCACGTCGAAGCAGTAAGTATTTTATCTAGAGAAAGTTATGAGCAGTAAGTCGCCAGACTTCTTCAAATGGCGTCACACCGTGACTCCTGTCAATCAAATAAAACTTGCCTTCCAACTGCCATGGCCATCGCTCACCTCTCAGTCAACACGCAGCTAATGGCTGCTTTATCATGAGTCAAAGACTCAGTTTCTTGTCAACGCACCTACATCTTCTTTCAATACTTTCGCGTAGAAGACACCCGGATCAGCACTGCCAATCAGCAATAAAGTCCTTGACTTTTTCGAGTCTTTGGCGCCGCCGAACCGCCACAGAAACACCCGAACTTGCACGTAACCCATTTATAAACGGCCGTGAGTGGCCAACGAGGATGTCTTTCTCCCACATTCTCGTTGCCACTCTTTGTCCTGTTCTTCCAGCGCTATGCTGCCGTGTAGCTTCCCAGCCGCTCTTCTTTCTCTTTTTCTCCTTCAACTCACAACAACTATCGAAGCCAAGCGCGCCCCCCGCCCGCATAAGACACAACCACATACAAGGCCCAAGGTCGACGCGACTGGCGACAACATTGTAAACGTTGGAAATGACCGTGTCAGTTCATCTTCTTCGTATCTTGCCGTCTCTCAGTGTTAGATAGTACATTGCACTCGTGACAATTGCTGGGCAAGAATATAGGACTATGTTGGACACGGGGTCGACCGACATGTGGTGAGTGAACAAGTTCCATCTCGGAAAAAGTTGCTGATGACTTCCAGGGTCATGCCTCCCAAAGGTCTAAAGCTTGGCTACTACGACGACACCGGTGTTTACTCACAAATCTACTACGGCGACGGCTCTGACTACGTCAATGGCACTGTTGGTTTCGCAAAGGTCGAAGTTGCCGGCCACACAATTCCCTCCCAAGGTACGTACTCCTTTGCCGACCAGGGCTGTTTGTTAAGCATTCCGCATAGCATTTATCAACGTATTCAAGGCTCGTGATAATACATCTTGCTGCGAGATGGTCTGGCTCACGAATCTCATAGGAGTCCCAACCCGAAGACAACTATATGGGCCTGGTAGGCCTTGGTTTCGACACGCCCGACGGCTCCATTCCTGCGTCTCTTACCAAAGCAGGCATGGATGGGCGCAAACTGGGAAAGTCCCCCCTTACGAGCATATTCGACGCAAATCCTCACAAGGGTCGGTTTTTCGGCCTCTCACTGTCCCGCCTCTGGGACAAAAGCTACTCTTCTGATGCGTCACTGACGATATCCGAGTACGATACCAAGTATGCTGCTGTTGCAAATGCGCCGGTTTTGAAGCAATATCCAAAAGACTGTGGCTCGTGGTCCGTTCTAGGGGACAGCATCAAGATTGGTGGCAAAGTCGTTCCATGGAAACTTCCCGATGCGACGAACATTCCGAATGGCAAAATCAGCGTGCTTATTGACTCTGGAACGACCAACTTTCTGGTGCCAGAAGACGTGAGGGATGCGATCTACTCTGCTGTTCCCGGCGCAGTTTTGTCCAAGCATTCTAACATCGGTGAGTAATCACATCCTCGGAAGCTTCTGAGCTAACAATGCTACAGAGGGCAACAAGTGGGGTGCAGATGACGATATATGGGTCGTGCCGTGCACTACCGCCGTCAACATGAGCGTCTCTTTTGCCGGCCATGAGTATCCAATCCACCCACTCGACCTCACCGACGTCATGTCAACGACCGGACCCGATGGCAAAAACTACACCATTTGCGTCAACTCAGTGACCAACGGCGGTACTGTCATTAGCCCCCAGTCGGCCATCTTCGGAGACAGCTTCATGCGCAATGTGTATACGGTGCTGTCGTTTGGCGGCGACACGAAGAGCGACGTGCCGTATATCCAATTCTTGTCGAATACCGAGACTCAAAAAGCGGCGGAGGACTTCCACTTGCATCGGGAAAAGCGGTTGGCGAGACTTGCGAAGCGATATAACGCAAAAGAGTTGAGCCCCGACAAGATCATCGCGCTTTTCGACTCCAAATCAAATACTTCTGGCGGAAAACCAGCGGATGACACGGCGGCATGCCTACCTGCTGGCTCCGATGCCCTGTCCAAGAGCAAAACTGAGCTTTCCGAAAACTCCTCGAGCCCAAACGACGTCGTGGACAAGTGGGGACCCATCATCGTTGGCTTGCTGTCGGCCAACCTCGCGATACTGCTCGTTGTAGCGTGTATCTCGCTGATGAGCTTCATTCGAGGTGGCAGGAATTCAGGTCCGGCCAGATATGCAAAGGTCGAAACGAGGGAGAAGAATCATGATGTGGTCTTTGACACCCATACATCGCGTTCATCGTTCTCTGATCGAGACCATATTGGCTATTAAAGTAGTGGTGCAAGTAACATCTGTTCATGCTAATGTTGAAACCCTTTTTCTTCTAGACAATAGATTGGGGGAAAATGTTTCGTTACATGCCATCATCGACGACGCGTCTATCAGAGTCTTTGAGTTGATCAACAACATTCTCTAGATTTTTTCAAGGGAAACTAGAAAGTGTGTTGGAAGCTTCACTAGCGCTCTGTTATCCACAACGTTTAGCGTTGTTTTCTAGACTTGTTGGCTTAGTGGTCAAAAACACGGACATGGCCGGGGCTCATCAATCCGAAGTTCTTTAAATAAATTCGGCACGCAACTTGTTCTCCTATGGGACAACCTCGTACATAGCGCTGCTGGCTCCACCATTTGGTCTAAACATGTGCTGCACAGGACAAACTTAATTCTCCCTAGCCAATGCCGACTCGCCCAATTCACCTGATCAACTTCGCCCATTCAGCGCTCAGCGCTTGTTTACTTTTGTACGGCCTGGGGCCTCTTTTCCAGCGCCTCTTATCCCCTAGAACTGCCAGCGAGATGCCAGAACCAAGTCGCGCTCCTGCTGAGCGTGGATTCGGGGGCTCGAGCTTTTGGGTAAGAATTAAACCTGGTGGTCCCCCTTGAACAGTATATAAAGGTTCACCAACGATCCAAACCCTCAGTTTGAGGCCACCACCCACCCGGGCATAAACCGCAAGGTTTCTCCCGCACTTGTTCTATGCGCCCTCCCTCGTTAACCATCCGCGCAGCTTTGTTTGATATTTTTTCGACACCAAATTGAAACTATGGCCGACGTTGCAGTTGACTGGACTGAGGGTGGGCGCCATAACTGCGAATCCGCTCATGGGCTAATGCATTTGTCCAGAACTTACCCTCCTCAAGGCTGATCTCAGCACTGACCTCGCCGCCGACCTCGATGAGTGTGTTGCTGCCGCCAACGCGGAAGACGTGTCCGAGCTGGTCGCTGCTTCCGGGGGCAAGAAGACCAAATGTGGCCTTGTCGGCACCGGGTCTACCCTAACCGTGACCCTGGACGGCAAACTCGGGCAGGGCCCTTGCTCGAAGAAAGGAACCGGCGCCTACGTCGGTAACAAGGTCTCCACCCCGTTCGTGGGCGAGTATACCGTCGAGGTTTCGCGCATCTCGGTCAAGATCACCGATCCAGCCGGAAAGGTGGTTTTCAAGGGCAAAGGCTTGGAGAAAGGATTGACCGGCACTTGGACGGTCAAGTTCTAAGCCGCCGACTCAAACTCGGGATTTGTGAAAGAACAATCAGCTTCTGTTGTACCCTCTTGTTGTAGTGAATGTGATTCAAGTTATTGTTTCCGACCCCCCACTAATTACATCAGAAGAGTCCAGCAGTCAACCTGATCCAGCAATTTGGAAAGAGATTATTGCCTGCCTGATAAGTTGCAGCTCAGTGCCCGTTGTGGATGAAAAGAACGGCCAAAGATTATGCCAATACTCGCTGTTCATTGGTGTGTATTTGTAAGCAGCGTCAAGGCAGACATAGCTGGCAAACATTGTGGTCAGTCAAAGAAAATGACTTGTACGCACATATCGTCACTGCGATTTGCACATTAGACTTTCCAGATTTGGACGGGACGGAAACAAACGCACTGAAACTGAGCAGCGCGGGGTACATGCGTTTTCATAAGCGCTTTGACTAAATCTAGATCGGCTCCTCCAATTGCGTTCTTCACCAGATGCACTGCGGCATTTTCCTCCATGTTGACGAACACCTTCTTTGCCGCAGGCCACCTGCGGTAATGAGATTCAGAGCCGTTGTCGGTGAGTATTACGGGAAGGCTGTCGCGTTCGAAGGTGCGGTGCCCGCCAGTTTTATCCAGAATGTCCACATTCTTGTTATGACGGTCTCCATCTAGCCACAAGCCGACCAGCCCTACGACCTCCTCGTTGGTTAAGCTGTTCCACAAGCCACGAGAGGCCAAGATGACAAAGTCCCCTGGGTGGATGTCTGTTGTTGTTACTTCAGGCTCTGCGGAGAGGTACGGCGGGGTCAAACAAAATGGCGATGGCTCGTCACTAAGGGTGTTCTGGCGCAGCCAGATCTGGAAGTCTCTACTCCATTTCATCATCCCGTCTCCAAACGCACGAGTAATTTTTCGTCCGCAGTCACGAAAAAGTCGATCAAGTAATTCGGGCTCATTTGGGTGAGCGGCAAGAAGTCGGGCGACTTCCTGAGGATTGTTGACCGTCTGGTCTTCAGAGAGAACGTGTACATCGTACATGATTTTGCCATCATCTGTCTTTCTCCGTCGTCCCAGCACTGCTCGTGAGTCACCCACAAGAGCCACATGGAAACGTTGGACAGCCGAATCAAAAAAGGTCGCCAGAGCCCCAGAACCGGGATATGATATTCCGAAAAGAATGGCGGCCAAATTCTTGCGCATGCCCTCAGCACTGTCATCTTTGAGTAATATCTTCACCGGTTTGATGAGGGTATCGTCCAATCCAGTAAAGGCAGTTATGAAGCTTTGGTACACCCTTCGATTATCTGGTTGCTTGGATCGGGAGTATAGGGTGATCAAACTGGCATTAAGAGACTTGAGCAGCTGTGATCCCAGTATAGTGGCAGAGCCTTCCCCCCAGTAACCAGCATAGACACCCGACAGAAACCATTCGTGTTTTCCGGTTTCAATCCAGACGGAACTGGCTTGTTCAAACGGCATGCTTCTGGGAAGTTCCGGTCAGCAGTTGGGAGCAGTGTTGTATATAGTCATACTTACGCCCCCAGCCCCACCGAGTCCACCCGGAAAATGCCCTTGGCCGGCTTGCGCAAGCTGACAGGCTTTGTAGACGGCTGTTTGTCGCGCTTATTCCACAAGTAGAAGAGATAGCCAATGCTAGAGGTTCCGATGAGGAACCGAGATGTGCGTGATAAACGGCCCCAACGATCCCGAGCAGACCGCACGAGGCGCGACATCTGTGGGGTTGAAGGAAACGGCGTGACCGTGACCACGCACTTACGTAACCGGACCAAACTTTTTCCAACCTCGTCGCGTTCCTATCTCTCCAGGTCACCACGTCGGTGTTGGGGCATCTCCCGACCGTGCTGTCACTCCCATTTACATCCATCCAAACCGTAGGAGTTATAATTGACGTGCTAAGGAGCGGGCGAAACTTGTACTTGGTTTTCAATTTGTTTGTACCACCATCTCAAGCAAATAGTCATAGTAAATTATTGGTTACAGTTGCTGCAGAAAAGATGTGGCTACTGTGAATTCTGATCCCATATAGTGCCTATAATAGCACTGAAATCCAATGATAAGTAAACTAGTAGTAATGTCTGTCAAATACACATGCTTGCGTAGAAGTTAATGAGTGAGGTATCAAAGAGTGTGTTCATGAAACCAAGTCCTTGAAAAGTCCAGTTTTAGCACGTGGCAGTCGGTGGTGGTAAACTGAGCGCATTCCATGCATTCGGATACGAGCAACCGCTCCCGGGAGCAATCGCCCCAGCCGTATCACCCGCATTTGCCCACCCATTCCCCATCCGACTCGCAGTAGGTGCCGCACTCTCCGTTTTGATCGCCGTCGGTGTCGGCAACGCATAGACCAAAGTTGGAACCGCGCCAGTATTGGCATATGTTGGTAAAATATCGCCAGCGTGTGACAGTGTGGTCGGGGGCCACTGTCCCCATTGCCGCGTAGCAGCAGCCGCTATCGTCCCCGCCCCAGCTCCTCCCGTTTGCCAAGCACTAAAAGAGCCATCAAAGCGACTCCCTCTCACGCCAACCGCAGCGCATTTGCCTGTCACCGTTCGAGGGTCTTTCGGCATCCATCCGCCCTCAAGACCGGCCTTGTAAGACCACAACGGAGAGCGGACAATGCCGTCTCTCGCTTCACCAATCTAACAATTAATCAACACATTGCAAAACGAAGACGCTGTTCACTTACCCGCCAAGTCCAGAAGAACCAGTCACCAAGAGCATCCATGCTCGCCTCGGCAAACGCCTGCACTCCCGCTTTCGTCGCCGCGTCCCACTGGCTGGCGTCCTCCCAGAAAGAGCAGTCTCCCCCGTAGCTTTGCCGCCCGTTGACACCAGTCAAGAAAAGCCCACAGTCGTTGTACCCATTGCTGAATTCGCCAGCAATGGTCACGCCAAACCCAGAGCGACTCTGTTCTATCATGGGGCCCCAAGCTCTACACGCTCGTGCTGGCCATTCGCCTCCGGCGGTGTTGCGGTTGGTTCCTGTGGCGATCGGTTCGTTGTTTGGCTGTGGGAAGTTAGCGACGGAAGGAAAGTCAGAAGGATGATCCTACCTGGTTGTTGAATGCAAAGTAAGGGTGAGTGTCGAGGATGACGCGGTCCGAACCAGGCAAGAAGCCAGCCCAGTTGGAAACACCGTCAAACCCATCGTGGAAACTGATGTAAGGTCCATGGCCAGCGCCAACGCCCGTGATGTTGCGCATCATGTCATGGATGTGCAGGTTGCTCAAGAATAGCGTCAGAAGTCTGGAACGCGGAAAGAAACATAACACACAATGAGTAGAGTGCGTCTTGGCCAATGACGGCTATTCTCGGTTCGTTCATGACCCCAAAGATCTGAACGACGTCTTTCCATTCCTCTTGCGCGATGAATTGAGTGATAATGCGAATAACATCCACGGCCCGTTGAGCATTTGCGGCACCCATGGGACCGTTGAGGAAATTTACTTGACCATATTTCCCGGAGTGGTTGTAGCCATTCTGTGAGCCAGGGATTGTGTGGAGGTCGAATTTGACACGGATGCCGTATTTTCGGGCCCAGGTTAAGAGTCGAACGATATACTTCCATGCGACACCCTCGAGGAATGGTTCGGCGACTGGGGATCCAGCGCTCGGGTACGAGTTGGAGCCAACATTCGACCAAGTGCTGGGTCCATGTTTAGCGGAGTTATGGTTGGAGCGGAATTGATAATGCACCTTACTGCCCAGAATGGAATCGGAACACGGACCCAATTCAAACCGGCGGCGGCAATCTGAGCAATATCTTGCTCGGTCTGGGGTAAAAAGCCGTCAGATTGGCGGCGTTAGAGAAAATAACTCACGATGAATGTGTCGTAGTGGGCCTCCATCTTAGCCTGCAGGGTGCCATCGGCGCGCATCAGGGTTGCAATAGACCATTCATCGTTGGCCGAAGGGTATGCTTGGAAGAGAGCGGGTGAAATGACTGTAGACCAGTCTGAGATGGCGGCAATACAGTAGGACAACGGAAACACGTACAAGGCTCGAGGACGAACCATCCGCCAAGATTAACGCCAAACACACGGTCAACACCCCAAGTCCATGTCTCATTCAATGGTGGCGTCCAGCTGTTTGCACGGCCGCCTACAAGCGGATTTGACGAGTCATAATACCCTGCAATTGGGTGAGCAAAAAGAAATTCGCAAGAATCCAACTGACAGTATCCTCCGAATGAGTTGTTATAGGTGAAGCTATCTCCAGACGTGGTCACCACAGCACTTCCATCGCCCCCAGTAACTGCTAGTTTGGTGGGTGTTCCGCTGGGAGAGCCACTACTGCCGCCAGATGAAGGAGAAGAGTCTCCAGATGAAGGAGACGAGGATCCGCCGTTGGTCGTGGTTGCGTTGTTTTTGCTATTTTTCTTGATGACGACGAAATAAACGGGAAGAACTACGGCTAGAACGACGACAACTATCGCGCCAAGAATGAGTGGAATTAGAAGTCGCTTTCGTCTGCTCTTTTCGGGTGTACGCGAAAGGGGCGAGCTTCCTGGCGCCTCTTTGGTCGCGGGAAGCAGAGCCGCGGAGCCATTGGTCGGAGTAGAGTCAGCAATGGAAGGTGTGGAATGCCGGTTATCGGTGGCCATTTGTCGCGTTAAGATGCAACCTGGGGGTATCTGTCCTCCCGCGACTGGAGGGGTCGGATGGTGGGGAGAAGCAAGGAGAAGGTCTGGAGGCGCATGACAAGGTTTTAGGAGGAAATCTCTTTTGCTGATTGACAGCTGATGCGACAGCGGCTTGGCATCGCCGCGCCTACCTCATTTGCTTGCACCATTTATTTTGCTGGACTCGCAGTTTCCGTGTTTCTTGGTTTTTCTTGCAGCGTTACTGTCGGAAAGGAGCTGAAACAATTTTTCAAGCCCATGTAACACGCAGCAATCCAAGAGCAATGTACGTTCACCTCGTTTTCCCAGAGTTTCCGGGTCCCGCTTCCGAGACCTAAACAAGTAGCCGTCGACGTAATCTTGAACCCTGAACGAACGTCATGTCGATTCAATCGACAGCTAGGCACTGCTCAAGTAAAGTAAGTACTAGCCCAGTGCCCACAGCATATCAATGCGCCTACCAAGGCCAAAATATCGGATTTCCAAGTCCTCTTAGGTTTCGCCTTTGCGTGTCAGGATGACCGACGACTAACGGATTTATATTTCCTCCGAGAAAACATTCTGGAGGGTGGCTCGAAGGTCAATTTTGTCCATAGGTCTAGCTAGCGATTGACTATAGATCTCTATCATGTGGCTGCAGTCGCAATGGGACTTGTTGGCGCCTGCGCCAACTTGGCCCTCTTCACACTAGGTTTTTGTAACTGGATGGCAACCAGCACATCGCTGAAAGCCCTCAGGTCGATCCCGGACTCGCTCATCAGAGACGTAGCGGCCTGAACCATGAAATCGGCATCATTTGAGCTAGATGGCGACTTTGGTACGGAACTGGATTGGAACGAGGTGAGGGCGCGGGTGAAGTGCAGGGAGGGGCTGAACAATGGTAGAGCTTCGACGAGATGAGTACACTCTCAAATATTAGCATAGCATAGACCTCACCGTCTTGAATCACCTTGGCGGCGTCTTCGACTGAGATCTGGCGCTCTGTCATAACTATCATTGCCCGTCAGCTCAGTGGGGACGATACGAGGGACCAACTCACGATAGCCGCCAACTGCGACACACGCCCGTGCTTCAAGCAGCGAATGGACGAGGACGCGTCCCCCACTCCCTAAAGCATCGCGAATAAACGCAGATGCCGACGGTAAACAAAAAGAATGGTCCGAAGAGTCCGGAGGAATATCAATGTTTTGGTGAGTTATGCTTGTTGGCAGTGGGGCCGCCACTTGAGCGGGCCCAATGGTCAGAAGATGGGTAACCTCTAACTCGTAAAGCAGGAGCTCAGCCTGCAGAGAATCACTCGGAAAGTCACTATTGTCATCAGTAATTATTTAAATACCAATCCCAACAAGTACCTATTGAGAAATAGTTTCTTGGGTAGAATGGCAGCGGTGTCGAGAAAGTAGTTGAGGAACTGGGCTGCATCTTGCTTATGCTTTCGCTTCCACAAACGGTAAGCAGGGTGGGTAGTAGCTGGCGCGTAGCCACAAGCCTGGAAGGCGTCTAGCTGTTTGAGGAATCCATAGTTGGGCTGCACACATGGCCGTCCTGCCGAAATCAGTCAGATAAGCAATTCCGTGTTCAAGTGAGGCAAGCCACGTTTTCGTATGAAAGATATGGCCGCTGACGCGGATAGTAGGCGCGTTTTCATGACTGAAAGGTTATGAAATTGTAGCGGGAGATGTCGGAACGGGACCCACAGTATGCGGCCACTAGGTCGATGAGCAACCTGAAGGTCAAAGGAAGCCAAGACTTACAGACTGTTGTGCTTCGGGATACGCCCATCAAGCAATGAATGAGGACCCGACCGCCTTGGGAAAGTGCTTCCTCAATGAAGGAGCATGTTTCAGGCAGGTGTATTAACAGATCGTCGTATTCGCAGTCGTTGACTGGTATAACCAGGTGGTTTGGTCCAGTTGAAGGATAGTCCAAGCAAACCGACACGATATGAGTGATACCAAAGCGTTCTCTGGTCGAACAAGACTGCGCGGCAGCCAGACTGCGGGTTGGAGTAAAAAGGGGAAGATAGAAGTAGTGAGTAACGCACTTGGCGAGGAATATCTGAGACGAGATTATCTCATCGACGCTAGGGCTGGCCATGGCAAGTGGAGGAGTGGGTGAGAGCTTGGCGGTGCAGCACCACAATTTGATTTCCATGACCTCAGTTCACGTGATGCGGTGGCATGGACTCAGACCTGACTTGGACTCCTTCACAAGCTTCTCAGTTCGACTGGAAGCAGGCCATGACCTCAGTCTAAGCTCAACCGGCATCAGAACGAAGAGCTCGACTGGAAGATTACTCTGTCTCTAACCTTCTCGTCGGAACGCAACGCAATAGTTCTTGACTGCCAACTACCACTGTAGCGGCTTGAGCGTCGATGCTGTGGTCATATTCAAAAGCGACCTGTGAGCCTTGTTCAAGTTGTTGCCCCCATCCATTCGAACTGCAAGCCCAGCGACGACACGACCAAGGTACACAAGATCCGGAGCCATGAAGTCAAGAGAAGAGAGACAAAACTTCCACGTGGTTATACGATTTCTTCAAAGCCTGGGACTTCAACGGACTTGGCTAGACTGTACTACTAATAGTCGACAGGAATTTGCCGGCTGCTGTCGGTCAAAGTACTGCCACACGATATCACGCGTCCTGTCGCAATCAATCCAAATCCAAGCGTTGGGATCCAACTGCTCAGGCTGGATTGGTGCTACCTATCCAACGATAGCTCTTGAGACATTGGCAAGCTTGTCAACAACATCTGTCAGTGGCGCGCTGTGCAATCTTTGAAAAACCCTGGCATTTCCCGTCCTCCTACTCAGGTTACTATTAGTATCAGTGTCAGGCTATTATCAGCCATATCCATCGCGTCGAGTCGCAAGGTTCAACAGCCGGCCAACCATTGCAAGTCAATCCATCAGAGAACGACAGTAACAAAGCGTAACAGCACGACTCCATGGTTCTCAATGATTCCGATGAAACCAATCATGGTGGAAGATATACTGCTTTAGATTGCTGGCATATATTAGCACATAGTTCCCCATGTAAACGCATTTCTGAACGCAACGGATTCTATCATCAGCTGCAGCATTATTTTGGTGCTTACAGATATGTACAAGGGTTGGGTTTAAAGTAACTATACATCCTCAAGCTTGCAGACCAGGAAAAGAAAAGAGCAATTTATAAGCTATACACAAACCAGGCGCTCTTGTCTCCAAGCCCTGGCTCCTCCTCAGACTTGGACATCGTCTTGCGCTTCTCCGCCTTGAGCTTGTTCTGGTGGGACAAATAGATGATGTTGAAGATGGCAAATGCGCCAATGAGGACAGAGAAGGCGAGCAGAATCTGGGTGGCCTTGATATATCGCGGTGGTGCGGAAAGGGAGCCCAACAACCACGTTGCAAGAATGCCTCCTGCGTTGGTCATAATGAAACCAAACGCGATGGCCGCGGCGCGACGAGTGTGGGGCGCTGAATTGTTTGCGTTCCACGTCGACAGCGCGGGTGCACCAAGGTAAACACCCGGCACGGAAAGGAAAAGCGAGCCGTATTGGACATGATGGTCAGTCGAGCCAAGCCATGTGCCAAAGCCAGCAACGCAAAGCACAGCGCAGAATACTGTTATCCATCCACGACTCTGATAACGGTCAGAGATGTAGGCGGAAATCATGGTCACTTGAAAACACAAGTCAATCGGTGCCACTAACCGACAGTTGACACCACTCACAGACGAATGCCACCGAAAACGGTGGGACGCTCATCAGCTGTGCCCTGGCAGCAGTATAGCCGAGAGATTGAATGAGCGGGGGCACGAAGCTGTGAGGACTGGATTAGAACACCAAACGAAACCAGTAGATCGACGCACTAAGCCAGCGAGTAAAGGACAACACCGCTGAAAAAGAAGTTGACACCGACGAGAAGAACGTGGATCGAGGTGAAACCCTTGATCACCTCGCCCCAGCTGAAATGAGAGTCGGCGTCGTTGATCGCACCATCCTCTTCCAGTTTGGCCTTCACATAGGCTTTCTCTTCCGCATTCAGGAAACGAGCATGGTCGGGAGACGCAGGCATGAAACCGTATGACACAAGACCGATGAAGGATGTAATGGCACCCTGAACAGAAGAGTTAATCGGGCATGAAGAGCGCAGCGTCAAAAGGCAGACCTCGATAATAAAGATCCATTGCCAACCAGTGTGACCAGCCTTCCCGTTCAGGTGGATAATGCCATAGGCCAGGATACCACCGAAGGCGCCGGATATTGATGCAGCTGAGAAGAAAGCAGCGATTCTAGATAACGTATTCGATTATTGCAGGTGAATGTGGATAAACTCATGACAAACCTGGTTTGCAGTCTCATGCGGGGGTAGAAGAAGGACAGATAGAGGACCAGGCCCGGGAAAACACCACCCTCCAAGAGACCAAGGAAGAAGCGACATGCAAGAAGACCACCATAACTCTTTACTGTCCCTTGGCAAGCAGTTACGATACCCCAGAGGGTGATCATCGTCGGAAGCATTAGGTTGGGGCCAATTTTCTTGGGTAAGGTTAGGCAAAGTTCTGCAAGGTGGGGATCAGACATACCTTCAACAGAAGATTTGACGGTAACTCGGCGGCGATATATGGAACGTAGGTGACTGTGAGCGCGATGGAATACTGTTTGGGCGTCATTTTGAGGTCCTTGGTCAACCCAGCAACCTTGGCGTTGCCAATGTTGGTACGGTCCTAGTAGTATCAACGTTAGCAAGGTCAATGTCTACCATGGAAAGAGCGGGACGTACAAGGAAGGAGAGCAGGTAAAAAAAGGGTGACCACAGGCAGAATCCACATGTCAAGTTTGCCCCAAACCTTTGCCTCGAGCGCAGGGTTGTTCACCGTCTGGTCAGCACTGGAAACACTGACGCCGGAGGAGTCCACATTCTTTTCCGGGTCGGTTGATGTGCGAGAAGGAACTTTCTCCATGGCGGTCGACATGACGAAAAAACGGAGGGGGGAGGTGGCCAGTGGGTCGTTCGCGGATCCAGATGGTGCATATAAGTATCCAGCAAACCCATTAGTCCGATGGTCATCAGGGCAGGGACGCAACAAAAAATGAAGGTGTCACGGTGTCACATCAAACATAGCCGCCCAACTTCTTGAATTCCATCCGATCCATACGACGCGAGCGTTTCCTGTCGCTAGATTGCTTCGAAGAACTCTCAGGGCAGTCAATGCCTTAAGTTGAGGGCCTGCAAAGCTTGTGCAAAGCTCTGGGCTCATAAAACCTCATAAGTATTTCGTCACCATCTTCTTGACAAAAGTCAAGAGGCTTCACCTGCCGACTCTTATCAAATGAAACTGCACCCAAGCAAGGTACGCGATTTCCTTCCAAACAGTTACTTTGCAGCCGGGAGAAGATTCGCGCCCTCCAACGAATAAAGAAGTGGTCTTGATGCCGATCCAGATGTCCGATCTCTCAAGTTGCAACCTCTCCAGGCAACAGACCAACTTTTCTTTTTTTGGTAGTTCACATGAACTCCCTTGATTCAGTTTTCAATTGGTCGGCAAATGCCACGGCGGTGAGACCCCAGTATATGTGAAAAACACGCGCGTTACTACCGGATATTCTCCACTGTGCCCTTATCTTTCTGTAGACGAATTCGTTGCGAGAGAACAAGGGTTTGCTTCCACTTGTTTAGCAGGTGAACTGCGGAAGTGAATACTTATGCAAGTGTCTATTCTGTCGAAGACCGAACATGAGAGTGGGATCCCGAGATGCTTGTCGAGCCAGGAAATTGTTCCCATCGTGCCAAGGATCGACACTGATGCAGATAAGTGCAATTTCTTCCATTCGACGGATTATTTTACAAGCCCTACACTAGCTAGATGCTCTACAACCACCCAAAACAACAGTAACAACCCCGCAATGAAAAAAGTAAAGCAACATCCTGGATATATGTACAGTCCATTCAAAACGGCGTCTACTGTGTGTAAGGATGTGGTATCGGATCCTTGACATGCTCGATGACCTTGGCGCGAGTTAGACAAGTCGGAAAGACGGAAAAGTTGGAGGAGATTCTAACCTTTGTCACCTGAATGCCAAACTCTTCATGGTGCGGTCGCGCAAAGCCGCTCTCGACATCATATGAGTCGTAGCCACTCTTCTGCGTCTCGAGCTCATAAGTGTGGCGCTGCGAAGAGAAGGTCAGCACCCGACTTGTTGCCATCGCACCTCGTCGCTTACCGAAGCATCGACAAAGGTGTCCGGCTGCGGAAACAGATTATTGCATCAGAAACGAGATAGCACGGAGAGAGGAGCATCACAAACATTTCTGATCCGACTCGTGGGTGATGTCGCTTGTTGGCCCCCGATGAAGCCATGAGTGTTGTTATTGACTCGGCGATTCTCTGAGGCGACACCACTGCCCGAAACGCCACTGTTTAATGATTGTCTGGAGTTGAGTGTAGACATCAAGCAGTTGGTGTAAAGCTAAGGACGTGTTAAAAAATGAGCAGGACCAGTCGATGTGAACACGCCTACCTTAGAGAGTGCCAGGTCCCAGACAAAATTGACGGCGGCATGAGGGAGGATCATGAAGCAAATGACGTCCAAGATACTGAATACGGCACTGGGGAAGGAATGAGTTTGGCAATTTTCCAAATCGGACAGCACGAACGTTATGGCGCCGGTTTGGATTGTCACTGTGGAGCTCGTAAGCGCTGACAATACCCCAGACAATAAGGAGATGTGGCCCACAGCGAATGATCTTATCGATGACCGAGTCAGTCCCCGAGAATCCAGTTTTCCGCTTCGACAAGCTGAAGACCAGAGAAACTGTAATCAAAACATCGGCAACACAGGATCCAAGGAACCAGAGCAACGCCGAGTTATGCAACTTGGGCTTGTTGGCAAATGTCTTCAATGTCTGGATACCGACTGTTGTTCTAGTTGTGAGAAACGAACAAAGCCATGGGAAGAATCATTCATACCTGCAGTCCAAATGCCACCCGCTAAAGACCAATTGGATGAGGAACGCGTAGATAGGAAATGGGCACCGTACCGCAGGAGCCAATGGCCAGGATGGTAATGACGCCAGGAATCCACCAGGACTTTGTGAGCGACCGGATGCGCCACGCGAAGAAGAGTTGAATTGGCGTCGAGATTGCAACCTGGGAGAAGGTCAATCAAGAAATAAAAGGGCTGCCACAAAACACGCACAATGAGGAGGGGTTCTAAAGGAGCAAGAAATCGTGGTCAGGCAAGCTGAGAGACAACGCAAGCAACTCACCAGTGACAAAGACTGGGGGGAGATGTCAGTTTGATGTACTAGGCAGAAATACGGTGGACATACATGTTGGGAAGAAAATCGGCCTTTGCCCTTGAAAACGCGTCAGTCGAATGAGAATCAGAGTAAGCGCTGCGCACCGTATTCGAGAATGAGTGGTTGGTACATGAACGCCATATCAAACGCGGTATTCGCGGTCTCAAGGATGAAAAGGAAGGAGACCTAGCATCGACTTAAGTGCTTGCCACAAATACCGGCGATTCGCCAGTCTTACAAAGGTCTTCATCCATATCGCATCCCTGCACAAGATCATTAGTCGGATAACCATGAAAGCCTCCATACTGGACGCACTTAGAATAAACTTGGAAATAAGTCAACACCTGCAAGCGACGGTGAGCAAGGCAAGGGGATGTTGACTGCAGGGCGGACCTGGCTAATGAGGACCTGTCATATTACATGGGTAAACATTCCGAATGCCTTGGACGATGGACGCACCCCATAAAGAATCATGTTAACGAAAACCCCAATCAGCATCGGCCCAAAGCTTTGCATTCCGTCAGCCACAAACGTCAATCGTTGCATCGAGCTCACAGTAGCTGAACATTGGGGAGTGTCGGTGCGGGGGTGGCCATGGTGGAGGAAGGGAGCGGATCGCGGGAGACGAAACAAATGGCCTTCTTTTTGTATATTGGCAAACAACCCAGGCTGCCTACATATTTCTCTGGCTCCATATGTCACACGCCGAGCGCAACGGTCAGCTATCCGCATATGGACTGTCGAGATTTATCATTTCCGAGTGTCATCAAGTTCCACGGACTTCGCGACGAGGGCATTTGGGTTGAGCCATGTGACGCAAAGCAGGCAATCAAGCCACCTGCGACACCGCTGTGAAAAGGTGCGAGACTGACTGTTGAAAGCACCAATGATGATGAAGTGTGTCTATCATTTCTCCTTCGAGGTGAATCCAGGTGGCATCGGCGGTTGAAGCAGCAAGCGTTGTCTTTTCCAGATAACATCGACGATTTGATTTGTGAGATGACTTGTTGCTGGACAAGTTTGTGCAAAGAGACGACGAAGATCGAACACTCACGCGAGTGGCACGCGAGGTCAATTTGTTTTTAGGTTGCACAGACCCTCTTCGTAACTTGCCAGGATGGTGACTGATCGAAGGTAAATCATGATGAAAAAAGGGTTCTATCCGACCACTTATTAGAGTCTTCTGTTTGCGCGCCGTCCTAAGTAGACTTCACTGTGGGCGGTGCAACAGCACAACAGCTCAATCAGACATTCGGCAGTCGAGAGGGAAGTCGAAAGGCGGTATAGAATTGCTGCAAAGCCCAGAATTCAATTGCACCCAGAAAATTCCAAGCCAGACCGAATCGAGAACGGAGGATGCCGTGAGGTTCGTCAGTCTGTTTAGTCGTGTACCAGGTACGCGGTCCCGCGTTCACGCAACGTAGTTGAAGCACATCGCTCGCAACTGGGCGACGTGAGAGGAAGAAAAAGCACGTCATCAGCCCATCAAATGCCTGTCACGGTCACCCCGCGATGATGCTCTCTAGCGCTCTCTTCAAGTTCGATCCCTGCACGACCATGTTACGCTCCACAGAAAAAATCGTCTCCTGACTAGCGTTCACAAGGTTGCGCCTACTTCGTGCCCTCCCGCGGTCGATCCTATTGACTCTGGACTTCGAATGTTCACAACTTGCGCATCAAGGAAGAAGTCGGACTCTATAGCTACGTACTAGGTATTCAATGCAATAATGAGGAGTGCGGTAAGTAACATCTTCCATGTGTTTTGACGATAAGTCGCAGAGCCGCATGCTCACAACTCAGACAGATAAGGACTCTTCAAGACTCATCTCTGCCTGAGCCTCAGGAGACTGGAACGGAGTGCCAGTGTCTTGTTCACCGCTGAGTGTTAGACATTGCACAATGTCGTCAGTTGTGTCGACGGGTCAATCAGGCTGCCAAGATAAGAACGCTCCTTCAGACGAAGTGCAAGGTCCCGACATTTAACGCGTGGGACCAAGCAACCGTAAAAATCGATAGCCATTGAGTTCGCGGGCCTCATTACAAGACTTTGCGGTGAACGCGAACGTCGGGCGGCGTTCACGGTTGAGATCAATCCGTTCCTCATCTGCCAGAAATTGAAGCTGGACCTTTGGCATACATCGAAGCTTTGCCAGCCTGAGTGCAGCCAACAGCCTCAAGCCTTGCCAACCTCTGACTGGGAAAGCTTGAAGTACGTCTGCAGGTCAGATTCGATGGGTCGTACCTTAACCTATAGTATATTTTCTTTGCGGAAAAACTGGCCTGAAACAGATAGTTCGTCGGCATAACTCTGGATGATTCGTTTGTCATCCGCTCTTCACGATAGGTGACGGTCACGTTGTGTGTGACACTCGTGTCCTCCACTGCTGCATTGCAACACAAACGCGAAAGCACAGCGTTAGATGACCTATCCTCATACCATCATGATATATCCGCTATCTAATAAGAGCATACACAGAGCAAAGACCGACGACAAGCAAACGACAGAGGTGTTGTGAGTTGATTACTACGCTCCCAGCCCAGCCAGCTCCTTGCGTATCTCTGCCTCTCCCTCCATCTTTTTGAGCTGTGTCGCCTCCAAACGCTCGCCGCGCTTGGCCTTTTCCTTGAGCTCATCGATGGCTTTGAGCTAATGCATTGGTTTAGACGAGAAAGAGAAGACGAAACAAAGTCACAAACCTTCTTATTGAGATTGCGAACTTTCTTCGCGATTGGGTCCAGCGCGCCATCTGCCCCAGGTGTCGCAACACTCGGTGACAGCTCCCCTCCATCTGCCAAATCAGGCGGCGGGATGTAAAGTGAACCTTTGACATTCCCGTTGCTGTTCGACCTGCTGCCGTTGGGCTTCCCTCCTTCTCCAGCAGGCGTGACCTCGATTGACGGTCTCCCGGACCGAGGTTCCTCACCACCACCATTCCGCTCCCGGTCTTTGCGTCGAGGCCGGGTATTGCCATTGCCGTTGACATATCCCTCACCCGACCCGTCCTCTCCATCTTTCTTACCCTTCTTCCTCCTGTTCTTCTTCTCTCCATCAGGCCCGGGACTGGGTGAATGTGGAGCAGAACCAGGAGCACCAGGTACATGTCTCCTTCTCTCTCCACCATTCGAATACGGCGGCCCGCCTCCATTCGCTTGAGGCGCAGAGCCGGGGACTGGAGAGCGGTTATACCTGGGGGGAGTCGCACTCCCACTATGAGTGCCCATCACGTGAGGCACCCCACCCTCATCCTCACGCTTGAAAATGGCGGGAGTTGCGAGGCCGCGAGCACCAGGAGGCCTGTAGGCACCAGCAGGTCGAGTGGGTGTTGGTTTGGCGACTGCCGCATTCGCCAAAAACACTCGGGTTGGCAGGTGGAGCAGCCGGCAAGGTAGGTCCAAATGGCGCGACTTTATCGACTGGAGTCGGTCGCCACGAGGCCTGGTATAGTTCGTCGACAAGCTGGACATGCATGAGAGGCCCACTGCAGTGGTATATTTTGACACAGTTGTCGACTCGCAATCGGGGCGAAAGCGTTGCAGCCATGATGAAACGACCATCGGGAGACCAGTCACAGTAGGAGGTGTTTGACCCATCAATGGTGCATACTTTGCCCAGACTGCGACGGTCGAAAACGTCTATCTTCCCCGCCATGTTACCAAACCCTGCGATCATGACAAGTCGGCCTTGTGGGTTGAACGATATGAAGTTGGTAGGGGCAGAACCGAAGTCATGGATAGTCCGGACCCGCTGGTCGAAGATCATCGTTTTGGCGGGAACGACTGCAATAACCATTAGTTATCTGGGTAGTAAACGGACAAAATCACTGACATCCATACACAACACCAAACTCCTTAGAGGTCGGACTCCATGCAAAGTCGTGAATAGGACCATCCTTGTCGAGAGTAACCTTGCAATCGAAATTCCCAGCGGCGCTGAGAAGGTACAAGCCGCCCGTCTCTCCATAGTAACTCTTGTTCGAGTTGTCCACATCCGTCTGGGTCAACAGCAGCACCTGGGTTCCTAAATCGTTCCATTTAATCGTCGAACGTTGGGCTTTGAAGAATGTCTTCTGGCAGGTGGGCGGGCTGTTGAGTGAGAGCAGGCCGTAGATTTTGATGCTAGCGGGCTGGCCCTGCAGTTACATTCATCAGCGTTGGAAAAGCTACAATGAACGATAGGCAGACCTTTTTTTCCGCCACGAAAACCGCAATGGAGGGGTTGAGGCCAGGGCTCAAGGAGACACTGGTCGCATTTTCCACTTTAAGTTTGTCGACCACCCCCTTTGCCCATTCGGCTGGTCGAAAAACCTGAACTTCTGCCCCAACGAGCCGAATAGCATGCGATTCCGATATCGTGTACTGAAGATCCCATGCCTCCTGGCTCTTTTGAGTGAACGAGATGAGTTCTTCGCCTGTGGAGGAAGAAAAGACCCTGAGATTTTTGTGTTGCTCGCCGTCTTCGAGCTTAACAGGGCGTTCCCATGTCGAGAGGTAAGTTCCGCGCGGCGAAAACTTGATATCGACAATGTTGGGAATGGGCAGCTCTTGGAGAAGCTGGGCACCCTCTGCTTGGAAAATCCGCACCCTGAAGAAGAAAACGTGGTCGGAAAACCTCCACGAGGTAACAAAACAACGTACCCGCTAGCCAATGCATAGGCGTAGAGCCGTCCGTCAGCGCTATATTGATAGGTGCGCACGGGCACTTCGGGGACCTCAAAATTGGGGGCGACAATGTAGTCGGGTGAGCCGCCAACAAGGCCGATGGTTTTTTGAGCACGGACTAAAAACAGATTAGCCGAGAGGAAGCAGAGGAAACTAGAGAGGGAATGATAAAGGAATTCCGTATGACGATCGACCACAAACGTGGCACTAGGGGAAAGAGGATTCTTTCAAGCAATGGATGAGATCCTCCAAACTCTGTAAGGGCTTCGATATAGCCGCACAAAGAGCGGACACCGGTGACAACGGGCATCGTGGGGTTCATCGGCTTTTGGACGAGCCCCGGACCAAGGGAGTCGCGGAAGAAAATGGGGTTGGGATGGAAGAGGCAAACAGTAAGGGTGAGCAGTACTGACATGAGTATTGCTGCGAGATTTCGGAGGCCATCGTTGGAGTGTCGGTGGGGCAGAGGGACGGGGTGAGAAGCAAGCTAATGCTTCGCGGACGGGCGGAGGAGGGGAGGAGAGACAAGATGTGAGGCTGTGCAATTGTCACAGCACATTTTTTCCTGCCTGGTGATTGCGAGTTGTTGTGTGGTAAGAATGAACTTGAACGCTGGAGCCTTGGGAAACAAGTGAGGAAACTTCAAGCCGCTCAAAGTTCTTTCGAGCGCAGGGAAATGGTACTGGTGTCCGAATCGCCAACATTGTCACTTGAATCCAGCCCATAATATTCCTTTTCCAGCTACGAGATACAACAGGTTATTTTGCTAGATGTCTACAACTTCGCTTGCGCGCTGAGCTTCTTGTCCAGTTTAGTCTACCAAACGATTTTAGCGCCAGCTCATCGGGACAGAAATGAAACCTACCTTGACCGCATCCATGTAAACGTCGGTGATGACCCAGTGCTCGCGCTTCATCTCCCTCCCGTGGATCGCGAGCGCCAAATCCTTGGTCATCACACCGTCCTTGTCGATAACTTCCACACAAGCTTCCTCTAGCTTCTCGCAGAACGCCTTTAACGGGGCGTTGTTGTCGAGCTTGGCGCGGTGAAGCAAACCCCTCGTCCAAGCGAAGATGCTGGCAACCGGGTTGGTTGATGGCTCGTTACCCTTCTGATACTCGCGATAGTGTCTGGTGACTGTTCCGTGCGCTGCTTCACTCTCGATGACCTGGCCATCAGGGGTGATGAGCTCAGATGTCATCATGCCCAGACTACCAAAGCCTTGAGCAAGGATGTCAGACTGGACATCACCATCGTAGTTTTTGCAGGCCCAAACGAAACCACCAGAAGATTTGACAGCCTGGGCAACCATGTCGTCGATGAGACGGTGTTCATAATAGATAGCAGCGTCATCAAAGAGAGGCTTGTAGTGTCTAGCCATTATCAGCACCCGCTCAGAGGAACTTGAAAATCACGACACGCACGATTCATAAATCTCCTGGAAGATGTCTTTGAACCTCCCATCGTATTTTTTCATGATTGTGTTCTTGGTCGACATGAACAATGGCATTTTCTTCGCCAGCGCCATCTTGAACGAAGAGTGCGCAAACCCGGTTATTGACTCGTCGGTATTGTACATTGACATGGCGACACCTTTCCCTTTGAAGTCGTAAACATTCAAGGTCGTTGCAGGTGACCCGTCTGTTGGCGTGTAAACCAGTTGGAGTTTGCCGGGGCCAGGAGCAACAAAGTCGGTTGAACGGTACTAATAAGCCGACTTGAGCAGTCGAGTTATCCCACACAGAAATACCGACCTGGTCACCAAAAGCATGACGCCCGATAACGATGGGCTTCACCCACCCAGGTATGGGTTTGGGAATACGACTGAGGATGATAGGCTCCCTGAATACCGTTCCTCCGAGAATGTTGCGAATCTAAAGTTTTCAGTCAACTTGGAGGAATTGCGACGCATTGAACTCACCGTCCCGTTCGGACTCTTCCACATCTCTTTGAGTTTAAATTCCTCTACCCTGGCCTCGTCGGGCGTGATGGTTGCGCACTTGATGCCGACTTTGTGCTGCAGGATAGCGTTGGCAGCCTCAACAGTGACCTTGTCGTCTGTCTTGTCCCGGTACTCGAGCCCCAGGTCGAAGTACTTGATGTCCAGTTGCAGATAGGGCAGAATGAGCTGGAGACGTAAGTTGAACACAACACGTTGCACCGAACGGGGAACACACCTCTTCCCGAATCTTCTTCCAGATGATCCTCGTCATCTCATCGCCGTCCAGCTCGACAACAGGATTCGCCACCACGATCTTTTGAGCATCTGCCTCTGTTGCCTGGTGGTCAACCATGTCCAAACATGAATGGGAAATTTACTCACGAAGTCGGAGACTGGTGGTGAATGATCGTGACGCAGCAAACCTTGGCGGGAGCCGACTGGCAGCGGCCAGGCTTCGCGAGCGTAGATACATGGCGAGTTGAAAGGATTGTGGGGTAGGAATGTGGAGAAAGAGTCAGACGTGGCACAACCGCAAGGTTGCCAGCGTTAAAAATCAAGATGTGATCAACGGCGTCACAAGGAACAAACTTCTTCCTTGCCGAGCGCGAGGTTACAGCCTCGCTTGGACAGTCTCAACTCTCTTGTGCTGGTGCTAAAAGTACTACTAGGGAACTGGCAAAGCTGAATCGGCAGCCCGGTCCGAATCCAGACTCGGATATGATAAGATCATTGACATTCACGTGGCCAATTTTGCATCCAACGGAAAAGCTGGTCACTCCACACATCGCAGAATGTGGATGAAGAGATAATATCAATATTGTTATTTGGGCTCAGTAATACATTGAGGCTTTAGAACGTGATAGGCCACGAGTTTCGTAGGCCGACCGAGGCGCTCCCTTTGCCGTTGTAGATCAGCCCGCCATCATCGTCGTACAGTTTTGCAGTTGTGGCCGTGACCGTGAGCAAATATGTTCCCGAGACGGGGGTGGTCAATTGGCCCTTGAATGCGCCGTTTCCGAGGTTAGCGCAGTCACCCGTGCCGACTGCGGTATCGAGCGAGACATGGAGGGTGGTTCCATCTCCGAAGAGGATGAGGTCAACAATAGAAGAAGCGAATTCGCTGTCGGCGTGCGCGATAGTGGCTTGCAGGGCGGCTTCGTCTGCCGAGGGGACCTTCTCTTTGATAGCTTTGATTGCTGGAATACGTTAAAGGGAGGACATAGACGCCATTTACTGAGGCCTACCAGCGTCCCAGGTCGACATTATTGAGAGTAGATCGAGAAAATTTGTGAGGTCTGCACCGTTGTCAGTAGGGGCTGCTGCAACAAGGCCGAGAAACCAACTAGTGGTGAAAGCGGGAAGCTGAAACTGAGGTTGAGCATTTGCGCCTCACCCTTAAATACTGCTGTCCACCTAGCTGTGGTTTTGGGCAAGGACTTGAAGCTCGACTAGGAAACGCATCAACCGAAATGATGATGGCATTCGGAATGTAAGGATGAATGTTGGTTGAATGGATAACATATATGGCCAAGACGCTGGAGTCTCACGAGCCTTCAGTCAGTAGGAGTTTGAGCTCGCCGGTGGCTCGATGTGACAATTCGTCGTGTCGTGCCAGCGGTTCTGCAAAGACAGAACTAAAATCTTAGTTCCTGTGCATCCAGAGGCACGGCAGCATTATTATCTTGGAAAGCAACAAGGAGTTTCGGGCCTGCCGGTAGCCTGGTCGGCGGGAAGCGCATCCGAACTTGATTAACGAGTGTTAATATTGAGTGAAATCGCTGGGCACAGTACCGAACTGGGTGCTCGCCGTCAAAGTACTTGTATGTACTTATGCGAGTCGTCATGATGAGCGATTCCCCAAGTTTCAACCTTCAACGTTGACCTCTAGGAAAACCATCGCCTGGCCATGATATAGCTGAGAGAAAAAGATTGCGTGATGTGACCTGACGTGACCTGTCACGCTAGTATGGCTGCAACACGCACAGCCGCAATTCAAAAATGTTTAGGTGGGAAACGTTAGTGGGAATATATAAAGTTTTTTCTTGGCCCAAAAACTCATTGCAAAACATTAAATATTTTGGTCCTAAAAATCCTGTTGCCCCAGCCAAGTCAACATTTTTTGAGCAGAAAAACTCAAAGTTTTTTACACAATAAAAAATTAATTGCAAAATTTTATATATTCCCACTAACGTTTCCCACCTAAACATTTTTGAATCACGGCTGTGACGAACCGCGACTGACTGCGACTGAGTGTTTTCATTCTATGGTCCTAGTCTTCTTCACATCTTTCGTAAAATCTGTATAAAGGACAGTGGGCGCCTCTCCATTATAAACTCGCCAGCCTATCATCCTTGACTTGGTTCTTGTCCCAGATCATTGAAGATAAAGCGACCATCAAGCTACTTGAGCGATGTTCTAAGCCAAATGACGCCCCCCGCGACGGTCGACGATAGCAGGACGAGCGAAATCCAGGGTTTATCACCACCTAGCAAGGTCAGCACCCATCAAGCACGTTTGGCTCGTTTTCATGGCGATGGAGAGGATACAACAAATATGTAGCTCCGCGGAAGTTTCGTGAGTCTGCATGTGTTCATCACCTGCGCCTGCGTCGGCAATGCTTTCAAGTTGGGCCAGCTCATGGGCTATTTTTGTTTCATCGTTTGGTCAACAAGAGATACGTGTTGGATACACGGCGACCGAAGCCGTCCCGGAAATTCCCATGAATGCAACTCCCGTCTTAGGCCACAATCCGAATTCATCTATCCAGCCGCACTGGTAGCTTAAGTTTCCTCCTTCGCAAGGTCAAGATTCTTCCTTCCATCGAATAGGGATCATCAAGTCTTCTGCAGTACTTCCGCTCTTCCACTCCTCGTCTCCACCCGTTCCGGCTGATTTCACGATTGATCCATCAATCTCAACAAGATAACGACGCGGCGAGCTGTTGCCGTATTTTCGTCGAAAAGTACAAGTACACATGTTGCTGCTGCGAGTGCATCCCCACTCGTTCCTTTCTTCCTGCTCTTTTTTCCTTCATATTGTTTTGCCCTCATTGCGACTCGTATGGTTCAACGGCCTCCGTTTTCACCATTCATATTCTGCTTGTTTGTTGCTTCCTCCTTCGCTCATCCCAGCCACGACGACGCACGACATCTCCCTGGCGCTTGGTATCATCAAGACGATCACCCAGGTTCTCATACTTAATGCTTGCGTCAAATATACTTGGTGCTAATCATGTTCCCATTAGTGAGAACACTTTTCCGTCGTGGCACAGATGGAAACACCTACGCTCCTGTTGGCTCTCCTGGAAAGTCTATACATATCTCGTTATCATCTTGCAACTCCAACTAATGTTCGGAAATAGAATGGTCCAAAGGCTTTCCCAAAGCCGGGGCAACACCCAACAACATTCCTGATATATGGACCGCCGCACTGAAGGCTGCTGCTGATAGCAAACTGATTCCCAACATCCCCGTCGCCTATGTCGACCCAAACCTCCCCGATGGCGAGGGAATTCCGACATATCCCAAAGGTAACCGCCATGTTTCTTGTAAGACAGGGAAGCTTATTGAGTTAAAACAGGCCACGATCCCAATAGTGCTGAGGTGTGCTCCGCGACCGCCAAGTGCAAAATACCTGGAGATATTTGGGATGCGCCGGAAGGGCAACTGGCATTGAGCTTTGACGATGGCCCCACCGATGTCAGTGCTTTGGATCATAACCTGGTCGAATTGACGAGGACTTCCAGGCAACCGCTGACTTATTAGACTTCCTCAAAGCCAACGGCCAGACGACGACCCACTTCATGATTGGCAGCAACATCCTTTCCTCCCCTAATGCATTCAGCAAAGCGTTCGATCTCAACAATGACATCGCAGGCAAGCTTTCGTTTGTTTCACAAATGGCTCACGGAGAACATTCAGTTCACACATGGAGCCACCCATTCATGACCACGCTCTCCAACGAAAAGGTCGTCGCTGAGTTGGGCTGGACAATGCAGCTGATCCACGACTCAACTGGCGGAAGAGTTCCCCGGTTTTGGCGTCCACCTTTTGGCGACAGTGATGTCCGCACCCGTGCGATTGCAAAAGAGGTCTTCGGGCTGACGACGGTTATCTGGAACAAAGACACTAGCGATTGGGGGCTGACAGACAAGCCTCCAAGCAGCTCTCTCTCTAAAATCAACGCTAGCATGACCCAGTGGCTTACGGCGAAGAGTAAATCGCCTGGATTAGTCATTCTCGAGCACGAGCTGACAAGTCAGAGTGTGCAAGCATTCAAGAGCGCATATCCTGTCATGAAGAGCAACAACTGGAACGTCGTGTCGCTCGCCCAGCTTTTCGGTAATGGCAACGCCTATCTCAATGCCGCAGATAACCGTGGCGCGGTTCCTCTTGTAACGAATATTGCGAATGCGAAGAACGGGAACCCTTCCATATCTCAGCCACTCAGTTTATCTTCTACTTCCGGCAGGGCAAGCACCTCTAAAGGAGGCAACTCGATTCTTCCTACTTCATCTACCCGCCCATTACCATCGTCGAGCGCCGCTTCCAGAGGGAATTCCAATGACGCAGAACGACTCCGAGCGGCATTTCACATCTGGTTGCCAGTTCTTTTCGGCGGAATAGCTGGCCTAGGACTTGTGCTTTGTTGATCGGACTCCTTGGACTATTACTATTACCACTTCAGTAGCTATATGCACTTATTGGACTGGCACTTACTATTACAAATATAAGCACTTGTACTGGATTACTTATTAATACTTAAACGCATGATATTTGGCACGTGACTTCGAAAGTGTCGTCGTTGTCAATGTCTAATGTTGGTCTAATGTCTTCGTCGCGCTCCACCAGGACTCAGAGTGTCCATCTCCTTCGATCGCTTCACCCGTAACAAATTGTTTGACTTGTCCGCCGGGCTTCTTTGTGACAAGAACAGGCGGCATACATTCACGGTAATAGAAGATGTTTGACCAGCTCAGCCGCTGAACTCTGGACATCAAGGCCATCTCCGGCGTCTCCAAAGCTCCTAGAGCCTCAATACGATGACAATAACCCGCCATATTCCGGCGGCGCCTCCTCCCGCGGCCCGTGGCATCTTTCATTCGACATCCATTCCCCTTGCGTTCCCAATGTCATATGAACAACGTTCAATTGCTTGTTACTGAAAGGTTCGCAGCCTTTCCATCAAACACTAGCAAGCTCTGTAATAACGGAACCGGTATTTAAGGACAACCTCTCAGTCGGAAACACCAGTCGGCGTCCCCCCATTTTTCTTCCAAGGTCAGTTGTGTGGCATATCCTCGTTTGCGCAGTCACTTAGCTGAACACCCTCTAGTTCTGCGATCCCCCTAAACCTGACTTTTATTTTTGAACAATGGCCGTCGCGACCTGGGAGACTTGTGCGATGTGTTATCTCGGGCGTTATATTGCCAGTGTGCTCAACATCCTCTAGCACTTACTGCCCTCAAGGACAATACCCCCGCTGCTGCAGAGGCCGCTGCCTCTACTTCCCTGACTGAGCGCATCGCAGCTGCTGACAAGGAATTCGCTGCCTCGATTGTTCGCTTCTTGATCTACTCAGACGGAACTTCACTCTGGATTACAAACAAGTTCCAAACTGGACAGGGCGCGTGTCCTAAAGTCGGAGCTGCCGCTTTCACAGGGTTCCAGACTGGCTGGTTGTCTGGCACTTACAAGCTCGTCATCACCGCCCACCATGTAAAATTGGTCAGCCGTTTTGGACTCATTGTCTTCCACGGTACGGGCTTCGCGCCTCCCCCTCTTCGCGGTAGCTGGCCCGTCGTTTTCTAAAGTCATGTATAATATTTGTTTTGTACCGTATTATTTACATAAATAACAAACAACTTGGCCACACATGATGATACCAAGACGCACACAGTTGCCCCAGTATGTCACGTTCGGTCACTCTGTTGATTCCTTTCCTCGATCCATCGTCAACGTTCGCAGTCCGAGTCCTTACTCTCTTGCAACATTCAAGCCATGTCACGTTCACCCACTAGTATACTAGTAGGGACGACCAACGTCGCCGTATCAAGCAGGTGGAACTGAGTACTTCAAGTTGACTCTGGCGAGTGGTTATTCAGCGTTTCGGCACGGATTACCTGTTCCGGTGTGGCTTTGACGACAACGAGGCCGACATCAACTTGCAGACGACGGTCTAGGTCCCACTATCCTCATTCAGCGGCGACATCGTCCCTGGCAAATCACGTCAACCCACCGCAAGTTTACACACTACATACATACACAGCCTTTCGGCGGGCCTTCATTCCTACTGGCGTTCGCAATGGTGTTTAGAACCCAATACCGGACAGTGGACCCGGCTCTTCTCCCATCCCGTCATAGGCCGAATCCTAAATCAATTGCGACTCTCTTCCCCCCCTCCCGCAGCATTTCCCAAGCTCGATGATCTGTTATGGGTTTTCTTATCTGGCACAAGCTCTAAATATGGAGCTACATATGACCCCGATTGACCTTCTTCGAGACGTGTGGTTTGCGTTCATCCTTACATTCAACACGTCAATGACATTGTTAGTCCTGCTTCAAACCTTCCATTAGCCTTGACGAGCAATCACCGTCGAGGGGCCGGTATATTAGGCAGCGGAGGAGCGGAAATTTTGACTCGAAGCTCCTCGCAAGGTCGGTGTCACAACATCTGTTGTGTTGACCCTCGAGCCTTATCATTTTACCAACCCAGCAATATCTTATCCTCAACTATGTCTAATTGGGATGCTTGTGAGTGATGGTATATGCGGAGTCATAATCGACTGATCGAGCATCATCCACTATAGCACTGAAAGTCTTGAGAAACAAGGCCCCTGCTGTTGCTGAGCCTTCTATCGCTGCGGCCTTAGACGCGCGCATTGCAGCTGCCGAGAGGGAATTCGATGCGTCGCTTGTCTGGCTCATCTTATATCCAGATGGTACCAACCTCCATCTTGGGACCAACGGGCTTCAGCACTATGGAGTGGGCCCGTCCAGGAATATCGGACACGGTGCTTTCAAAGGATTCCAACATAGTCTATTCTTCGGCCCTTACACTCTCCGAGTCACTGCAACGAGTGCGCACCTGTACAACCCGTTTGGCATTGCCGTCTACGAAGGCACAGGCTATGCTCAACCTTCAATTCGTGGGTTCTGGTCGATGGTGTTTTAACTGGGATAACATTAGCATACTCATACTGTCTGAATCTTTCATACTTATTGCGGACTAAACTTTGTATTACTATGTACTCAAATAACAATCAAGCTCAGCTTACTTGCCAAATCGCTTTACGCATGTCACAACACTGTCACGACCCATGATTTTGCCGCTTACAACGTTTACTGAGAGTTGAAGTCAACGGTTGCCCTGCTCTTCTACGAACACCAGAGTGTATGCATCTATTTCTCCTTGGAAGCCAGCTTTGAATACTGCAACTGTAGGGGCCCACTCGCGTTCGTTGCGCGTTCAACTTGAAAACATACTCACAGTATACTCTGAGTACTCAAGCTCTCACTCGAAGCCGCCAGCACTGACGACTCCGCTGTAAGGTTTGAGGAGCTCATGCTTGGTAGCGTCGACATTTTAAATTTGCTTCCTCAGGCTGGCGCTGACTACAAACCACATAAGCACGAGCACAAGGGGCACCAACCATGGCAGCTTGCGACTTTGCACCGGTAGTCTGGCAGTTAAGAGACCAGGTTGACACTAGAAATGATGCAAAGAGTTCGTGTCCACACTTGCGCACGGCTTCTCTCTGACCCGATTTCTCCAGGGTCCAACCAGGCAGACCACACGAATCTGCCCAGGGCGACGGCATGGGATTTGCCGTTCTCTGCCATGAAAGTCGTAGCTCAATCTCAAGACTCTCACTTGACCACACTGTCTTCCTTTCATGACATCCTGCATTCTGGTAGCATACAACCCTCCATTCGGTGCGTCGACGCTCAACATCAACAATATTTCCAAGCTCGGCTCCAAATCTCGCCATTCACTGAGCCTCTTCGGACAATAATGATCATCGAGAGGTAGCAGCATATTTAAGGAAAGCCTACAGACGTGAAAATTAAAGCCCGCTCGTTTATTGAAAGGTCGGCTGCTTGCCTCTGGCAGTGCCATCGATAGCTGATAAACCTATCTTTAGTTTCCCCCAATCAGCGAATCATCAGCCATGTCCACCTGGGATGCTCGTAGGTCACCCTTTGAACCCGCTGGATTTCAAGTCAAGTCCTGCAATAGCACTTCACCGCCTTAAAGACAATGTTCCCACCTCTGCTAATGCCGCCGCCGCCGCCAGCCTTGATGAGCGAGTCGCAGAGGCCGACAAGGAATTCGCTTCTTCCGTCGTCCCCCTCCTCCTTTGGGCGGACGGTTCAATAATCTATGTCTCCACCAATATCCAACAGGGCCAAGGGCTGTGCGGCAAAGCAGGTGATGCCGCTTTCAAGGGCTTCCAGACCGGCTGGTTATACGGCACCTACACCCTCACCGTGACCTCCACCACTGCGCAGTTGTTGAACGCCAACGGCCTCGTCGTCTACAACGGCATTGGATATGCGTCATCGACTATTCGTGGCACCTGGCAAGTCAGTTTCTAAACAGTCCATACCTGTAGCAGCAGTCCTGGGCTGGGAACAATTCACTCCGAGTTCAAAAGTTGGCAACTTGTCCCAAGTACTTACCTGTTCTCTCAATCCCATCTGTATTTTGTGTTGTACACCCCTTCCGTCGCCGTGTACTATGAACCCTTTGAGATGATACCGCTATAAAAAGAAAGTTGGGAGATGAGCGAGTGCCACGTGATCATGACACATCTTACAAATCACCACCAACCGTCGACCAGTTGACTCGGAGCCACAATTTAGCACAGAGACGCATGAAGCAAGTGATTCCTATTTCCAGTTCGTCTTCCTGCAAATGTCGCCGTACTACTCTGCCCAGCCGTATTTTCCTGTGACGTATTCAAGCTCAAGTCAAGATATCCGTCCGGTGCCCGAATCTTACCGTAAAACAACAATAACTCGATCTGCTCATCTCCTCCCTACTTCAATAATCATCAAAAGCTAAGGCTATGCTATGAATTCCTAGACAACAGGGCTCCAGGTCCGAATACACTGTTCAACGGCATCTTGCTCAAGTTACTTCCGGCGAATGCACAACTCCGAGTCCTGGTACACAGAAGACAGCAGCAACGAAATTATGTTGGCATTCCGGCAATTGGAAACCCCTGCAGACACAACAATGATGTGGAGAGGTCAGACGCGCACTTGCACTTGCTATTCGGTTCCCGAATCAGCTCGCGCTTCTCACTTGGACGGCATACAAATCATTATCATTTGTACGACGAGTTGTAACTCAAGGTCGAGAACCTATTTTCAGACGGACTCCGCCAATTCTCCGCATTTTCCCCCCTCGAGATGTGACATCCCACATTCTAATAACATTCAGTCCTACATTCGGCGCGTCGACCTTCCAGTATTTCCAACCTCAGCTCCAAATGTCTCCATCACATTGAGCGAGCCTTTTTGAGCAACAAAGACAAAGGAGCTGCAGAGTATTTAACAACAGCATATGGAAAGCACATCTCAGTCCAAGCCCGCTTACCTCCAAGGTCGGTTGACAAACGCTCGGGCTATTCGTGTCGTTCAATTGACCGTCTCCCCAGTTTTCATACCAAAGCTACCAATTATCCCTGATTTTAAAACATGTCGACCTGGGACGCCTGTAGGTCATCGTCAACGCGTCCATTTCTCAACTGACTTTCTGCTCCAGCACTGAAAAGCCTCAAAGACAAGGCCCCTGCTGCTGCTGAAGCCGCCGCCACTTCGAGCCTAGACGAGCGAGTCGCAGCCGCCGACAAGGAATTTGCATCCTCCGTCGTCCCCCTGCTCCTCTGGGCAGACGGCTCCATTATTTACGTCACCACCAACAACCAGCAAGGCCAGGGCCTGTGTGGCAAGGCGGGTGATGCCGCTTTCAAGGGCTTCCAGACCGGCTGGCTCTACGGCACCTACACGCTCGTGGTCACCTCCACCACCGCGCAGTTGTTGAACGCCAACGGCCTCGTTGTCTACAACGGCATTGGATACGCGTCGCCAACCATTCGCGGCAGCTGGCAAGTCAGTTTCTAAGTAGCAACCTGGAATAACAGTTGTTGTCAATAACAATGTTTTTTGAATCTTGTTGTTTGTTTCTTGTGGCGTGCCCCACTATAGTTCCCATTGCTTATCAGATTAGCCTCAAACCATCATTTCATGCTGCCCCCTCGAGAGTACTATACTCAGGGTAATCGCAGCAGCAGCAGCATCACCTGAGTGGAAATAACAAGCGACAGCCGCCAGATCCGAGTTTGGCCAGTTTTTATCTTTCACTGTGTCCCAGATTCAGCACAGTTTATTATATATGTGCTTAGTACTTGCTGCACTTCTGCTCAAAAGGCTCACTGTAAAATTGTTTGTTGACTCTGAACCCATTAAATTTGGAAAGCTACCACATATAGACCCAATAAATAAGCATTTACGCCATATAATTCTCCAGCTGCGCCCCAGAAATCGTATTGGCGCGATGCGCAAGCGTCTCTTCCTCGCCATGCCGCTGTGGCTGGAGATCCTCCTTTCGGATTCCACGATGCTGAAGAGCATACGCCCGACATGCCTCTCTGCTCTGGACCAGCTCTGGGTCTTCCCTGTCGAGCGCGTATACTCTCATACCCGTAAAGTTGTACTCCAACAACGCTTTCAGCGTCGGCAGGAGGGTTTTGTCGGGGGAGTAAGTCCCCGAGTTGTTGTCGACGACCAGCTCCCATTCCACGTCGCCATCGTTCGTTGACTCCCTGAATGCGGCCCAGCCTCCCGCTGGCCGTGGGTGGAACTCGCCCGAGTAGCGGACACAGGGATGGCAGTTGGCGTGCAACGCGTGTTTTGACGCAAAGTCGACGAAAAAGGCGGCACCCGTTTCGGAAAACCGCAGCGAGTCGTCCTCCGCTGAGATGATATAAGTGTAGACAGCGGGCTTGACCCGCGTTCCCCCTCGCAAAAGGCCGAGAATCTCATGCCCTGCTTCAATGACCCCAAACTGGTTGGTCGTTGCACGGGCATACAGCAAGCGATGGCCCCCCATAATGCCAGACCGAACCGCCATCGATGAGGGCCCTGGGCCAAATATGTTTTGGGCGGCCTTGTAGCCGTGATTCCATTGCTGGACGGTGTCGCCAAAGAAGAGCTGGACACCCTTGATGTACATTTTCCATGTCGAGTACAACCGAGCGCGGTCATCCGAGGTGCTGTTGGTGAGGAAGCCGACTGTTGGCGAGAAGTGGCGCGAGAAGCGAATCGGTCCGTCAAACGTGTAGGGTGAGGCTTTCGGATCTTCGGTGTTGGATTTCGTGCTCTCAATCTACGGTTCATTAGTTTCATAACAAGAATTCGTCAAAACACACACCTTGAGCCAGAAGGTCCCTCCAGCCTTGCGCAGCAGCGGTCCCTCAATCTCAGCCTCTTTCGCACCAGCAGTTACGGAAGTGGTGAATTTGCCAATGAAATCATCGGCCTTGGCGCCGTCGTCTTTGTCGAGGACTTCGACGGAAAGACTGGCATGGGCGGGAACGTTTTTCACCCTCCAGATCTCATTCCACACTGGTTTGAGGGTGTTGACTTTGACGGTGGACCTATTGAATACTAAGAGGTGAATGGCGGATAGTACACGAAGACGGACACGAAAGAGATTCTGTTGTCGAGCTTGGCCACGAAGTAGGGGTCGGCAGAGCCAACAACATCGACTTTGGGGATGCCAGAGGCACCGATGAACTGCAAAACATCTGAAAAACTATTCGTAAAAAGAAGACGACAAACGCACTTGAATCGTGAGATCGACATAGGGAATGTCGAGGAGATGCTCCTCTGCCAGGGACTTTGTTACCGCAGCCAGGTCATGGGCATTGTCTCGAGCGTGGTGGACGGCGTTGCCGATGGACTCGATTATCCTGCTCATACTGAGCGGCTGACGTCTGGAGCGCATGAGAAAAAAAAGAGAAAAAAGGTAGAGAGGGGTGAAATGAATGGATGTCACTACCTTTTGCAAAGCGGCTAAGTAGGTCGAAACACCGGAAAGCGCGCCGTTGCCGCAGCACGAGAAAGCGGTGGTGGGGGGAGAAAATGAAGGATGCAGTGCTAGTGATTGAAGAAGAACCATATTGAATGGGCAAATCTTGCCACGACGCCGGGGAGAACATGAAGGGAAGACCAGAGCACTCGTCCCAATTTTAAACGCCCAGAGAAAGTGCAAAGGATTGATACGCGGAAGTAAGTCCTGGACGCGACCATGTGACGACTCGGAACAAAAAGCCAACGCGTTTGGTATCCCGAGTTAAGTATACTGAGTAACACTGTAGCAGGCTGAAACCACCGCTAGCATACCCAATGAATAGCACTTGGAAATTGACGCTATAGTTGCGCTATGATATAGAGATCTTTTATTTAAAGCCAATATTAATACTGGCTGGATACTCGGAAGTCCTCAGTACTAGTAGCAAATCTGCGTCATAAAAAGTCCAGTCTAAATTATGTCCATCTAAAAGTCGTGGCAGTGTCATAAGCTTAAGGAGAGTAACAGTCCACATAGACAAAGTGTAAAAATGGTCGAAGTCGAAAACCTTCCCACAGCCGCGTTGTTCGAACTCTTGCTATTAGGAATGGGAGATGGTGACGACAATGAAGTTGGATTGGACATCGTTGATCGGGATATGGCGGTTGAAGCGCGGAGTGCAGAAGATGAGGAGACAGGCAGTGAAGCATTCTTCGCATTCAAGATACTTCCAACCGGCGTGACTGCACTTCCACTTGTTTCCGCGTTCAAATACGCGCCAGTCCCATTCCCCATCAACGTTGCCAACGACACGACATTCCAGTTGTTCTTCTTCATGACCGGATACGCATTCTTGAATGCCTGCACACTCTGGTCGGAAAGCTCATGCTCCAGGATGACCAAGCCGGGCGACTTGGTTTTGGAGGTGAGCCATGTGGTCATGCTCGCGTTGATCTTGGCCTGGGTAGTCCCGGGCGGCGTATCGGTCAAGCTCCAGTCATCTGTGTCTTGGTTCCAGATGACCGTCGTCAGTCCAAATACCTCTTTTGCGATTGCCCGGGTCCGCAGGTCACTGTCACCGTAAGGCGGCCGCCAAAACCGCGGAACTCGCCCGCCCGTCGAGTTGTGTATGAGTTGGATTGTCCACCCAAGCTCGGCGACCACCTGGGTATTTGTCAAGGTCGTCATGTACGGGTGACTCCAGGTATGGACAGCGATATCGTCGCCTTGACCAAAAGCCTTGGAGAACTGATCAGGCAAGTCGAGCAGATTACTGCCGATCATGAAGTGCGTTGCGGTTTGGTTCTGTGAGAGCAGAAAGGAGGACAGTCCATCTGATGCCTTCAAAAGTTGCAACTGGATTGGTGAATGAGCAATAAGATCAAGCGGAACGTACACTCGTAGGCCCATCATCAAAACTCAGAGCGACATAGCCGTTCGGTGCATCCCAAACATCACCAGGAATTCTACACTGATAGCTTGCAGAACAAACAGAAGGGCTGTTGGGATCATTTCCTATTCCACAAGATCAGCATAGCGAAAAAGGTGACTCAGAAGTCAACACACCGGCCGGATATGTTGGTACACCAGAGCCATCAGCGCCACTGGTGTCGACCTTTGCAACAGGGACATCGGGAATGACTTTGTTAGAGACAGCAGAGTTTAGGGCGTCTGTCCATGCTTGAGGTACGGTTGTTGGTGTTGCCCATTCTGTCGGATAGCCAGCCTTCCACGCTGCGATAGAGCTTATTATTTCATCTCAAAGAGAAAGATAACACGTACCGGATGACCCAACAGCGGCATATGAAGTGCCATCCGTGTTGCCAGCCCGCTTGAAAAGCGCATGGACTTTGATCGAGTTAGTTAGTTTCGAGATGAAGGCATGACGTGAGGTAACACCATACCTGGATGGTCGTCGTGCTGATACCAGCTTTCAGAAAGTGGTCGTGCAATGTTGTGCTCGTTATGCGAATGCACTTCAACCGCAAGGGTAGATGTCGAGACCAGCGGTAGAGCAAGAAGAGAAAGTGATGCGAGCATGAATGATTGTGGTGTGGTCCTGGCGGGTGGAGGAAAGTCGAAGGATGCGTTGATTGTGAGGTATAGGAGTAAATCCACGGCAGTACGACGAGAGCTGAGAAATAGTGTGCAAGCGCCGTCAGCCTCGGAATTCAGAACCAAGTGCTTTTATATAACAAACCCGAGTCCACGCTGAAAACATCCAGGCCAGTTCGGCAGACGATAGAGGGCGGAAACGGGCGCGGCGAGTTATCGCCGTTGGCGCTTACCCTGTACAGCGACATTGGAAGCCAGTTTAGAGCGGTGAAACACAGTGTAATTGTTCGCGGCATTGGTGGCAGGATATCGAGGTGACGAAGGTCTTTATCTGAATGCATTTTGGATCTTGAGGATGAAGCGAAGTCCGCGCTTGCCGTAATTTCTTCGTCATCATCCTCGAACAGCCCCCCACGCATATGAATACTTGCGTTGGTGTTTTCCCTGATCCTACTGGTTATGTCTGGGTACAACAAGAGTCGAAAGGAGAGCTGTAGTTGAGAGATGGGACAGAATCGGACATCACTGTGGTGGATTGAATGCGGTGTCTTTCTTTTCGGCGCGAAAGTCATTGCTTGGTGGTTTTCAAGGCAACATGTGCGGCTCCGTGCCTCTCGCTCTCCGTCTTCCGTGTAGTGTTGCCGACCCCGGGTTGGTCGACAGCGCAAAGGAAGCACACGGGTGCCGTTGGCCGATAAAAGCCCCTGGCGGCTTATGAGCGACTCTCGAGCTAGAATCAGCTTTTCAAGCCTGATGCTCCGACCACACATTCTGAATCATTCAGAGTTGCGACCAAGTTGCGATGCTTATCCGGTATATTCCGAGCACTTGATCGCCGTCATGATCTACAACTACCGATGATCCGCTTCGGTCCTTTGAATTTGACCTTTCGGGGTGATCGTTCGATTGGGTCTTGTGGACAAAGGCATTACTTACAGGTTCAGAGCTCTATCGGTGTAACCAGGGTGTATCTTTCATTGTGGCAAAATGATTCTCTTCAGACGAGTCGAGACCATTGACATTTATCTAGACCCTTGACCACCGTGACAGAGTGACAGTTACAGTAGCTACGGGTGTGACAGTCGGCAACATCGGCATCATTTCGGAGCTTGTCTGGAACCCTCAGCTCCCACTCGAGAAATCCAGGAAACTACCTCAATACTGTACGGGTACGTCCAGAATTACAACGGTAGCCAGCTGGCTCAGTCTTCTGCGCAGTTTTTGCGCCACCGCATCTTGTTTTGCTTTACAAATTTGATGTGCCTTCGGCCCTTCGCCAAGGTGTAAATGAATGATCTGCATGCGCGACTGTCAATGTCCCGACAACGTCTCAAAAGATTTCTCTCTCTTTCGCCCAACTTCCACCACCCACCGCTGGCGATCTATCGTCAATGCTGCCGCTCTCAGAGCGCGGCATCCTCTTGGATTTGACCCCGACGGAGGCCCAAATTTCGACTATAGCCGACCTCAAGATACGTTTTCTCAATATTACTGGTGAAGCTGCATCGTATGGTTGGTCACATCCTGGAGCCACAATATTGAGACTGAAGTGTTTGCAACAAGGGGTGTTTATGACCGTCGCATGGCTAGCTACCAGCAGTTTAATGTGCGTGTCTTCGAGCCGGGAAAATAGTGAAACTTGAATGGAATACAGCTCGAAAGGCTTACGGGACTCGCCTCCTCGTCAGGTGTTATTTGGCTTAACGATTTTCACGCTGCTCGCCACGACAACCCATCTTGCACTTCACCTCACTTCTTTGATACTCCAACTACCGGGAATCGTCATGCTTGACCGCGATATAAACCCTTGGGTGCTGTTAAGGAAGATAAATGTGGTACAGACGGGTCTACGCCGCGCAATTGTACGGTATTCTTTTTTTACTTGGGGGGGTCGCCAGCTAATGCGCCTGCTAGTACTTTATCAGCGACGCAATCGTCATCTGGCGGGCCTGGGCAATCTGGCACGACAATCAAATTGTCCGCCTGGTTCTTGCCTTCTTTCTTCTTTCAACATTCGGTGCGCTCCATCCAATTCAATATCTGTCTCTTGATCTAAATCCTTGCGGCAGCAACCTCCCTTTCGCTATACATCCTCAATATAAAATCCATACTCTATGGCGCACATTATCCTTCCATGCTGAAAAACTTTTTGGGGACATTTCCTCTCTTAATCACCAACTTTGCCGCAACCGGCTTAATTGCGTACAAACTCTGGTATTATCGCGCCAACCTGAAAAAATACCTCTCCCCTGCTGCCGCCTATGCCTCGCCCCATTCTCACTCTCCCGGCCCAAAGATTGAACGGGTCTTGATACTGCTGATCGAGTCCGGCGTCGTCTATGGGATCCTCTGGGTGGTGCTTATGGTCGGCGACTTTGGCTACTATGGCGACTTCGAGATGGAGTGGTTCCAGCCAAATATGAGCGCGCTGTATCCCGTTCTAGTCATTCTATTCGTCGCCAAGGGCAAATTACTTAGCGAAGGGGACCTGACGGGCGGGAGCATTCAAGTGGTTTCAATGCCGTTGTCGTTCGTCCATACCAACTCTCCACCGCATTCGGACGCTGCTGGATCCAACAAAGGATCTCAGTTTCTGGACGCTAGATAGCGCATTGTGTGAAATAGTGTCTGTAAATACGACTACTTGTATTCCTAGTTCAATTCATTGTGTCCATTACTAGCTACGAGGTTGTCCAATGAGGTATTAGTAGTTGGGTTGTGAACATAAAAGTTGCGAGCAACGGGTAATTCGGGGACCTCCTTAATCGACCCAGCTCGCTCGATATATGACGTCCGCGTTTGTGAGCGCTGGACGCTAGAGTTGGACTGCCGCTGTGCTCTTGATTTAAGCAGGGTGGAGACGTTTACTGTGTCACCTCGTGAGAGCGGTTGTGCCTCAGGAGGCAGTTCACTGCGGAGGCCAAGATGAAGCGTGTCGTTGAGAGTTGGGCTCGTTATCAGTTCTTCTTCTTCTTCTTCAGTGACAGCTCTCTCTTTCCCTTGTCGGGTGAGATGGGCTGGAATAGCTGGAACAGGGGGAGGAGGGGAGGCGAGATCCATTGTTTGTAACCGCTGGATGTTGCGTGCGGTCATCGCCCCAGCCGAGCGTTGTGAATATTCGGAGTCGGAACTCGAGGGAGATGGTTCGTAGGTTTGTGGCTCGGGGATTACCAGTGGATGGGGTTCGCGACTGGGTGGCGGGGGAATTACGATCGGGAGGGGTTCACTACTTGGTGGCTGAGGGATAACGAGCGGGTGGAGTTTACGACTGGTTGGCGGGGAGATAACGATTGGGAGGGGTTCATGAGCTGAATTTGAACTCTCCTGCCGCTGCATGAGTGGTACAGAATCATCGTAGTAAACCGGAAGGCGTTGGTCAACGACAAGAGGCTTGCCTTGCCCGACTGCCGATCCTGTCGAAAAATCTTGTCGATGGTCGATTTCCCATGGCTTTTCATACAACTCTTCTCGTTGAGCGGCGTTCGTGAATGGCGTTGTACTCGTGAACGGAGTTATGCTCATGAACTCTTGGAGTGGGCTGGTTTGAGGGGGAGTAACTGCTACTCGAGGCCGTGGCGCTCGTCCAGACCGCCTCCAGACGACTACTCGGAAAGCAACAGCAATGAGAATCGCAACAAGTGCGATACCAGCCATTGTGCAAACTACAGCGAGGGCAACGTTGATTGTTGGCGTGCTGCGAGCTGAGAGGGCTGGCATGGTGAAAGAAGAAGGGAAAGGGGTACCGAGAGTGGAGCGCTTGGCTATATGTACATCGTCCGGTCCTTGCCGTTCAACACTGCCTGTTGAGATGATATCCTAGTGTAAAACTGAAACTGCAATTGCCGTGCCCGCCAAAAGACACAGCCACGAGCGGGAATTTGAAATTTCAAGAGAATCTGAGTGTCGAGGTCGAGTACTGGGTCGAGACCACTCTTTCCACGGATCGGAAGCTCGGAGAAAGGATTTGGGTTGAGGTGCAAACTGCTTTCAAAACCAAGTGCCTGCGACAAAGAAGGCAAAGATGACAACTTCGAGTTGTCCCACACGGTCTGGCACGCATTTCTAGCCGTCATCCGCCATGGCGGCGACAGAAAGTACGCCTCTGTTGGCCAGACCAGCGACCAAGAGTCGACGGGAGTTTGCGATGATGATGGCAGGACTATGGAGGTAAAGTTTATTCGTATGCGAAAGATTTTTCTTTCCTCCAACCTTCACCTACAGCTTCGCCTTTATCGCCAGTCTCGATGGTACAATTGTCGCGACACTGCTCAGCACCATTGGCTCGTCTTTGCAGTCGTTACAAACTGCTTCAGCGTGGCTTGGGACAGCTTATCTTCTCTCATTGACCACAAGCACCCCGCTCTATGGCCGGCTCGCGAATATCCTTGGTCGTCGCCCAAGCATCATGCTAGCTGGCTTTTTGTTCGCGTTTGGGACCATCTTGTGTGGTTGTGCGACCACCATCTGGCAGTTGGTAGCTTTGCGTGCAATTGCAGGGCTTGGTGGGGGTGGTTTGACGGTCGTGGGCTCGGTCATCGTGTCGGATGTAGTCCCACTGAAAAGTCGTGGATTGTATCAAGGCTGTGAGTCTTAGATTTGCTTGGTTTGGTTCAAGTTCCAACTACTTTACAGTCGCAAACCTTCTCTTTGGCTTGGGTGGTGCTGTTGGAGGTCCTTTGGGAGGCTATTTGGGCGATACCATTGGCTGGCGTGCTGCCTTTCTTATCCAAGGTCCAATTCTTGCAATCGGGCTTTTCCTTGTCTTCGTCACTGTCGCTGAACCACCACATATTCTCGCTGCGGAAGGAGTGTCTCTACTTTCCAAGTTGAAACGTATCGACTACGCAGGAGTCATTCTTCTCACCACTTGTCTTGTCGCCTTTCTGCTCGGAATGAACTACAAGACCATCTTCAACCACGAATGGTCAGATCCACTGGTCTGGGGCTTTCTCCTCATATCAATCCTACTATTTGTCGCATTCATTGCCATAGAGTTCAAGATTGCCGCAGAACCAATAATGCCTGTGGCAATGCTGCACCAGCGGACACCGCTGTTTGTCGCCATCCACAACTTTATCCTATCCGTTTTGTCATTCTCGACGCTCTACAATGTCCCCCTCTTCTTCATCGCGGCCCTTCTCCGCACATCCGCCAACGCTGGGGCCCATCTTGTGCCCAACTCGTTCGCTGTTGCCGTAGGCTCGCTCTTTGCCGGCTGGTACATGCGACATACTGGCCGGTATTGGACACTCCAAGCTTTCGGAGGCTCGGGATTGATCTTGGCCAACATTGTGCTATCGACATGGAGCAGGGAGACACCCGAATGGGTGCTGTATGTGACCCTCATGCCGTCTGGCTTCGGGCTAGCGAGCACGCTGACGACGACGTTGCTCGCGCTTATAGCGAGCGTGCCGCGCGAGGACATACCGCTTGCGACCGGACTTTCGTATCTCTTCCGGACGACGGGGCAGGTGCTCGGCGTCAGTTTGAGTGCGGCGGTGACCCAGACGTTGCTCGCAAAGGAGTTGAGAAGGAGAATCGACGACGACGAAGTAAGTGGGCCGTCCTCAAAAAAGTGCGCTCATTGGTCATCAGATTATCAGCAACATCCTTTCGTCGACGACCTACATCCGGACCCTGCCGCCGCATCTCCAGGAAGAGGCAACCGCGAGTTGGATGAAGGCTCTACACGTCGTTTTCACGTGCCAGATTGTGCGTTCGCAGTTTGTTTGGTTTCACATCTCAACTCCACAGGTTGTGGCTGTCGCACTCTTCTTTTCGTCACTCCCGGTTGAGGAGCTACCATTGCCTGATACTGTCGATAATGCTGTTAAGCCAAGCGAGAGAAGGTCGGACAATTCAGCAATAGAAGTGCAGGATCAGCAGTGACATTATGATCTGACAACTCTCATGTGCCAACGAAAACTACGACTAAAACGCCCTCGAAAGATGGCAGAAATCTCAAAATGCCAAAATCGAAGATTTGTCAGCAGTGGCTGCACTGGGTCAAAGGGCAATATAATCGCAAGATCTTCCAAGTTTGCAGCACGCATTCGACAATCCGAAGTACATAGAATACGCGCGGCACCTTGTGAAACCTCAAGAAGGGAGTTGTTGCAAGTATATAGCTACAGTAGGTTTTAAAAGGCATAAAACTACAAGATTATAAGTGCACATTCTGGACAGTATTATGTGGATATAAAAAACATTCCGGGCCTCCCCCGAGGATCCTCTCAACCCGCATTCACTGCCAACACTGGTACCCAGACCCACATCCACAAGTTTCCTGATGAGCCGCGTTTAGGAATCCTGTAGTAGTGGATGGCCAATAAACGGACGTCTTTGAAGCGGACGTTGGAGGCCGACCACCGAGCGTAACTCGGTCCTCGTGTTAACTCTTCCTGCATCTTATTACCCAAAAAGTCCTTGACTGATGCTGCGATCTCGAGCGCCATCACTCCAGTGGTAAGTTGTGTTGCGTTGAGGGCATGTGCTTGCGATTCAAGGCCGTATCCAGGCCACTATTGCTTGTGCTCAGCCTTAATTGTGGATATAAAACGGCTGGAGAACTCACATCGAGCTTCCAGCAGGTCCTTGTCCACCCCTGGTCCGCGAATATCAACCTCTCGCCATTGTCTAAAGCCACCTTCCCTCGCAGGAGGTCATAGAGATATGGCGCGGGCTGACCTCCGTTGGCGCTGAATTGCTTTACAAGGGTTGGCGGGCCAACAATTTCGGGACTGAGCGGGAGACATTCGAGCTGGATGGTGCCAGAGTGATACGATCCGTCGAGCAGAGCGCTCGGAGTCAGACGCGCTGGGGGGAGGCTCAGAATAGATGCCGAATGCTAACCATGTATAAGCCATAGAAACAGTGCAAGAAAAAAAACTTCTTACTGCATGCCCACGGTGAGCCGATGCATTAGGATTCCATGTGGATGAAAATGGTGTATGAGAGCGCGGAGCGGGGGTTCTTGAACGCGATGGACTAGTCTGGCGGAGAATAAGGGAGGGGTCGATGCATTGGGCGGCCATTGGTTGTGATGTTGATAAATACGGAAGTGTAACAGGGAAGACAGGAAGATGGGGAGTAATTCGCTCAGCGGTCGAGCCTCCATTATAAGTCGCTGGTGTTACATGCCAAAGCCCCAGCCGTTGCCAGGCGCATCATACCAAAGCACAAAATTTTTGAAGCCGAGAACAAGGGCGGCGGCTCTGTTTACGGCCAATGTCGGCCAAAGTAACAAGAGCAGGAATGTAGATCATTTGCTTAGGGCGGCGCATTGACCCACGGGGGTACGAAACCAACCATGCCAACGTCTGTGGCTCTTGTTCTGTTTCGGGGATTTAAGGAGTCGGCGCCAAATTGGGACAGAGAGATGAGCTAAGGCGCTGGAATAGGTGCAATTGAATGGCTAGAAAGGGAGGGTCCAACTCGAGTTGTTGTAGTTTTTTTCACAGTGCGGGTCAAGTGCGGGTCCGGGACAAAAGTTGACCGTGACTTCCGAGTGACACCGTCACTGACACGCAACCCAACTTTCTACGAACAGCGACGATACTTAATATCAATGAGGTATTCAATTACACTAGAATGTTCTAAATATGATTTCCTGACCGAATATTAAGCTGTAGTCCTAGTGCTCGAGATATTGGCAAGCAAGCTAAGATTGAATTCCGATTCAGAAGCCTTATGTTCGTCATCTTCCTCGCCCTCTGCATCAACATCCGAGGCTTCATCCAACTCTGAATCTCCATGCAAAAGACGAACGCCCGAGACGACTCTTGATTGCTTTGCTCCAAATGATTCCTCCGACTCCACATCCATGTCGATGTCGCTGTCAGTCGAGTCAGCTTGTGCATCCACCCCCATTGTCGCCACACTAGCAATTGAGCTTGCTCTTTCTCTTGGCCGTTTGCTCAATTCCTTTGCTGCCGATGCTCGTTTTCGTGGTTTAGGGCAGTACCCGTGCTTCCGTTTCCGATGCCGGTGCAAAGACGACGGATCTGCGGTGCTAAAGTCGCAAGGCTCGCCAGAGGGCAAAGATTCAGAGCATTTGTATGGTTTGGCGCGGGTACTAAGGGCCGTAAGCCTCCCTGGCAAGAGAAGGAAGGAGAAATCACGCACTGGGTGCGGATATGCGTCTGGAGATTCGACTTCTGGAGCGTCGAGTGGGAACAACCTTCAACAGGGCAGCGAAACATTCTAAAATGGGTTGAGAATGAAAATTATGGTCGTGAGGGACATACAATGAGGCTTTATCTGTTGCGTGGACAAGCATATGTCGCGGCAAGTCGGTATTTCGGCGGATGTGCAGCCCACACACTTCACAGTTGGCCCCACCGCGAACACGGTCGGTATCATCGCTTTTGGACTGTTTGCAGGACAGTATTAGCGATACAAGTCGTTAGATAGATTATTAGTGGCACCCACTATACTCCGTTTCACATTTACCTCGAATCGCGAGGCAGTTGGCCCACGTTGAGCACGAAGTGGAGGAAGTGGGGTTGGAGTCACAAATTCAAGAGGGAAGTTTGCGGTTCCAGTTTCTGAAGTCATTCCTAGGTAGAGAGGAGAGAACAAGAGAGTTACGCCTCGACCATGCTTGTTCGTGGCGGCAGTTAAGTAAGTGCAAGCCACGCTTGGACCGAGCAGCGGATCAGTTCCCCGGCTGTCATGGCGTGACAGCCCATGACATGCCTGAAAACGCAATCGAATCTTATCTCGATCAAGTCTTTCTTGTAGCCGTGTATTCCAAGCACTACATACATAACAGCATAAGGTGAGAGGTCAAAAAGTACATGTACAGCAGCCAACAAACAACAGCAGTAACAAAAAAGGAAATAACTGTGATCACGAGTCAAGATAGCCGCTTGACTCGCTGCGGCCGCGGCCACAGCGTCGACAAGCTGTAGTTGCTCCGAAAGCTAATCCTCTTCCACCTTGACCACCTGCCAGCCATTCCAGCTTGCGTGGCTTCTCCCACCAATCTGCTCCCCAGGAACAACTCGCCAGTTGACCCCATTGGTACGGTCAAAAATCGTGGCGGCCACGAGGGCAATAGCAAGCGGAGCCCAGTTCGCTGCCACGCACTGGAGTGGACCTGTTCCAAATGCGAGCACCTCCCGCATGCGCTCAGGCTCGAGAACGAAGCGGGAGGGGTCAAACACATGAGCTGGGGGAGGCTTGAGGTCGGTCATCGGGTTTAAGGGCTGGGCCCAAGCGATAGAGCGCTGGGCGCTCGCGATGTCGGCGACGTCGGTGTGGGTCTGGGTGAGTTGATTTCTGATGAAGAGAGGGAGGAGGGATCTGATGACGGGAGGGATGGGATACTGAAGATGGCGGATGCGTTTGATTTTCTTGACTGGAGGATAGAGGCGAAAAGCCTCCCAGATAAAATGTTTGGCACTTGGCGCTGAGCCACCACAGCGCAATTTGCCAAATTCGGCGTGGATTGCACCATTGTCGACCAATTCAAGCAGGTCAAGGAATGTTTGCTTGGCTTGTGTTGGGTCAGGAATCTTCTCGACGCAAGCGACAAGCGCTGCCACGATGCGCCAGAAGGTTTCCCAGGTTGGAATAATTATGTTCAGGTCAAGAGTGGTAGGGTGGTTGGGGAATAGAGCACGAAGGTGAGTGTGAAGTTCAGCAAGGCTATCATCTGACGAGGAGGCAGCAAGACCACCATTCTTTGACTGCAGCCAGATATGTGTTATGAGCTGCCCGACCTCGCGAAGATGGCGCTCATCAAGGGACGCAGGCTCTGTTCCAGGAACAAGGATGCCGCAGATCACGAACCGAAGTGTCACCACCTGGATAAAGACCATAAAGTCCATGGTGAGAGCACTAGCAGGAAGGGTGGCGCGAACAGCGAGTGCAGCGATCGACATCAGCGCTGCCCAGTCTGGCTGAGCAATCAGGGCTCTCGCGTGGCTACGGAATGCCCGGTTCGTGTCAAGGTCTCCGCGAACAAACGTATTGGAGATATCGAGTGCGGACACAAGTGGCTGGTTTGCTTTGGCGCGGTCAGAGAGTTGGGTGGCTCGGGGCGTGTTGAGTGCAATGTGGATGTCATGGGTGGTGTTGTGGACAAGCACTGTGGATTTCGGAGAGTGAGAGGGTGCAATATGAGCAAGGAAGACATAAAGTAGGATGGCGGAGCATATGCATATGCCATAGAGTTCGAACATGCTAGAGGACATGGTGTTGACTAGCCCACCTCGCAATTATGCAGGCCCATTTATATGCCCTTACACTCACTGGGAAAACCTTAGCTCATATCAAACTCAAGGCAAGATCTCAGGTATGGACCAGGCAGCGAGGCAGTAACTTTCCCTCCCAGAAAGCTTGAGCGACAGAGATGAACTTCTCGTTAGTGGCTATAAGGTATCTTCAGCCTGTACAAGTTCCCCGAAACTGCGGACTGCTCAGATTCCCAGTGAGATATATGGAGCAAATGTGAAGCGCTGAAAAAATTCGATGTCGAATCGAGCTCAAACAGCACGTAAATTTGGATGAAAACACTGACTCGAACTGGAGGCACAGCGAGTTTAGAGCGAGCGCAACCCTCATCGAGTCAGGAGCCCGCTATTTTGGTCTGAGACATACTAGGTTCGGTCCAAAGGTGAAGGCCGATGTGGATGAAGAAATGCAACCCGGAAAGGGGGTGAGGGAGTGGGAAAGCAAAGCAATGGGGCTGGTTTTACTGGTTGTAGGATGAAGAGCAGTCATATATTGCTTTAATTGGAAGGTAGAAGCAGACGATTTGTTCAGCACCAGTGTTTCATTGCAGGCGGAGTCAGAGTTGGGTTTCTATTTGCGGCATATCATGAGTTCCGTTGCAACAGACAAGATCTCGTTCGGTTCCTTCCACTTCTGAGGATCGGCGGTATAGCTTGGGAGGCGTAAGATGGGCTGTGCGGGGCGAATTATGATTAGTTCTTCGACGAGTCATGGACGACTCGGAGACTTACTAGGCCTCCGTCGATTCTCCAGAAGCCATGTATTGCATAACGCGCAGCGGATGAGAAGCCTGTTTGAAAGCAGTCCAGGTTATGACTCGCATCCTCGTCGATGTCCCCCTTCGCTCATAAACTCAACTATTTTGCCAAATACGTGCGCTTCGTCTTGTCCATTAGGAATGTGCGCTGTTGACTCGACGTTTTGAGAGTTGGCGCGTAATAATATCCATAGGCTATTCTTGTTTGGGGTGGTCGAGTGCGACTGCGCCGGTGCTACTAGTAGTGGCGGACGTAGAGAGTTGCCTTATCAGGACGCTTCGTAGACGGTGAAGTGAAAGCATAATTCGCCGGACGCTGTTCATATGTAGCTGTAGTCAGTGCTATATGGTTTCTCGCCTGAACGATGATACTCCCATTGAAGAGCGCCTGAGTTGTTCGAGCTTAGGATTTTGATGTATTTAGATGATAGCGGAGTCTCTACGGCGCGCTTGAGCGAAGCATTCGACAGAGCACAAGTAATATAGTCGATTCGTCTGAGAGATATAGACGAAGCGGGCTCCAGTTGGCGGGAAATCGTCGTTGAGTTCAAGTTCAATCCAAGGTGTATAGCCACGTATGTGACATCACGTGGATTCTAACGATTCTCGATGACAACCCGAGCACTAAGCACCGGTCAAGAACGACGACTTGCTACCTGGCTAGACGAACAACTACTAAACCTGACTCGTGGATACAAGAAGCGGTCGGTCACTCTACAGGCTCTGCTGTCTTGTAACGAGCTCACAGTTCGCAACCTGACTCCCCTCTTCAAACTCTCCCAAGCTACCTGGACGCAGCACAAACCATCCTCACAGTGATCCTACGCGTCCCACCTATCGATAACTCGAGCTCTTTGCGGGTTGCATACCTCCTTCGATTGACTAATGACGCGCTCAGCGCAATTCCCGGCTATTCTGCGGCACTTGAACATATTCAAAGACTACTTGACTGGTTGGACGACCTAGACAGCTCTTGGCTCGTTGTTCTTCGAGCTCAGATTTGGCATCCCGATACTGGCCCTGAAGATTTGGAGCTCGAAGTTGAGGAAGTGTTGATGAATCGGTCGGTCAAGGTGTCCCCAGTCACACAAACCGAGAGAACACGATTGCGAAGCCTTATCATTGGTGCCTCAGCCGCGTTGGAAGAGTGGGTTGAAGATAGTGGGCTTTTGCATCTTTCTGTCGGTGACCAGAACGACGAGAATGACGAGGAAGGTGGGGGGACGGTGCAAGATGCATTTGGAGAGCTTTTTCATCGTACTTTGAATGAGTTGGGGGAATTAGAGGGTGTGCTTGTGCCTGTAGGTCTCGAAGAACCTGTAGTAGATTGTGTTATGGATGCCGAGGCCTGATCACGTGCATCATCTTTTTTCGCTTTTACCCACCAGCAATGCTCTAATGCAACGATCGCTCTGGGACGCCTGTCGCCCTCGCACACCCATATTTGGACTCCGCTTTCGCTCAGGAGGGAAGTCGAAGAAGGGGGCCATACCCCCGTCTTCACATAACCGAAAGCAAAAGGCTCTTTTCAAGCAATGGGGCGGTCAAGGATACAAGCCAAAGATCATCCCAGACCTCCCCATATTCAAGTCTCCAACTCAAACCTCTTCCGAGTTTGAACTTGCTGCAGCGAAATGGTGGAGGAACAGTGTCTCGAAAGAGCGCTTGGTGTCGTTCGGCGCGCCGGTTGATGATGCTACCAAGCTTCTTGAGACATTTGGGAAGGATGTTGAGGCTGGTTTCTTTGATGAAGAGGCGAAGCATTCGGAATACCAGCTGGAAAAGCTGAGCGGCGCCAACAGCATCCAAGCGGATATGGTGCTCTCTCATGTCTTTTTCCGTTGGCTAAAGGCTCGCGGCCAAACACAACTGGGAAAGGCACACGAGGACACGGTGCATGGGCTTCTCCATTTGTCAAGGGCCGCCTCAATTCCATTTCCCGCCGAAATATTCGAGCGGGCCAGGCGAATGCGACGGAAGATTATCATGCATGTGGGGCCGACCAACAGTGGCAAGACCTACCATGCCTTACGTGCTCTTTCAGCTGCAAAATCAGGCGTTTACGCGGGTCCACTCCGTCTACTTGCACACGAGATATGGGAGCGAATGAATCTCGGGCAGATCGCTCCTCTCGGCGCATCGGAGGAGGAAATAGCGGAAGCTAGGAAGATCAAGCCCAGCGTCGACCATCCCTTCGCCAGAAAATGTAACATGCTGACGGGTGAAGAAGTCAAGATAGTCGAGGAAGGCGCCCCACTCTCCAGCTGCACGGTGGAAATGCTCTCCCTCGTCATTCATCGTGATATTGCTGTTGTCGACGAGATTCAAATGATTTCGGACTCAAGTCGGGGAAATGCATGGACTCGAGCGGTACTAGGACTGTGTGCCGACGAAATTCATCTTTGTGGGGAAGATACGGCAGTACCTCTTGTTGAAGAACTGCTCAAAGAGACCGGGGACGAGCTTATTGTTCGTCGTTACGAGCGTTTGACACCCCTCACGGTTGAAAAACAAAGCCTGGACGGTGATGTGTCCCGCATCGAAAAGGGCGATTGCATTGTGACATTTAGTCGCTCCTCCATATTTGCTACCAAAGCACTCATTGAGCGCGAGACGCCCATGAGATGCGCTGTCGTATATGGACATCTGCCCCCAGAAATCCGCAGTCAACAGGCAGCACTCTTCAACGCTGGGGACGCCGACTACGATGTTCTCATCGGTTCCGATGCCATTGGGATGGGGCTTAATTTGTGGGTACTTTTCCCCCCCTTAGTCACAAACAGATCTAATAAGCCTTGCCATAGGAAAATACGGAGAATTATTTTCCAGAGTGTTCACAAATTCGATGGTCATCGTGAGACGGTTCTATCTGTCTCCCAAATGAAGCAGATTGCCGGTCGAGCAGGTCGATTTGGAATGCACGACTCGCCAGGCGGGTTTGTCACAACCCTCAGGAAAGAAGACCTTCCTATTCTTACCCGTACACTCCCTCTCCCCAACACGCCCGTTCGACACGCTCGCCTCAACGCGACCCTCGCTCAACTTACACGAATTGTTGCCTGTCTCCCCGAGAACGTTAGCACCGAAACACTCTTCAATGCTGTTTCATATACGGGCCGCTTCTCGCCTCATATCCTCCCAGCCGTCTACCAACACCTGCCATTGATTTCCCCGTTCCTCGACACCCACGATCTTTCACTCGCCGACCGTCTTTTGCTACTTGAGGCTCCATTTCCCTGGCGTGATGTTTCCGCGATGGATGCCATAAACCGGCTCATTCACCAATACAACGTCGACTCCCACATTGATTTTGAACTCTACGTCCAAGAAATGGGATTCCTGATAAAGCTTCTTGACGCTGAATGCGCCATGAAGCTTGGGACAAAATGCAATGGAGATACATTCAATCCTTCGAGAGAGCTTGCTGGCTTGGAGAACTTCCACAAGATCCTCGTTCTATATATCTGGCTGAGCTATCGGAATCCCGTAGCATTCGACGCGTTTGATATGGCCGTAGGGCTGAAAACGCGGGTTGAGCAGGCCTTGCATTGGTGTTTGGAGGAAATGACATATCAGACTGGCGGGCAGAGACCCGATTCCTTCGGACACAAGGAAGGAATCGCATACACGCAACGGAAGTCAAGGAACCTGGCCATTGAATCAAAGCAGGCTGACGAGGTAAAGCAGCCTCATCAAGTGTGACCGTCACGCCACACATCTTCAAGTTCACCGCCAACCAGTGCCACCAACGATGTTCCTTCTTCGCGTCTTCCTCGCCCTCATCTGCTTCCTCGCCTCGTCCTGCGCGCTCCCGACAGCCAATACTAAACCGCGTAGCCTTCTTGGTCGACGATATGTCAATACCAACTCGCCCACTCCAGAAGACACTGTCGTTTCCTCGCTGGTTGCTCGCCGCATTCCCAGACCTCTCGATCGCGTCTCCCGCTTTGAGCGACGTATGATTACGACAAACAATAACCTACTGTCTCACGAGCAACCCATTCCGAGTCCCGCGTCTTCGTCTATCACGACTACCACCCTTGCAGCCCCACCGTCGTCGACAGCAGTCCCAGTTCCGTCGCCCGCATCGCATGTTGCCTCCGGCGAGAAGAAGAAGAAGAAGGAGCAGGAGCACCACAAGAAAACCAAGTCGCATTTGAAGCCTACCGAACCTGTGATGCACGAATGATCACCAAGACATCTTTGTATTACTATACCAGCATTGTACAACACCACACCCTACTCTTTACTCTAATACCTAGACGATTCACTTGCCGAGAAGCCTGTTTCGTGACTTTGACTACGCATCTCAGGTTTATGAACTGGGACTGTTGTACATGCTTCTTGTACTTCCAAGATCCCCTTTGTAGCATAACCATTCAACATCCAATCATGGTCACAAGTGATTGTTCAGCACTTTTATTGGTCATACGCGTACAAAAATAAGAAATAAGATTCAAAAGATATTAGGAGCGAATGGTAATTGGTGGTGATCGAGTGTCCGTTTAGAAACTGACTTGCCAGCTGCCGCGAATAGCCGGCGCCGCATATCCAATGCCATTGTAGACGACGAGGCCATTGGCGTTCAACAGCTGCCCAGTGGTCGCGGTCACGACGAGGGTGTAAGTTCCGGCCAACCATCCGGTCTGGAACCCCTTGAAGGCCCCGTCGCCGACCTTTCCGCACAGACCCTGGCCTTGTTGGCTGTTGGTAGAGACGTAGATTATCGAACCGTCAGCCCAGAGGACGAGGGGGACGACAGAGGCAGCGAATTCCTTGTCCGCGGCGGCGACACGCTCGTCCAGGCTCGAAGTAGCGGTGGCATCAGCAGCAGCAGGGGCCTTGTCTTTGAGGCTTTTCAGTGCTAGAGCAGAAAAATCAGCTGAGAAATGGACTTGTTGATCATGACCTACAGGCATCCCAGGACGACGACATGTTGAGAAATCAAGGATGATTGGTGGATTACAAGTTGAACGTGCTAAAAACCGAAGAGGTTACTGAATTGCTGCCATGGCCAGTGAAGAAAGTTAGACTGACCTTGTAGTGGAAGCGGAGAGCTCGAACTGGAGTTTGCTTGTCCTGAAGCCGGCCTTATATACTCCCTCCCGCTTGTAGCGTCTCGCTTGATGGAGAGTTTTGAGGCCGGAAATTCATGATGCTTGATGTTGGATCATGCCATATTGACGCGCCGAATGTAAGGCTGAATGCTGCCCGAATGCAAAATGACACACAAGCCAAGGTCGATGCAGGACCAGGCCGCAGGGACGGGATTGTGCTTGAAGAGGGTCCTTGAGTTCGAGTTCAAGTGGGCCAAAGTATCGCAGACTGAGAGAAGGAGTATGACAAAATGTTGTAGATCGCGAGTTAATTTGAAGAAACGGGTAGGAAGAAAGCGATATCCACTGTCCGGTGTGCAACTATTCATACCATTTCCACTGTCATGCGGGGCTTTGTACTCAGCGGAGGCTAGCGTAAGGTCCTACGAGCTGCCGTGACGTTCTTGTGCCTCAACAGTCAGCAGGGGTTTTAGTATCGCCGGATCAACGTACCAGTTCGAACGCTTATGCATGGTTACTTGTAAGTTGCAACCCCTCCCGCATTTACATCAAATAAGACCGTCAAGTGCTCATCCTTCAGATTCCTTCCGTTGAAAGTACTTAACACAGCTGACTGTAAACCCAGTCTGACAACCTATGCTTATTTTAGAGAGCGGGACGATACGAGGCGGGGTAAGAAACCACACACCACATGAGGACAACCGAAGTGTGGTTGTAGGCTAAGTTCGGGCAAGTTGAAGTTCTGGTCACGGTCACGGTCACGGATTGCAAGAAACAAATGATTGGTAATGTTTAATCGACATGTACAAGGGTACATATGACGAGCGATACAGTGACAATAAACATATATCGTTGACACGGGCAGACTTCGAACCCACTACTAAAAGACGACTGACCAGGACCCACGGATGGCAGGCTGAGCATAACCAATGCCTTTGTAAACAATGCCCCACGGATTGGACAACGTCACAGTTGTTGCGGTGATCAAGAGGTTGTAAGGGCCGAAGAATTGACTAGTCTGGAATCCTTTGAAAGCGCCAGTTCCAATCCTCGGACAGAGACCCTCCCCGTCGTGCTGCACTCCGTTGGTTTTAATATGAATCTTAGTGCCGTCTGCACATAGGACGAGCCAAACGAGGGTAGCGTCGAATTCTTTTTCGGCAATTGCGATGCGCGCATCGAGGGTAGCAGCAGCGCCGGGCTCGGCCGCATCAGGGACCTTGTCTTTCAAGGCTTTTAGTGCTGTGGAGAATGTTATCTTAGCATAGAATGGACCTTTATGAGCTATTATTACTCACAAGCATCCCAAGTCGACATGGTTGAGAACGAGCGCCGGATTAAGTACTAGGTGTGGAGGATGGTTAACCCTTGAAAGAATCGGTCAGCAACCAAGGCGTAGGATAGATGTTGGGGGACCAGCCTTGAGATGAAGGAGTTGCAATAATGCAGTTGCACTCAAGATTAAATACGCTACGGTCAGATATCGGTCCCCACGATTGTTGTTGTCTACTGAGCAGAACCGAGCTTGTAGTTGTTGCATCGTAACGTGCCGAATGCAAGGATGAATGGTAACAGAATTAACGATGTCGCATGTCGAGGTGGAGAGTCGGTCGATTCATCGTTCGCGATGAATGACCTGGTTGAGTTGTGGGCGAAGAAACCTTATTTGCTAAGCAGAGAGTTGCGTGGGTTGAGGATTCGACCCGAGATAGGCTGTTTCAGCAATCAAAATGTTACAGCACGAGCTCACAGTGGGATGATTCGCAATATCTGCCTCTGGCGACAGTATTTATCCGGAACAGCAGTATTGTCTAGGTATTCGTTTTCTGAAAAACCATTGTCAAGATAAACAAACGTAGGCTGCTTCGAGTTTTGACTCCGGACACATTCATTGCACGTTACGAAAGAGCATCTGAGATGAAATATGGCCGCTGAAGCGACAACTCCATTCTAATGATCTGCTCGAGAGTGTGGAGGCACTGGATGAAGTCAGAAGTCACAGACACGTGTCTGGTCACAGCCCTTCATACTAATTCGCGTTTTCGGCGAGTTACTTATTCAACACGCGACATATGCAGTGAATCTAAATCATCCAGCTCAAATTATCTTATACCGAAATCGCAGAAGCCGATAAGATAAAAAGCAGAACGATCACCGTGCGAAATCATCGCCGGTTTAGGCACTCAGAACCCTTCATCCGACTCTCACAAGCTCCACACATGTTGAGCATGATCCCAGCGACGGCCGGCTCATATAGCATTTCCTTTCTTTTACGCCTCTACTCCAACACCGCCCACCAGTCGCAACAATCAAGACAAGCAACTGGACTCATGATCTGCTTGTTGATGAGTCGGGCGAAGCGCCGTAGAAGCACCACCTGATGCATGCTTAAACGGAAAACGTTCGTTCCCTTGGCTGGTGCCAGAGCTTTAAATACCACAACCGGGATTCTCCTGCCTGAGGGCAGTGACTGTATTCCACGCCGGAATGAGCTCCACAGCGACGACCAACCCGACGCCAGCTTTCCCTCCGTCAACAGAGCTGCCTCCGACACCAGAGCCTCGAACTCTTGTTCTTTGCTTCGATGGAACTGCGGCCGAGTACAATGAATACGTTCGTTGAACCAGCTAGCGCTTTCATGTTGCTGCTTGAATTGACGGCAGGATACCAATGTCGTCAAACTCTTCGGTTTGCTGGTGAAGGACGACTTTCGAACACAGCTGTGTTACTACCAGGTGCGTCCAACCATTAAGAACGAGAGCCTCACCTGACCACTGCTGTCCCAGTCTGGAATTGGAACCTACTTCGATCCGAGTATTGTCTCTCCCGTTTTCGAATGGGTGGCAAAGAGACTGGACCAAGCAGTCGCTTTGTGTGTCCCATTCCTATACCGCGTTATAGTCCTTGTTGACGACCCTAGCTATCTCAACCAGCATGTAATGGACGGGTATCGGTACGCCTTTATACCCACGAAACGTTGTGGAGTTGATTTTGACGCAGCTTTCTCATGCAGAACTACCACACAGGCGACAAAATATGTCTTTTTGGTGGGAACACTCTTGTTTCATTGTGCTATGAATCAACTCGCAATCAATAGGGTTTTCTCGAGGTGCATATACTGCACGAGCTCTTGCGGGAATGTTGCACAAAGTGGGTGCCACTGGGTGGCTCAAAACGCTAGCCGATTTAATATTGATATTGGACTCGCAGGTTGGCTTGCTACCTCGTTCTAATTCACAGCAAGTCCCTTTTGCGTATAAGATGTATCAGAAGACCAGCGCATCGGGAATCAAGCTTGCAGAGGGCTACAAGAAGATGTTCTGCCAGGACGTCAAAATTGACTTTTTGGGGTGTTGGTGTGTCGTCCCGTCAAACTCGAGGCCAGCAGTTGACGATACATCTCTCTGACAGGGAGACAGTCGCTAGCGTCGGCGTCCTTATGGGAAGGACACTGCCATTCACGGCGATAAATTCTTCCATCAAGACCTTCCGACATGCGCTGGCTTTGGACGAACACCGTGTGCGATTCCAGCCCTACCTCATTGAACCCAAGCCATCTCCCGATGATACTGATCCATATCCACATACTGATGTACTCGAGGTGTGGTTTGCCGGGACCCATGGAGGCATGTTAGCCCGCCCTAATCATTAAAAATACTCACCTTCTTTCCAGATATTGGTGGTGGAGACGAACAAGACAGCGTAGAGCGGTCTTTGGCCGACATTGGCCTGCGCTGGATGATTCGACAACTCGTCGCTGCCGAGTGTGGGATCCGTTTTGACGCGGACGCACTCGCTCGGGCACAAATCACGTTGGAGGATTGCCCACCTTCTGTCCCGGTCAAAGGCGACGGCTCACCAATCTTTTCCGTTGACAACGACCACCCGATCGAATCCGTTGACGCCGTCCAACTGTTACATGACGCTCTCAAGTTCGTCGGCCCCGGCGCAGGAGGTGGTAGTGGAAATGGCCCAGTTGCTGCATTCTCTGTGGCACTGGGTTGGGGCGTCTTAGAAGTGGCCCCGATGCCATGGAGTGTCCAAGACGTTTCTGGGAAGTGGCATACCACTTTTGGGTTCGTGTTGTGGCCTTTTCATCGTGACTTACTCATCAGAATCTCAGAGTCCATCTTGGGAAGGGACGAAAGATCATTGACCCGAGTCCCAATTTTCATATAACGGTGAAGGAAAGGATGCAAGATGGGATGTTAAACTATAAGCCAAGAGCGATCTGGACCAAAGGCACAGAAGTCTATGTCGATTGAGGTCAGAAGTAAAATCAATTACTTTTGTTTGTCAATTGTCTGGAGAGGATTCATAGGTCAATATAATTAGAATCTGAATCTCTCTGATGACATGACTGACTAGAAACATTATCATATATATCATATAACTGTATATGTTCTGAATGACCACAAATTCAAGACTTTCTTTTCCGATAGAAAGCAGTAAGATATACAGGCTATCATAATGAATATGACCTTGGCATGTTCATATTCATAATTTACCCACTGAATATACAGGAGGCATATTAATATTGTAGTCATATTTAGTTGAATATATTCAAAATATATATTCTGGCATAATATAATTATGGACAGCACTACTTCCAAGTTCCAACTCAGCATTGAAAAGACATTAGATTTTAGATGAAAATAGAAAGAGTAAAAGAAATCAAGATATTTATTTCATACCCTAGGGAGAAAGGTGTTGGGTTTGTTTATTTGTAATATGGTCGTACAATGCCTCATCAGAGAGCTACTGAACCTGAGTTGTATGACCTGTCATGGACGAATGGCACGTTATCACTGTGTATTATGGACGACCCGGTGACATCCTTCGCAGCAACAACAAGCATCGAGTCCGCTTGCCAATTGGGCCTGAGGAGCCTAACATTGTCAAACGGCTGCCCCCCAGGTTGTAGCTTAAGACAAGCAGAACAATGAATTCATTGTTGACATCACGGTTCCCAATGTGCTGTTCGCCGAGTTTCCACGACGGCCACCTGGCTCATACCCACCCCAACATTCATTCATCTGCCCTTATACGTTATAAGCAATCTACTTATTCTGGAAGACTGTGATATGTCAAGTCGCGCCCCACTACTTAACCTGATGCTCTCAGTCCCATATCCCAAAACGCCTTCTCTAACCCCGTGCATCGATCCCAAATGGCGCACCATTCTTCAAGTCGGCCAAGCGACGGTGAGGCAGCAGCAGCAACACTCTCGATCAACTCTGAAGTTTTTCATGTCAGCTCACAAGACCCCACCGATTAAACAAGCCCCACCAAGTCCAGAGCGGACAGCACTTTGATACAACGGGCCGGAGTAGTCCTCGATCCACTGGCGGTAGGGATTTCCCTCGAGGAAGACACCGCTGCCTTTACGATTTGCTTCACTCTGGAGCCATAATCCGACTTCGCCGTAGCCCAGAAGGCACGCCAGGACGGAGATAAGGAGCTGGGTGGTGTCGCCTGGCTTATCTGTAAGTTTCTGTCGTCGTCTTGGGCTTGACCTCACCTTGTAAACCCATGTCCATCAAGAACGAGCCATACGCAATTGTCTCTATGCTCTCCTCGCTTCTTTCCAGCTCGTCGCTCGAAACATCGAAGGAAGCACACAGAGATCGATGCGTGTTGAGTTCACGAAGAACGTTCATGATTGTTGTCGTTGCCGACTCGATAAGAGTGAACGATGAAGCTTTAGCGGCAAGCAATCTAATGCTGGATGTGAGGAAGGGGGAGGACAGTCGACGATTACAAACCCGTGGGCTCTGGCATAGTACTTGAGATAGTGGTAGTCTTGTCTGCGGGATTCGTCAGCAGACATGCGAGCAGGTAAGTAAACAGCGTTACTTGATGAAGTGGACAAAAGCAGTCCGTGGTAACGTGCCTTGACCAAGACGCCACACAAACTCGTGTTGAACGAAATCTCTCCAGTGGTCCAGGTTGTGCGATATGAGCCGGCGCGTGAGTGGGTGAGGATTCGTTGGCGACGGGCTCAAAATAGGTCGGTTAAAGTCTTGAGACTGATGGGGCAACATACAGGGCAATGTTACGACGGGAGAGAGCGTGGAGATGGTTGAGGGGACCATGGCCATGCCCAATCTTATGGGCTGTTACAATCCCTAGATGAGTATACGCGGTAGCCTGAACAACAGCGTCAAAGACTAATAATAGTGATGAGGTAGAGTAAATGCCTCGAACAAGACATACCGGAGGCTCCATCTGAAAGTGAACAGGCTAGGGCAGCACTAAGAGTACATCCAGTACCATGTGTTGACAAAGAGTCTATGCGAGGTCTTAAGAAGATTGAGGTTCCACGGGTTGACTCGCAAAGTACATCCACAACAAAAGACTCGGGTTGGAGAGAGTTGGCTAACAAAATCATCGCATCTTCATCTCGGCCAACGACCCGAACTCCGCTCGCAGAAAGTCGGTCAATATCGGTTTTGTTAGACACAATATGGCCGCCTTTGAGCAAAACTGCTCGAGGTCCAAGTTTGAGAAGATTGCGCGCAGCCTTGACCATCTGTTCCAAGGTGTTGATATGATCCGCTAGAAGGAGTTCCGCTTCCGCTTTGTTTGGTGTAAGGAGAGTTGTCAACGGGAAGAGCTCGTTGATCATGACTTGGAGAGCTTCGGGTTCGAGTAGACTATGCCCAGAAGTCGAGACGCAAACTGGATCGCAGACAATTGGAGGCATATTCTGGCCACTATAATGAGCTTTCAAAGCACGAGCAGTCGCACTGGTGTTGGCCGCATCGAATAGCATTCCCGTTTTGCAGGCGTGGACTTCAATGTCGTTAAGAATTGAGACAATTTGCTGCTCCAAAAATTCAGGGGGAACTCCGTGAACGCCTTGAACGCCGGTGGTGTTTTGAGCAGTAAGAGCTGTGATCGCGCTGGTTCCAAAATGGCCATGAGCTGCAAAGGTACGAAGGTCAGCCTTGGGCAAGAGTTAGGCCTGGCGAATGCAGGACGTATATCATTACCTGTATTCCTGCACCACCCCCAGAGTCCGACCCAGCAATAGTCAAAATCGTCCGTTGTTGAGCCATGATAGGCGAAGGAAAGATAGGAAATCATCGTGACGTCGTTACATTCGACCTTGCATTCGACCATGTTTTGGCAGACTGCGTTTCGAGCAGCATTCAGACAACGGCCAGGGGCTTCATTTTCACGACCGTGGACCATAGCTCGTCTTGGTCTAGGCGTTTCTGTTTTGGCTGTTCTCACCAACCAGCATCGACTGCATAATGAGGCTGAGGCTGATTCCAGTTCCAGCGACAAATCCGACCCACCCCTCGGTGCGGGCTTTACACAGGACAGATTTGGCTGGCAACAGGCTATCAAGTATCTTGGAAACGAAGCGCCAGATGGAATTATTCGAATGTATTGGAGTTCACGGTTTGGTGCGCCAACTCGTTTTGTTTCTCTTGTCCTTTTGGGTTGACTTGTGTTGTAGATACGAGAATTCGTATCATGAGCCGTGGTCCAAGAACACTCATTAGTATGCTCGAAGGCGACTTTGTCAATCGCGCGAATGTGGCAGACGTTATTCAAGAAAACCTCTGGTTCAACCTTGAGGCACTCTTCAGATGGTACCAGACAGACCTCAGTACGCCCCAGCCCGTTGAATTTATTCACGAGCCTCACCCTTCGCCGGAGGCAATACACTCCGTCATTAGAACGGCCATAAACTTCACGGACGACTTTATACGCGACTTCTTCCTCGGACGAGTATTCAGCTCTATTTCAAAGCGATATGCGTCTGATGCGTTGAGGGCAACCACGTCGAGCTGCCTTGTTTCAGCCCTGTATGAAGAAGACGTGTCCCTCCTCCATGTTGCCAATCTCGGCAACATGCGGGCGGTTCTTGGCCGACCACGACCACCAACTGAAGACGGCTCAGTCATCTACGATGTTCACGTGCTCTCTGTCGACCATACCCCCCAAAACCCATTAGAACGTGCACGAATTCAAGCGCAACACGCCGACGAGGAGATCTTCACGGACGACACGCTATTTGGGCGGCCTTATACCCGCGCGCTTGGTGACGGCCCACTCAAGTGGTCAACAGACATCCACGAACGTCTTCATCGCGACTATCTAGCCCCAGAACCAGATCCCCGCATCAAAACTCCCCCATACCTTTCTGCAGAGCCAGACACAACATCAATCAAAGTCGAGTCTGGGGATTTCCTCGTCTTATCCTCTAGCTGGCTTCCTCAGTGTCTCACTGACGAGGAGGTCGTTGGCCTGGTCGGCGCATGGCTGCAAAAGAATCAAGACACCAATCTCTATCGCTCGCTCGACGACACAGTGCCTGACCCAACGCCGGGTGTCGTTCTTGAACGAGAGGACCTGCCTGTGAAACTGAAGGAGGACAACACCACTTTCTTTCGCAAATGGAACGTACCCAAACGATTCGTGAATTCAGACCCGAACCCTTCTATGCACCTCACCAACAACGCTATGGGTGGCGCCGACGGGAACTTGAGGCAGGCGTTATTGGAGCTGGCTCCTTCGGAATCGGCAGGCAACACGTTTGTATTTTGTGTTTCTTGCTGGAACAAGTCTGATTGGTATTTTTACAGCAAGTCTTTGGGAATTGCTGTCGTCTTTTTCCAATAGAAGCATATTCGGTGGGCGACAAGTTGAGGCAGTGTTCTCGATACTGCAATGCTACCGACTCCCTTCTGGAGGTCGTACGGAGCCAAAAGTAACCAAGATAGAACCGGTAGTGATTACTATAACTGTACATAGAACCAAGACAAGGAAGGAATCAAGGAACGGGTGCTCTAGCGGCGTCTTTCTCCTTCATGAGCACTTTCTCGACGTTTGCACCAAGTGCAGCGCGGTCCTCAGGGCTGATAAACGGGATCCTGGAAGAATATCCAACCTCTGGTTGAGAAGGGAAGGGTAATCAGATCAGCGATGCGAAACGACGGAGAAATCAGCGCACTGAGGGTGGGGTACTGCAGGGGGATCTCCGCGCTTCGAATGGGGAGCGTCGACAAATCAAGAGGATAAGCGGGCCCGATCCAGGAGGCGCGGACTTCGTGGTCACTAAACGCGGAGATGAGGTGCTCGATCATCGTTAGGACGAATGCGACTCACGCTCGCTAGTCAAAATAATCTAGTGACGAACCAGAGGAAGTGGTACGAGAGCGTACCTGTTCGCGAGTGAGTGGGTGGACCAGAATGCTGCGGAAAGCAGTCAGCAGTAGCCTAAAAAGTTGCTGACACTGAGGTATACCTCAAGGGCCCCCGATTCAGGCAAAGATATGAATAAACGGAGGCAAACGTTTCCGAGGGTACCCAAATCTCATAGGATCCTGAAATTACGTTCATTTTTTGAGGCAAGGGTGTTAACGAGCTTACCAACAGGGTGTGGCCCTATTGGGGCCTCGTTCACACGAAAAAGTGGGACAGCGATGAATGCGCCGTCACGCCTCAGTCGAAGCACAGCATCGCGGAGCTCAAGAGCATAGTGATGCTCTTCCGAGTTTCCTTGATGGAAGTATATATCTGCACGAGAACTGTGCCTGAGATATTGAACACCGTCCGAGTTTGGACTTCGCACGGAAATGCCACTCCCTGGAGCGAGAAATGTGTTAGAGCGGGGCGGAGTGGGCGGTGAAGGCGATTCCCACTTTATTTCAGTATTCAGAACAGTCTGGAGATCAGTGGTTGGTTTTGGTTGCGCCATGGTCGGTGGTTGACGAGAAGAAGCAATTCTGTCATCACGGTCATGTGACTTGATGAGTGCTGACAAAGCATATCACCCTTGTATCCGACCTCAATCAACGACGAATGTCTCTGTGTACATGTCACCAACTGCTGAAATTTCGAGGCTCTGGGGTGACCCGCGGCTCCATGGGCTACCTGGTAAGAATAAGCATTAGTGAGCAGCAATAATTTAAGGCTGAGTGCGGCTGATCATGAACTTCAAGACTCAAGAGTAAAGCCACTTTTGTGTGTATTAACTCTGCTTAACACAGAGGCCGTCGGTTATGGTACACTTTACATGTCAAAACTGTCTCACAGAGAAGTCAAAACGACAAGTACTTACTCAGAGGACTTAGTTACTCTCATCTAAGAAGTCACCTTGATCACACCCGTCGCTGATTTGAATGTAACAAACGAGTTTTTTCAGCACAAATGCTCGCATTGGCGTTGGCACGAAATCCTCTTCAAGCTAAAAAAACATCGTGTTGTCTTATCTCTGGCTGCGGCCCGGGCGCATTTTGTTGCATACTCCATCCTCGGACTTGAAGCTCTTCCTGAGAGAGCTTGAACTTGATGTTGCTTAGGCTGGATCCCATCAACTCCACCGGTGGTCCCTTATTTACAGGGCACAGAGTGAACACAAGGCCCAGCCCTAGCCGCAAGCACTTCCAGCTACTGCAAGGTCTGTTTCTCAATTTTCAGCAGTTGACTTGCCGTCAATTGACACTGTTGTGTTAAGCTTCGCTTAGAAACCACTACTAGTAGATGTCGATGATGATGATGATGTGGGACACTTTCCTGTAGATGAGTGCATTAACTTGTCTACCCAGCAATGGCAGCTCTCTGCCCACCGTGACCGCCAACGCGTTTCATTTGCACATATTTGCTGAAACCAGAACACGAATAAGACGATTCCCCTATCAAAAAAACACAACGAAGACACTGATATCATCTCTGGAAAAGAGTCAGACATCTACGACCAAGCAAAAAGAGAACTCGCCGTTGATAGCGAGATCGCGGGGCCGGAGTAGCTAGCAAAGCGTCGTGGAGGTCGGTATTCGCACCACCCAGAGCATTTCTGACCAAATGGCTCGCGGCATTGAACGAGTCCGCGTTGATGAACCGTTTCTGGGCATTCCACCATGGATACTTGTCTTGCTTGTCGGTAATCTTCACTGGCAGTTCGCTGCGCTCGAGTCTGTGCCCTGCCACGCTGCCCATATCGAAACTCCGCAAAGCCTCGATTCCCCAGCGGTCGATCCATGCGCCGACAAGCCCCACCGCGTCTTCGCTCGTCAGGTTGTCCCACAGTCCGTCGGAGGCCATGATCATGAAGTCGCCCGGTTGAATGTCGATCGTCGTCACCTCCGGCTCAGCGGTGAAATATGGCGGTGTCAGAAGGGTAGCACGCGGTTTGCTGCCGAGCAGGTCTTTCTCCATCCATGTCTGAATGTCTCGAGTCCATTTCATCACCCCATCGCCAAATGCGCGGCTGCAGCCCCAGCCGAGCAGTCTGCCTGTCTCACGGTTGAGAAGTTCCGGCTCGTTGGGGTGTGCGGCCTCCAAGCGGGCGATTTCTGCAGGATTTTTGGCGTTGTGGTCGACAGAGAGGATGTGGAGGTCATAAATAGTCTTGCCGTCTGATAATTGACGAGGACGGCCCAAGATAGCGCGTGAGTCACCCACAAGGGCAACATGGAGCCGACGGAGGTTGGCCTCGTAGAAGGCAACGAGAGCGCATGAGCCTGATCGAGCGGCTTGTAGAAGTGTGGCTGCCAGCGTCATACGTGGCGCGGTTTCTGGCAGGGAAGCGATGGTTTCGACGGTTTTGTTGACGATTTCGTCATCCAATTCGAGACACGCGTTCTTGAACACTTGGTGAATAGGTTCCTTCTCAGGCGCCTTTGTCGTTTGACGGTACAAGTCTTGTAGTTTCTCGACAAGGGTAGGAATAAGTCGTTGCTCGAGAAGGGCGGAAGTTTGGTGGCCCGAGTGTCCGTCGTAAATTGCCCAGAACGACCAGGCAGAGGATGGGATGGTAAGTGAGGACATCCGGTCTTCGCAGGGAAAGTTCCTGCATAGATGAGCAAAAGCACACAAGAAAGGAAGGACGCACGAAGGCACGCTGGCGCTGTCGACTCTTGCAATGCCAGGATGAGTGCCAACACTCGTTTGTTCAACACGACCATTGTCGTCCGACTTTCTGGAGCTTTGGAACAAGTATATTGCGCTGGCAGACGCGCCACCGAAAGCATAACGGGATCGAGGAAGTTGTCCCCATATCCTCGTGAATCTCGTGGCCATTTACGGCTCAACAAGAGGGTGGAGGGAGTGAGAAGAATTGGAGTGATGGCGCTTTCACTGTGGATTGGATTGGATTGATACACGGCGCTGTTTGAGCGCCGAATTGAGACCCTAACCCATGCGAATTGGTGGTTGGAAACAGGCTTTGAAAAAAAGCTGATTACATAACACTTTCACTGGTCCCAATTTCTGTGTGCTTATCAAGTTTTCCAACGGAAATCCGTCTTCATATTTTGTCTACAGGAGTCGACATGCTGAAAGTGAGTCTAGTAAATGGTATGTACGTGTCCTTGAAATCTGAATAGAACTATGCGAAGAGAGAAACAAAAAACAGTGAAAGTAAAATTGTCCTCGGGGAAACGGTTTGGAGCGTTGCACTACTCTTCGCAGAGGGTGACGGCGACGGTTTGCTACTCGGGCTAGCGTTCTTGTTGTTATTGAAGACCTGGCCCGTGGGTGTCGAAGCAGCGGGCCGCGAAGAAGACGAGACTGGGCCGGCATTTGCTTTCGTGGCATCCACAAGATTAACAACGGGTTTGACGGGGCTCAGGTTGTCCGCGGCATTCCAGTAACCAGTCCCATTGCCGAACATCTGCGACAAGGAAACGACTTTCCATTGCGTTTCCTTCATGACGGGGTAGGCAGCCTTGAATGCTTGCACACTCAGGCTCGACGTTTCGTGTTCAAGAATGACCAATCCAGGTGACTTGGTTTTGAGCCATTCGGTCATGCTCGCGTTGATTTTCGCAAGAGTCGTGCCTGGCGGGGTGCTTGCCAGACTCCAGTCGGCCGTATCTTGATTCCAGATGACGGTCGTGAGGCCAAACACCTCTTTGGCAATCGCACGCGTTCGGCAATCGCTATCGCCATAAGGCGGGCGCCAATATCGGGGAACGCGGCCACCAGTCGAGTCGTGAATAAGCTGCATTGTCCAGCCGAGCTCAGCAACGACCTGTTCGTTTGATAAGGTGGTGGTGTATTGGTGGCTCCATGTGTGGACGGCAATGTCCCCATTCGTGCTGAAAGTTTTCAAGAACTGTTTAGGGTTGTCGAGCAGGTTGCTTCCAATCATGAAATGGGTAGCGGTTTGTTTATTGGCAATGAGGAAGTCCAGCAGCTCATCGGAGGCCTAGAATCGATTAGACACCTTCGATACCTAAGAAGAGAACATACTTGTGTGGGCCCATCATCAAAACTCAACGCCAACTGCCCGTCTGGGGCGTCCCAAATATCGCCTGGTATACGACACTTGTAGGTCGCGGAGCAAACGATAGGTCCATTTGGGTCAAATTCTGTTTTTACTGGGTCGGCAAACCGGGTAATTTTACTTTACTCAGAATCGCGTACCTTTGGGATATGCTGGGGTCCCACCACCGTCTGGAGCATTTTTGTCCACCTGGGCTACTGGGATGTCTGGAATTGCCTTGCGCTCAATCGCGGCCTTCAGAGCTGCCGCCCATGTGTCTGGAATCTTCGCAGGCGGCCCCCATTGAGATGGATAAGCAGATTTCCATTCCTGGGAGCCCACTGCAGGATAGGCAACCCCATCTGTCGCGTCCGCGCGTCGGAAGAGTGCGCGCACTATCAAAGGGTTATTGACCGCAGTGCAGTCTGCGGACTACACACCTGGGTGGTCATCTCTGTGGAACCATGAGCCGGGAAGTTGTCGTGCCGAGACGTGTTCGTGGTTGTGGTTTTGTCGGTGATCATGCCGGCTTGCGAAAGCGGACGAGGGGAGTAGAAAAAGAAGGACGAAAGCAAAGGAGTGGACCATCCGAGATGGTGATATGTGCGAAACAAGGAGAAGTTGGGAAAGAAAACTGAGTGTCAGAAGACGGTCAACAGATTTATGAGCATTTCGCGTGGACAAACTTTTGAGCTTTGTCAAGCCAAGCCTTGGTCTTCGGCGCGAGTTGCTATCGTCCGGCAAGATACGGCAGAGTGCGGTCTTCAATGCCCGAAGAGTAAGCAAACTCACGGAAAATGCCCAAGAAATGTATGCAGCTGACTGAAGCGAGTAGCAAGCATCACGGAGACTGTAAGACGAATGAAGTGAGCTCAAAATGAGCGTTAGTTTCCATTCAACTGGTTGGGCAGACCCTGTCCGGTGGGAGATGTGAAGGAAATATGGCATTAGTCATCCATCACATCGGTCTCTTCGGGTTTTCAGGAAGATTGTTGGTTGTATTCAACTCTCTTAGCACGCTGCTGTTGTAGCATCGGTACATTTTATAAACTCAAGTCCGTGATCTCATCCTCGCGGTACTGTTTCCACTTCACGTCCCAAGACAGCTGAGCCTAACTCCAAGCCTCACTTACTGCGGAAACGAGCCTTACGGCGTCGGTACTATAAGATAGACGAGACTATGATGCAGTCGAGCACTGTGTCGATGCTAAGAATCATAACAGGAAAGAAAAACGGCACATTTACATGTTGTAAAACCTTCTCCGCCAGCAATGCCCATCTCTCATCTTCGACGGCCTTTTCCACTCCATTGAAATGGAAGACCAGCCTGAATTCTTTCAGCGTCTTGACACCACATACCCTCACCCCCCATGGTGAATCTACGAGTGTGAGGGGATCATAGTCCACTCTGTCCTCGGGTGAGTATGTGGGCGAAGTCGTGTAGAACGAGAATGTCAGCCTGCGGAGACCCGTCATCTCAGGAAGCAAGTCAAGTGAATGAAACGGCGGCTCGTTGAAGCACCATGTATCACTTGGGAAGGTTGGATGTGCAATGTCGAGTGAATGGAGATGTGGGAGGTTGAATTGGCCAAAGCTGGCCAGGAGGGTCGCGTGCAGCCCGAAGGCATGAAGATGGAATGTGTTCTGAGTTAAGGGAATCAATTGGGCTTCGAGGTAGACCTGGCGGCAGGTGCGAAGGAGATTGACGCTGATAGGGTCGTATACGCGCTGTAATTTGTTGTGTGGAATATGGAGTATTGTCCGAGAACGGACCCACGATTGTTTGCTGAGAAAGTCGTCCATCGCAATCAACAGAACGTGGCGGCCACCAAGAGCTTCCTCGTATATGCACCGTCTTAACTCTGGCGGAAGGACGAAAAAGTTATTTGACTGTGTTTCTGGCTGACAGAGACTCAGGTCTCGTCGCCCTTTGGTGGGCAGGGGTTGAGGTTCACGAAGACGGGTGTTAACGTTCGTGGGCCTGGGCGACCGAAAGCAAGCAGTACATGAAAGATAGACCGCAATCGGAGAGCATAACACGAGGAGAATAGACACGCAAGCAGCTTCGATGACTTTAGAGGCTCGCGTACGGATGGTGGTCGACATAGAGAGCGACGCACTGCCTTGAGCACGACATCCAGCCAGTGCCAAGGCAATATGTGGCGGTGAACAAGCTTGTAAGATGTTTTGATCCAACAAGTCTAAACGATTTTCGATTCAAGAGCCAGCTAGAGCCTAGAAGCTCAGAACAAGGTGTTGTGAATATCGAGAGCGTTGATATTTGACTGGAACTGGGTGATTGCCACGGTTAAAGGTGGTTTGGCGTGCAACTTGCAACGCCAAGGCCCAAAAGAGAATTGGAGCTTAGGATTTATTCGCATGGTAGGTCCTGTACGGGGGGCAAGGTCATCTACGTGGTACTACTACGTAGGTCTGGTCGCGCTCCGATAGAGGCATGTACATGGTGTGTTAGGGGCTCCAATGATTGACGCAGAAGAAGCGCCGTCGGACATCCCAACCTTCGTGCATTTGGCACCTGGACCTCCAAGAGTAAATCGACGCGCAATGGCGAAGACGAATGGTTTGCCGGACAACCTCAGTTTGAACCTTTGCGGGACGGACTTCGAGAGGGCGATTTCCTGCTGTTTCTGTTGTCTACGTAGACGAAAGTGACCTGTGGCCATGAGCGCGAGGCGAGACGGAAAAAGAAGCCGACAAACCAGAATCTCCTCGGCCAGATGCTCAAACTCTGGTAAGACCTCGAGAGCAGGAAGCGGGCGAGTAGGGGAGAAAGCTGGCAGTTCCTTCTCGGCATGAAAACGGGCGACGAGGACATCTTGTGTGTTGTTTGTGCGGAACTGAAGCTCAGAAGTCTCCGGGTTTTGTGTCCAGCGGTATTCCCTTCCATCCCGCGCCGTCATCACTCGCGGGCTAAAGCCATATGAGACATCTTCGCGCTTCAGCCAGTGCTTCGTCTGACGCTCCTTTCCCCCGAAGTCGATAACGGTCGACTTGACGATATTCCACCTAATGGTGGCGACGTCTATCGCAGCGGATCGCTGGGGAGTATTGATAGCGAAAACGTCCAAATCCGAATGTGGGCTAGCAGTGGATTGGCGCTGGGAGACGCGACGAATAAAGGAGGTCCGATTAGCCCTTGTCGAGCGCGTATCAACTTGGTATTGAGGGACACCGAACTCGTTGGTGTAAGTGGTGTTGGAGGTTGAGGGGGTGGTAAGCACAAGAAACATGGTGTTTGCGCCGCGGGGGTTGGGGAGAAGAAGACATCGAGTGAGTCTTATATGGTGGTAGCAAGTGCCGAAGGGCCGAGTAATCCATTTGCTGACATGGATAAGCTCACAAATATAAGTCAGTGGATCGCCGGCAAAAACTCCGTTTAGATATTTACCATCGATTCGACAGAGCAACTAGTGACATTAGCTTCTGAAGAGACAGAATACTGGCCAACCACATCTACATCTATTCAGAGCCTGGCAGCAAATAGAGCGGAGATGTTAAGAAGGAAAACCCGTGTGTCACGTGTGTCATTAGATCTGACACAAATCAAGCGTCGCCGTAAGCATGACTGAGTCATTGACGAGCGTCTTGAGCCGCTAAACAAATTTAGAACGGATATTCGGACTTCCAGGTGACTTCCGAGACGTTTACCCTGAAGTCTACATGCATCCTTCGTTGCATGTACTTATCGCCAGTCCAGAATGCTAGTAAGTACGGTCTAAGCTACAAATCACGTTGATTGCTACAAATTATCGTAAGTAGAATATGTACTAGCTTTGAGTGACCGAGTCTACTATTCTACCAGTGCTATGCATCGACACCTCGACCCAAGCCTGCATACTTACATCTCTACTGAGCTATCACGACGCCGTTTCAAGTTATTGCGTCTTCTAGTGCCAGGGTGGGCCTTCCTTCCATACAATGGGGAGAGCGATTTCCCCGATGCCTGTGCTTTGGGGCGGGTACCAAAGTCGCGAGCGAGGCTAGTCCTGTTCTTCTTCGGAGTCTTCAAGTTGGCAATCAACTCCACATCCGAGCCATACGCCACCAGCCCTTCTTCTGCGTCCGATCCGGAGTCGACGAAGATATAGGTAGCCGGAGGTGGCTTCGCTTTGGTTGCGGCTGGTTGGACATCAAGATCCTGTTCTTTGTCGAGCAGCGGGGTAAAGGATTGCATCGACGAGTCGGTTTCTGATGCCTCAGAGTCTGAATCCGAGCTCAGGGAGATCACGCTATGTCGCCGAGTAGTTTGTCTTTTGGAGCTCGATATCTGAATTGGGTTAATTTCTTCATCTGAGCTTAGGGTATCCGCTGAGATGTTCCCGCTGCCTCCTTCCCACTCGGACTCCGAATCACTGTTGTCGGCCTCGTAGTCGTGGCCAGCCATTGGCCTCGGCGCCTTATGGCCATGCCTCTTGGTCTTCACAGCACGTCTCGCTGGTGATGGAGTAGTAATCCGCATGGAGGGTGATTCGAAAAACGAGATATGAAAGCAGCCATCGGCATCGAGATACTTGTGGTCGAGCGCTTTGGCTCCGAACTATAATCCTTTTAGTTGGTTGTTAGATCCAGGTCACACAACTGACCTTGATATACCAATGCTTGTTCCGATGATCGTCCTCAGAGCTCGCTCGCTCGACGGTGAGGGCTTGCCGATGTATGAGAGCTCCTAGTACTTTCTCGACCAACTCGAAAGTCATATTGTGGTCTTTCGCACTGCCATATCCGGGATGGGAGTTTCGTTCGTTCTTAGCCTTGCGGCCGCAGAGTAGTTCCACTAGTTGGTTCGGGGTCACTTTCTCGTTGGACTTGTGAGTGAAGATGTCCCGCAGGTACCCAAGAATGACTTTTGAGAACAGTGCAAAATCAACAGTTTTGCGAGATGCGCCGTTGAGACAGTTGCTGCATTGCTTGTTGCATGGAGCAGACCGCTCTCCAAAGTAACGGTAAAGACGCTGGTTTATGCAACTAGAACTGTGGAGGACTTCTACCAGTTCTTTTGCTTGCTTCATTCTGCGCCGAGCCTTTGGGGTCATGTTGTCCAGGCGAGATGGGAACAATGAGGGGAAAAGGTCAGAGTATCGGTAGTCTTTTGGAGATCAGTCAGCATCGATTGAGGAATTGATAAACGCTCCCACAGAGAATGCACTCGGCATCTTGTCCGTCTCTTCCCGCACGACCAATCTCTTGTAAGTATCTGTACCCGAGTCAGACTTAGCCAGACAGCCAACTGCACCTCACGATTCTGTGCTCTTTGGGCAATCATAATGGACAATGAATCGCACTACCAGGGTCAATTAGGCACAGCGGCGAATCACGTCAGCGGGGGGCCCCACCATCTGGTTTGTCTACACCCATCCCGAAAGCGTTCTAGAAGCAGAGTTAGTTTTGTCCCCTTTTGTCGTTCGTTTCCACGTACCGTGGCAACCATTACTTGTATGCTGCCATTCATCCAGTTCGCATACGACGCTCGCTTTTCATCCGGCGAGAGACCGGCGTGAAATAGTGCCACCCTTATCCCTTCAGCTTCCAGCTTTTTTGCCAGATATGCACAACCGCTGCGACTGTTATAATAGACGATGCCCGAATGGGTGCTTGGCTTGCTTTGAATGTCCTTGACTAAGGCGCCGACCTGGCTGCTGTTGCCTGATTTGTGATGTATCGTGACCTGAAGATTGCCTTGGATGAGTGAGGAGCGCACAAGTATCGTGTTTGTCATTCGAAGGAGCGTGGTGATTTCTTGGATACTACGCGTAGTAGTGGTTGCTGTAAGAGCGACGATAGGCACGTGCGGGAAGTCCTCCCGCAGAAATGTGAGATTGAGGTACTACAAGTCGACGTCAGAAACAGAGAAGCTGTTACGGGTGCACTGACCTCTGGTCGGAATGTTAAACCCCAGGAAAGGAGACTATGTATTTCGTCGAGCGCAAAGCGGCTAATGTGATCATTTCTATAAAGTTCGCAGAGAAACCGATGGAAATTTGTGCTCCGGTTTAATCGCTCAGGCGTAACATAGATTAGAACCGGCTCTTCAGTCCAGAATCTGTGACGGATGGTCTCATCAGATTGGGGGCGGTCGGATGTGATAGCGAGGACAGGGATGCCATGGGCAATGCAGCTCATTTCTTGGTCGTGGATGAGTGCCTGCAGAGGCGAGACAACGACTGTGACTTTGCGCGGATGAAGCTTCCGCTCCGCCATAGCTGGAAGTTGGTATACCAGACTTTTGCCGCTTCCCGTGGGCTTAAAGACGAAAACATCGCGTTTCGCCATAGTGTGCTCTATGGCAACGGCTTGGTCAACGCGTAACATGTCGATTTTGAATGTGTCCTTCAGAAGACGACCATATTGGTCTTGCAGGATGTCCCGGGTGACCTCATCTTCAAGAGAGGGAGTCAAAGGAGGTGACCAGAGCTCTTCCTCTGGTATATTTTGCCCCAAACCTTCCTCTTCCCAATTTGAGTCATCACTCGCTGTACAATCCATGCCGAGAGCGATCCGAATGGCTCGCAATCGTTCCAGGTATTCAGACCTAGACATCAACTTAATGAGAGCTTTCGGAAAGAGATTGCGTACTTGAAACCCTTCAAAAGCGCAACATCGCATGCCAGCCCACCTAGAAATTCATTGTTGTTGATTCGAATTTTTAACCGTTGTAAGTCTTCAACATCGACTTCTAGAAGCTGTCGTAGTTCTGTTTCGGTTTTCTTCAAGTTGAGTATGTTAACCGTTTGCCAACACAAGCCGATGACATGATTTCCGACTGACCTCAGATAGGTCAGAATGTTTGCTTACCACTCGGATTTTGGGGGGTGGGAGATCTGTTGAGCCCGGAGTGGCGATGCGGCGGCGTTTCGCCACTGGACCCACGTCCCGGGAAGACACGACACCCCCGTCTGAATCGTCCACTTCAGACATGGACTCGTCGCACAAAGTGCATTATGAGGACAAGAAGAGAGCAAGGCGGCAGTGGCTGTGCCGTGACTCACACAAGAACTACTCGCTATACGCAGGAAAAAATGCTTGTTTTGAATGGAAAGAATGCTAATACAAGCCAATCCTCTTTCGAACCAACTCCATAGTCTCTGACGAAATCACTTTCGCCTTTTCTGCACCTTCCCGTGAGATTTGTTCCAAGTATCCTTCATCGGCGCGAATTTTGGAGAATTCCGCTCGCGGTTTCTCCAAAAGCGCATTGACCCGCTCAGATACCTCTTTTTTCAAGTCTGCATGTGACATCCCGTCGGCGGCACATCGTAAGGCCACAGCTTCGGGATCAACCTCGCCCTCTTCGCAAGCAGCAAGGATGGAAAGCAAATTTGAGGTGCCTGGTCGTGAAACCGGGTCGTAGGTTATTCCAGTGGTAATGGAGTCAGTCACGGCTGCTCGGATCTTGGAGGCGACCAGAGAGGGTGAGTCAGTGAGGAGGATGCGAGAGGCCGGATCTGGTGTTGACTTGGACATCTTGGAGCTTGGGTCCTTGAGCGACAGAATTCGTTTGGCGGGTGCTAAATGCGCGTTAGGCTGGAATGTGAATAAAGGGAATGACGCACTAATCAATGAAGTCGGTACAGGAAACAACCGTCCGGAGGAGGAATCCTTGAATGTACGATTAAAGGTGTCTGCTATATCGCGACTGAGCTCGAGATGCTGTCGCTGGTCGTCTCCAACGGGCACGTGAGTTGCACGGTAGAGAAGAATGTCGGCGGCTTGAAGAACAGGATAGGTGAGCAAGCCCGCATTTAAGAGCGACTCGTCGACCTCAGATTCGTCGTTGGCATTTCTTGACTGTGCTAAACGCGTCTGGAAGAAGAGTGAATAGGACGGAATCAAAGTACATGTGTGGTACCTTCCATGAAGTCATGCGTCGCAGCTTTCCAGTTGGCGTTATACAGCCAAGTATCCATGCTAGTTCGGTATGCATAGCATTCTTTCAAGAGGTCAAGTAATTCAGTTTGATTTGGACGTTGACCCTCACAGAGTCCTGGTGGAAAATAATCGAGCGTTTTGGATCAAGTCCAATAGCTAATAAAACAGCAAGCATGTCTCTTCTCGACGTCGCTAGCTCTTTCGGGTCCTGGGGTAATGTGAGGGCATGCCAGCCAACGACGGAGAAGAGCAGTTGGTCTTGTGGATTTGCATTCTTTTGAAGGTCCACCCAGTTTGAAAGGGCGCCGAGGTAATTGCCTAGCTGGCGAGTCTGAAAGACGCGTCATCACGATGAGAGGTAACACACATGTGGAATTCCTGTTGGCTGAATGCCAGAGAAGATAGTTCGCGGTTTCGTGAGTGTGGAAAGTGGCCGTCGGAAAATAAGATTCATGTCACATGACGCGAACTTTTTCACTCTCTACGTTGATGAGTACAGAGTCCGACCTCCCTGGCGGCAACGATTTCCACGATGTAACGCAAATATTTCTCGACGCGGCTTCTGGCTGGTACTTTCTTTGCTTTCCCTTTGCTCGCTGAAATTCTTTTAGAGATGCCGCCTGGCGAAATCATCTTCCGTGAAGGGTTTACCCTCCATGACGCTATGAGTGCATTTGAGGTGCTCATCGTTTCCGTGGAAACGCATTCAACTTACTCGGGTAGATAGGAGAACCACGGCTCGACAGCGGGATGGTCTTAGCAGAACAACAACGCCCTCCCTTCGACCCATGGGCTCCGCTTCTCCCTGAAGAAATTTGCTGGATCATCGACCGCTCTTTCTCTCTGGAGGCGAGCTTTAAGCTATCTGTCGCCTTTTAAACTCATTTTCTGCAGATGTTGTTTCATGCTGGCAACCCCCTTGCTCACACTGTGTTTACTTCACTGTACTCGGTGGCCATTCTCGACCTTCACCCGGATTTGGCACCGTACGGAGAGGATCCCGAGTCCCACCTAATCACGATCGTTCTTCGGGCATCCATTTCAGGAATGCTAAAGTGCTGCGACCTTTCATGGCGCGAATTGTCTCAAGGCCACATGTATGATGTTTGTCTACTCACAATCCGGTCTTCCAAGAAGCTAACCAGCTCCAAGACAGAAGACTGGCAGAGCGATAAATGTGAAACCTCACTATTGGAGGGAATGTCGGTGCAAAATGCTCTGTTGGGGTTGGACAATGCAACAGGCTGGCTCATACGGACAAGACAAGGTGCGTTTTTAGGTCCCATGATCCATCATCTGACTCTTTTCAAGTTCCAGAGCCATGGCTGACTGCACTTGTTGCCCGACTGAATCTTCGCAAATCTCTTCTCCAGTTGATGGACACTAATGTTTTCCGTTCACCTTCCAACTTCATGCAACTCATAGGTGTTGCGCGCAATCATCTCAAGACAGTCCAGTCTTATCCGTCTCCCGAACCCCCCGCCAGCTCAATCGCGCATTTCGCATTCGACCCCTACGTTGCCCGCAAGCTGAATAGCTCAGTACCCATACGTGTTATCCCAGTCCCCCAAATGTCTTCAACTTGGTCTGCACTCGAGTTATTGCTAGATGGCTGGGACGAGATGCGTCTACTGTCTTCAACAAATGCACTTGCGTCATGGGAGGTGCGACTGTTCCTTTTCCAGAGCAATACAGTGACAAAGCTTCCAGACCGCTGGTTTACTTCGCGCATGGTCGCCAAATCCACCATTGCGTGTCCCGTATATTCGTTCAGCCACACAAGTGCGTTTTTATTTCCTTCGAGATTTGCACACCATTTATCTCGTTGTTCAGTCCGTCTTTTACAATGGCCTGTTGGTGTTGAATAAATTCGGTCCCCAATGGATATTCGACAGATTCTTCTATGAAACGCTCGGTGTGAGCCAACAAGCCGTGCTCACTTTCCTCGAAGAACATTCAACCAGCCAATGGCTCGCTTGGGGCGACCTTCAACGCGGACACTTCAAGGCATGTCATCTGCCGCTTGCTCAAGCTGCTGCTAATCGTTTGTTCTTTCCTTTTCATCTGTTTCTAGCTTATGACTGAGTACATCAGGGCACTATGGTTTAACCCAGGTCGAAGAAGACGATTCTTGATGAAGCTGCTTGTCGAGTTGCACGCATATTATGCGAAAATGCTGGATATCCAGTCGTCGATGCCGGTATGGCGTTTTTTTACCTTCAAAGTGGTATATTTGCTGACATGATTTCAAGGGTCTGTCTGTGACAGAAATCATGAGCCATCTCTCCAGCTGTGTTCTGCTCTGGCGTCTCTCCGTCATTCGCGACGTTGTCCTTTCTGGGTTCCAGCTGGAACTTTACACAGCTGAAGAGCGGTCCTTCGCATATTGGTACCTGTCCGAGGTCATTGAGGCCCACCTCGAATGCTTGGATCGCCTGTTGTTGGCCGTGAACCCAGGTAAGTTTTGTGGCCATTTTTGAAGTTGATATTCATCTCTATGTAGACTCGACTCCTGCCCGGGAACTGCGCTTCCAGCATAGTTTCTTAACTGCACTACAAGCTATGGCATTGCCCATGTTCATGGTTGGTAGTAATACTTCATCTTCAATGAGTTCTCTGACCCTGAGTAGCTTTCTATGTCTCTCATGTCCTTTGATTGGCAGCAAATGAACGCAAACTTCCATCGTCGATATAAATGGGCATTTTCACCTGATTACGGCCTGGTGTCTGCTCCCGTCGTTGCACAACCAGACTTTGACCACTTCATGGCCAAATGCAAGGCGGCATTAAAGTCCCCGGAAACGTATTCGCCGGTCGAGTCATTCACACTCGCCCACACGATCTTGAAGCAGTTGGTTGAGGAGAGGATGGTGGGTGGATATGCCGGATTGTGGACTGAGGATCGTATCAAGGTGAGGAGTCGATGGTTCCTGGCGGTCATATACTGAAAACTTGAATGCAGTTGTTACAGGGCCTTGTCGATGCCAGTGAGGACTTGGCTAATGATTTGCGTACGGCACAGATACCATCGTTCGACGAGGGGCTGCTCAAGTGGGATCCATATAACACACCTTCTCCGTGGTTTCCTGTGGTTGACGATGAAGGGAAAGAGCGGAGGCGAAATCGTCGCCCACGGTCTGCGGCGAACTAGAATTGGAATCCGAATCCGTCTATCAAGAGGATGATCTACAATTAACTGTTGTGCTCATGTACATAAATGTCCCAACTTCCACCGCGGGGTACAAACAGAACGTCGGGTTGTACAGCTTTCTTGTTGTTCTTCACTCCTCAAGCCTCAGTCACTTGGGAGATTATATGGCACTTGGGACACGATGCCGCAGCATGCCGGAGCCTGGCACTACGGCCAATCCTGTGATTGTGATGATTGATTATCAAAGACCGCCATGACTAGTGTTATATAAGCAGTCATTCTGTTCTGGTCACCACAAACTAAACGACGAACTTCGTTCTGTTTGGGAACATCGCGGTACAAGGACTTGCCCAAACCTAGAAGCCTCCTGGAAGGTGGTTGCTGAGGTCAAGATGACCTTGACCATGCCATACCCGACCCCCAGCATGTGGCTTGAGCGCTTGATTCGACAATAGATCTGCTCAATTCTGATTACCTATACTTCGATGCATCATCTGGCTCGTTTACGCTCGTTCCTTGTCGCTCGCAATGCCTGACATCGTGTTCAGCATGAACGCCCTCGATACCAGGTCAGATGAAACTCCAATCTCGATGCCATCTCTACGTTGCAATGTTCATGTTACCCGAACTTGGAAGCAACCCGGACCTGTCGATAACAATCCCCGTCGTCGATCAATTCACTACCTTCGTCTTTTTGCTTCTCTCCAGCATGAAGGTGGTTAACACCCCCTTCGTCCTTGGTTGCTCGTTTTTCTTGTCGCTCGTTCAGGCCCAACTTCCCCCTTTCTCGCCGTCTGCCCTTGCCGCATATACCCCCAAAAATGTAGACTGTCCCGCTGGATTTACCCTCGTTCGTGACGCCAAGGGCTTGGGTGCCCAAGAAAGCGACTATCTGAAATCTCGTCATTCCACCGCCCTCCCCGCTGCCTTTGCCACATTCTTGGCTAATTTGGCTTCCACCAAACAGCCAGTTCCATTGACCGTCAAAGAGGTCTTTTCCGGAAAACGTGGCGCATCTCCCTCCTATGGCCTCGCATTCAGTGGCGGAGCTTTTCGCGCGGCACTCTTCGACGCAGGAGCAGTGACCGCTTTCGATTCTCGAAACAAAACTTCCAGCTCGTTGGGTTTTGGCGGTATCCTTCAAGGAGCATCGTATATGTCTGGCTTGTCTGGAGGAGGGTGGTTCGTCACTGCTCTCACCCAAGCAAACATGCCGACTGTCCACGAATTGGTCTTTGGTCCCTCTTCTCCTACCACCGATGGTTACGGTGGATTTAACGTTGCTTTCGACGTCTTGACACCGTTCGGGAGCAATAACACGCTCAACCAGGCATTCATTGGTGGCCTGATCGTTGAAACAACCGGCAAGGTCGGTTCACCTGCGGGAGGCCATGCTGGTCTTCCCGATGCATTCGGACTGTCGCTCGCTAGACACTTTGCAAACGGTACCAATGCAGCAAATCTTCTGGACCTTGAAAACGCAGCACACGGCGCCGGGCAACTGTTTTCGGGCATCTCGAATGTGTGAGTACTACTTGAATGGATTACGGGCTGCCTTATGATGCGCTGCAGTCCTGCCTTCAAATCACACCAGATGCCGTTCCCAATTATATCAACAACCCTTCTTTCGAAACAAGGCAACACCAGCAACATCGTTCCCAGAAAAATCGTTCCTTTGTCAAACACTAAATTCGAGTACAACATTTGTACGTGCTTGCTCGACTTTCATCTGGGCAAGCTCATAATCTCTGCGTAGTCGAATTTGGCTCCTACGACCCGACTTTGAACGCATTTGTCCCACTGCAACAGCTCGGAACTGTCAACACGAGCTCTTGTGTTTCAGGCTTTGACCAAATCGCCTTCGTGCTCGGGTCGACTGGGGACATCTTTCCAGCAGTCAATGCTTCTGCACTATTAACACCCAGCGATCCCACAGTACTTCAGTTCCAAGCAACTGCCGCTGCTTTCCAACAAATAGTCCCACAGCAAAATGTTCGCTTGGATGCAGCACTTGTTCCGAATCCTTTCCAAGGCCGTGCGGGTTTCTCTGAGGCCGATGAGGATATTCTTAGTCTGGGCGACGGTGGAATTGACGGCGCCAATCTGCCTCTCCAACCGCTGTTGGCCAAAGCTCGGAATGTTCAAACTATCATTGCTGTCGATGTGTCCTCTGACACAGATGACAACTATGCTGCAGGAAATGCACTTATCGTTCGTCCTTTTCTTTCCATGAACAGACCTAACTTGAATATCAGGCCGAGTCCCGACGAGCAGCTCTCTTCCCTAACACTTACAAGTTCCCCAAAGTACCCGCCACGACTACCGATTTCGTTGCACAACAACTCAACACTCGCCCGACTTTCTTCGGTTGTGACGAGGGCGCTGACGTCCCTCTGATCGTGTATATTCCCAACGGCGGTCCTCTTCCTGGTCAGCCAGCGATCACCAACGCATCGACATCGCAACTCTCCTTCCAAAACCTGCCTCTTGTGCAGTCGATTGTCGACCAGGCCGCCCAGATTGTTATGCGCGGTCGGCCACAAGGGCAAGACACACGAGACAAGGCATTCCCGGTCTGTTTGGCGTGTGCATTAGCGGAGGGTGAGCGGACGAGGCTCAGACTGAGACGCGATAAGGAGTGCGACGTTTGCTTCGAAAGGTACTGCTATAAGCCGGCGGCATCCAAGTCACGGAGATCCAGAGTTATTCGAGCGGGTTCGCGCTAATGCTCATAACGTATTTGAAGGTTCAGATGCGTGTTTGTTGTTCAGAACGTTCTGCAACGGACATCTTATTCGTTGGACCTTTTCGTATCTTGTACAAATCCGCGGTGGTCAGGTACATAGCTGCAATGTATGAATGCCACAAAAGCACTCGTATGGAGCACGCCGGCGCTCAAAAGTCTCAGTGGCTACAAGCATTGAACTTTGAAGCAATCTATGACGTTGAAATTGTCTTGTCCAAAGCAATTGATGCCTCGCGTCAGCCATCATGATGATTTGATTGTTTTCTCACGGAGGAGTGATGTCAAAAAAAACTTGCTCTCAAGTTCCATGTCGACCAGCCTCAGGGTCACTTTGTTATCTCCCAATGGTTTCCAAATTCCGCTCTGTCGCCTACAAACTACGCCACCGCCTTTCCCGATCGTTCCAATGAGCAGCTGGTGACGCACCGAACTCCTGTCTCTCCTTCAAAACCAGCAGTCGGCGCGGCTCCACCCAATTCACCATGGCTTCCAACTCGCAACCACCCCCAGTCTCCCAGGTAGACTCTACCACGTCCAATCCCGACATCGACCGAAAAATTCGCTTATATGGAGCCATTGCTGCCTTCCGTCGCTCCCGCATGCCAACCAATGCGCAAATCGGCGACACGATCGAATACATCAAGGCCAACTCGCCTGTTGACGAGAAGAAGCTGTCGTTTGAGGGTCGCAAGCTCGTGAACGATATTCGTGACATTCTCACGACTTTGTCGAGCCTCATTCGCGAGAAGAACGACGGCGAGATCCTCCAGCGTTTTGTTTGGGCCACGCGAGGCGTAGACACCGCAACGCTCACTCCATCTGATGACGACAAGACCAAGGGCAAGGAGGATGTGGCAAAAGCCAAGCGCGATGCTCAAGAGGGTGTGTAGCTTGTCGTTGCTCGATGCCACAGAGATCCAACTTGACCTTTAGCTTCACACCATCTTCGGACCCTTCTTAGTCTCATCTTGACCAATGCGGAAATGCGCAAGCTGCTGACCGACCTTGGCACTGTTGGACGCGATCTTTTTGCCAAAACTGCCGTCAAAGCTGCCGAAAGAGTCGCCCCCACCGCAGAAGAATTGTATCAGGCCGAGCAATCCGCACCACATGACGAGTTCCACCACGAAGGTTCATCTTAATGCAGTTCTTCAAAACCCTCACTGACTTTTGTCTCAGATCCTCTTGCCGTCAAGCCACAACCTGGCCCTATGGAGCCCTCCGCTTCAGCGTCATCCGTTTCTGACGCATCCAGCTCTGAAGAATCTGAGACGGAGAATGACGGTCAAGTCAAAACTGCCAAGAAGACATTGCTTGGTCGTCTGCGCAACTTGCAGTCTTCCAACAAACAAGATATCGATGACGGAAAGGCTTGGCTCACTGACGATTTCTTTCCCGAGGAGCGTCGTGAACGCTGGATCTGGCGCGGAAAGAAGGTCATTATCGAATGTCAAAAGCACGCTGACTACCAAGAATCTGTTCGGTGGTTGCTTAACATGATTGAAGCTTGGGCTTCGCGAGCCAAGCAGGTCGGAAACGATGCCAAGGACGGTCAAGGACTTCTTCCAGCCGCAACTCTCGCTCAAGACCCATCCCTCCGCTCTGCCCTTTCTCTCCTCCGCACTTTATTGGAGCGAATCGCCGCCGCTCCTTTGGAGCCATTCCTTGCGGCAGCCCGTGTGCTTGCCAAAGATGCGGCTAACGACAAAGAATTACAGCAATGGTGGGTGGCCGTTGGAGGATATGTTCGAAAAGTAGGTTTCTCTTGAAGTTTCTTTCTTTGATACCAACGAACTCGACAGGTTTTGCTCGATGCAGGATACGTGACAGAGCCCGCCTGTTCAACCCGCGCTCGCGAACTGCGCGATATGGGTCGTGTGTTCTACAACGACAAATACAAACCGCACTTTGATGCCGTTGCCGACACCACTGTAGCTTGGTTCCGTTCCATGGCCGCAGACCCACTCAACAAAGCCCTGGCTGAAGATTTTGGAAGACTGACGAGAGACCTGCTATTCGATGGAGATGGAAATTTGCAGTTCAAGAGCAAGCTGTGGGAGGATGTGCGTCAGGTTATTCTCCCTACTTTAGCCGACAAGGTGTGTTTGGATTCTTTTTAAAAGCTCGTATTCATGTTGTCTAGGTTGGATATATTCCTATTCCACGTGTCGAATATACCGATGACAGTATTGATCTTGTGGTCGAGAACCTGACGCTGTCCGGGAAACAACTCTTCCCCAATATTATCGAGGTTGAAGCGCACAACTACATCCGTTTTAGTCCTTACTCCTCCCCTCCCATCTGGCAAAACGAAACCTGCTTTCCGCTCACTCAAGAACACTGAGGATACTTCTCGCCACGAAATCACATTCGCGTTTGAGCAGGTGCATGCTACAATGCGAGACGTCGCGTTCTCCTTCCGCACCAAGACTGGAATCAAAATGCATGACAAAGGCATGCTCGACGTTGACCTTGGTGGACGGGGTCTTTCCGTTTTGGTCACGCTCGTATCCTCCCCAGCGGCAGACACGAGTTCAGTCTTCCGTGTTCACCAAGTCCGTGTCAAAGTTGGTTCGTTGAAGCTGCGGATTCGGGACGCCAAGCATGGGCTGTTGTACAAGACCCTGAAGCCACTTGCGACAAGATTAATCAAGAAACAGATTCAAAAAGCGGTAGAGGACTTTGTTCGGACTGGGTTCGAATATGTGGACGGGCAGTTGGTGCGAGTCCGCCAGAAGGATTTGAAGGACCTCAATCTGGGCCGAACCAGTACCTCGAACAGCGCCCAATCCAAGGGGAGCAAGAAGGAGAACACACGTGATGCTGCTTCGACTATAAGCCCCTCTGCCTCTGTCTCTGGTAGTGGCGGGTCGCAGTTCAAGGTAGTTGCGAGCAAGCGGGAGTCACTGCTGCCCGATAGCGGTCATCCTGCTGGTTGGGTAAACCGGGTCACGGAGCAGGAGAAAGAACGTCAGATCAAAGATGGTGGAGAGGAGGAATGGCGGTCCGATGCCTTCGATATTCAGAGCAACCCAGCTGTGCCAAAGCAAAAGTTGTGACCTTTTACTATCTTTTTTTTTTCGTCGGACAAGTGTACGATCAGAAACGCAGTATTACATGTATGTACAGTAGCAACAATTCGGTTTTCGAGCCAAAAAAAAGGCCGGTAACTCGAGTGCCGGTCATGTGACCGCGATCTATCCACCGGCTTTTGGGAGCCGAATTACGGGTTGACTTCCATCCACTATGGCTGGTAAGCGGTCCAACGCTCCTTGCATGCCCCACTGTCCTTACAAGTCTCCAGACCTCAGTATTTCAAACCTCTTCAACGTCAAGGGCAAGACAGGTGCAAGGCCCACTTTTTTCTGTTGTTGTTTTTTACTCAAATCGTTGCGTTTAGTGCTCGTTACTGGCGGCGGCGTCGGAGTTGGGAAGATGATTGCGACGGGCTTTGCTCAAAACGGTGCTAACGTCTACATTGCGGCGCGTAAAGAAAAACAGCTTCAAGAGGCAAGCCATTCCACTCCTGCTTTGCACCTCTAAGGAGTTTAGGCGGTCCAAGATATCAAGAAGGTCGCTCGTGGCTCGGTCGACTATATCGTTGCCAATGTAGCGGTATGCTTTCGTCTTTACGATGCAAAACGAATTCAGAACAACTTTTGATAGTCAAAAGCCGGCTGCGATGCTCTCATAGCCGAGTTCAAGAAGCGTGCGGACACCCTCCATGTCCTTGTCAACAACTCGGGCATTACTTGGGGTGGACCGTTTGAGAACTTTCCAGAGGAGAAGGGGTGGGACAACGTCTACGCGGTCAACGTGAAGAGCATCTTCTACAGTGCGTTGCATCATCCTTGATGTTTTTAAGCTAACTTGGGATGTCAGTGACTGCTGGGTGCGTCTTGGCTCTACTTACTTCTCACTGCAAACGTTCACAATGTTTGGTATCCAGACTTAGCGACTACCTTACGAAGGCTGGCACCCCAACCGACCCAGCGCGTGTTATCAACGTCTCCTCAATAGCGTCAGTGGACCCGTTTAGTGAGGGTGCTCTTAGTGATGCCGGTAATGGAACATGGAGCTGTGAGTACTTGCTCTTATGTTGGATGGTGCTCATTCGCACCCCCTCTAGACCAATCTAGCAAGGCTGCCGGTGGGTTCCTTGTCGCCTCATTTGTCGTAAACGCCGAACTGGTACTCTATAGTCAACCACCTTACATCCCAGCTTGCTGTAAAGCTTGCCCCAGGCTGTGTCACGTGGGCTTCCTTCCTCGACCGTTGAGACCATTGACTGACGCTTGGTTTAGCGTTAATGCTATCCTTCCTGGGTGTGTCCGCTCTCCATACTAAAACTCAACAGTCTTGATTTTTTTTCAGTGTGTATCCAAGTAAGATGACCGCATTTGGTCTACAGAAGGCTGGAGACAAGATGAATGCGGCTCAACCTATGGGTATTTCGTGACCTTATTTAGTGTTCATCGGCTCATATTGGAAGTTAGGTCGGGTTGGTGCCCCATCAGATATGGCTGGTTTAACGCTTTTCCTCGCATCGCCTGCGTCAGCCCATATCACAGGCGCACATATCATCACGGATGGAGGGGCACGCTTATACAAAAGCAAGCTATAAAGTCGTGTAGATCGACTTGGTGTGAATCAAACCACGTTTTGACCAACAACACAGCCACCGCCTTTCCGTTCTTTGTACCGCTATGTGCTCCGTGCCTCATCATGTCTTATCGCGATGATTTGGATGACCGACCAGCGGTCAAACGACGCCGAGCTGATTCAGCGGCAGCAGCCAGCCCAGCGAAACATTCGGACCTGGCCGAGGTATTCGGCGCGATTCGTGAAAAAGACTGATTGACGCAAAGTATGAAAGAAAACACCGCAGCACCTGCGACGCCTCTTAGCTACAAACATTCAACTACGCAACCAATTCAATGTGCAGTTGGACAATCATGAGACGGCTTGCGACGTTGTTCTCGTGCAGCTTTTGAAGTAAGAGCAACCTTGTCAAATGTCCTGTCCGGTTCAAGCTCTACTGCAGGTTCGAATGTGTGGAGCGTCTGCGAGCTATTCTCTTGGCTCTCAATATGGATTGTGATCGTCTCGACGACAACTGGGACATGGACCAGGAACTTGAAAGGAATGAAGAAACACCTGATGAAGAACTATGGTCCCCTCCACTGTCTCCTAGCATGGAGGACGAGCAAACCCGGGACCTTCTGCATGCTCAGTACGCCGAGATCCTAAACAGCACCTTTAACATCAAAGAGTTACACATCGAGCAGGCCGTGGCCATCGACCTCGCATTGAAGAACAAAGACGTTTTGGTGCTTCAGCCAGCGGGTAGTGGCAAAAGCTTGATTTTCCAGCTCCCAGCCATGATCGAGCACAACGTTCACCCACACAAAGTGACAATTGTCATTTCCCCCATCTTGGCCCTCATCCGCGACCAACTGAGGGCCTGTCGCGAAAAAGGCATTCCCGTTCTTGCGATTACATCCGACTCGGAAGAGAACATCACCAGCGCAAACATCCACCAAAGGTTGCGTGACGAGAGGCCAGTCTTGATCTACACCACGCCCGAACAATGTCGTCCCACGCGCTGGCTCCATCCCATTCTCCTCGGCCTCTATAAGGATGAATACATCAGCCGGTTTGCCTTGGATGAAGTACACTGCATGCTCTCTTGGGGTCTTACATTCCGGCCGGCCGTGAGTCTAGATGATTCTATTTCGTGGGCTGCCTTTGAACTGACCCACATTCCACCACAGTACTTGGATATCAACTTTCTGAGACGCGATTTCCCTGCCGTCCCTATTGTTGGTCTGAGCGCCACACTCAGCCCTCGCGATGTTGTGGAGATAACACGGCACCTTGGACTCAACAATCCTATCCTTGTGCGCGCGTCACTCGCCCGACCGAACCTCCACATTGCCATAGAACACAAGCATTCCTCCCAAACCAGCAATACTGTGGTCGACATCATCAATAATAGGCACAGGCACCATTCAGGCATCATTTATCGAGAAACTCGCAAAAGTTGCGAACGGCTGGCTACCAAGCTGGGGGAAAGGGGGATCTTGGCGGCCGCTTATCATGCTGGCTTGACGGAGAATACACTGGCCCGTGTGTATAACGACTGGATGAGCAACAAGATCAGGGTCATCGTTGCGACTGTTTGCTACTTTCTTGCACATGTTTGGGTTTCGATTTTGAACGCCATTGCAGATCTCGTTCGGGCTGGGTATTGACAAGCCTGACGGTCCGTCCGCTCACCCCCCCAAATAACCATCATAACCATGCACTGACAGTGCGATTCGTATTCCACGTCGATAGCCCCAAGAGCATTTCCTCGTAAGCAAAGCTCTCCCACAGCTTGCGCTTGTTGGCAGACTTTATCAGGTATTTTCAAGAGATAGGAAGGGCAGGGAGGGACGGCAAGAAGGCCGAATGTATTTGGTGTGATTGCAAACTCCGGACGCGCCGTGTTTTCTGCTCACTTTTTTGCTCGCTCTCCAGTTTATCGTTACAAGGACCTGGTTCGCGAGCTACACCCATCCGGACCAAACGCCATGAGCCTTCTAAAGCTGCGCGAACAGAAAGATGCGCAAGCCATCAGCAGTGTTGCACAGGAGCCGGTTTGTGTGGTCCGACAAGTACTCAGAAACTTAGGGGAACAATCTTCGCCGTGCGGGGTTTGCAGCAACTGCAAGAACCTCGCCTCCGGGCCCCTAAAAACCGTTGATATGACAGCATTTGCGAAAGATGTGCTGGACTACCTTCGCGCGATATTCACCGATACACCTGGCGGTCGCATCACCCCGGCTCACTTGGCAAAGCTACTTTCCGGCTCCGTTGATAAGTCTACCCGCAAGAATAACTGGGACAGTTATCCTGGGTATGGTTCCGCGAAGCGACGGGGCATGTCGCAAGACGTCGTTGAGATTGCTTTAGACAAGCTCATTTTTCGACATGTGCTGGCGGTACGATGCTCCGATGACACTATGGCGGGTGGTGGATACGGGTTTTCAAACCACTGGTACTTGAAGGTCGGTTTATCGCAGCTCCATTTCAAGTGCCATGCTCAAGTTTCATTCAGTTGGGAGCCAAAGCGCACGACTTCAAGTATTTGGATGACGACGGTTCACTGCTCGAAAGTCGCAGTCGTGCAACGTGGAGACCACGGCCGACTCCGAAAAAGAAGACTCTAAAGCGCAAGACGCTCACATCTCGCCGCCAGCCCCGTGCGTATCTTAGCGACGACGAAACAGCCTCTGGCGACTGTGAATTCGAGTTGAATGATGACGACCATAATACTGCACTGTCACGTAAAGTTATTTCTCCGCGATTCAAAATCATCCTATCTGATAACAAAATACAGAAACAAGCCTGCCAGGTCCAACTCGATGTCCTGGAAGAAGCTACATCAGTGATATACCAATGGACTTAGAAGTTAATCCACTGTCAGTGCAATTCCCCTGTCAGCCACAGCTATGGCAAGATGGAGATGACTCAGACTCGGATGGCTGCATAGTGACTTATGGCTCAGACATCTAGATAGACAAAAAATTATCTGACATTGTAATCAATGAATGTAGCAGTTACAGTTTGGTGAACCACATTTCCACATCCACATGCATTGCAATCCACCAATGAATTCAGGACACAATCACGAATGAGATGTCTGCATTTGCATATGGTGCTTCATCTTCCTATTAGAATGACACTCCTGGAGGCTTATTTCCTGAGAGTAAGTCATGTGGAAAGCATTGGCAAACTGTTTAGGGTCTGCATACATTGTTAGTGACGACCAGCAACAAATGTTTGTTACGGACGAAGAAATATTCCAATTAGTAGTGCTCCGAAATTCCCAAGGTTCACGATGACGCTTCAAACGCTTTGGCCTGGATGCCATACATTTTCGCGTATTCGCCGTCAACCGCCATGAGTTCGCCATGCGTCCCTTTCTCCGTAATCTTTCCCTCTTTCATGCAACTTAAAGTCGTCAACGACAGGAAACTCGACCACAAAATGACCTACACGATCATGTCCGCGTGTTTCGTGAGATGGCCAAACCGATGTGTCACAAACACCATCGTCTTGCCCGCATTCGCGAGTCGGAGGTTGTCAAAGAGCTCCAGCTCGCCCTCCGCGTCGAGATTTGCACTGGGCTCGTCTACACAAACAAGCTTGACGGTATTGGTCGTGAACCGCATGAAGGTCCGCGCCGCTACCAGCCGCTGGCGTTCGCCCCCAGAAACGTCGCTCTTCTTTTCCATCTTGGCGAGTTCCGCTGCAAGAAGCGTCCCCTCGTCTTTCCGCACATTGCTCCCCCATCTCAGACCCTTGCCACCCTCTAACACGGTCTCTGTTCCACCTTTGAGTCTCTCCACCACCTTATTTGCACCGCCTCGCCGCAGTGCCTCCGACACAGCTTCTCCATCGTCTTTTCGAGCAGGGTTACCGAGGCCGATGTTCTCCGCAAGGGAAAGCGGAAACAGATGATGGTCCTGCGTTAATGCAGCGGTTGCGCGCCGGAGATCTGCTGATTTATACTCGCGGATGTCGCGCGTTGAAGGGTGGCCAGGTGCTCCGAGCATGATCGATCCCGATGTGGGCTGGTAGAGACGCATGAGAAGTTTAATGATGGTGGATTTGCCGCTGCCGTTTGCGCCGACGAGGACCACAAGCTGACCGGACTTGATGCGGAGGGACACATCCTTCAGTGCGCTCAAAGTATCATTGCTGGGGTAGGAGAATGAGACGTTTCTGGAGAGAATTAGACAAAGAAGGATCAATTGAGGCGAACGTACTTGAGTTCGATGGCCATGCCTGCCTCGCTTTCGTCCTCCTGGCCTTCTGGAGGATAAGCGGCCATGCCACCGTTTGTGGCATCATGTTCGATCTTCTCGATGTCATATATTGCTTTGACGCGATTAGCTTGCTTGGTGAAGCCGCGGACTGTGTTTAAGATGCCCGTGAATGACCAGCGGAGCAGCGAATCGATGCTCTGCAGGGTCGCAATGGTCGCTAAGCTGAAATGTGTTGGGTGGAGTATTGCATTAGAGGCATAGTAAAGCTGAGGGAGATTAGTACAAGACGTTGACGGTGGAGGGAGCGAACCATCGGGAGGTCTCCTGAGAGTCTGATTAAAACACTCAAGGTCGTCGCCTGGCGTTGGCTGTACTGCTCATAGGGATCCGATATGTTCAAAGTCCCAAGTAAAGCCACGGACTTGCGAAAGTCTACAGGCAAGAGTGAATAAACCATTTATCCAAATAGCCAACGTGCCTTTGACTATGTGTTGAACGATATCTCCGGTGATCACGTCTTGCTTATACTTTTTGTCCCCTAAAGCAAGCAAATTCTTCATGCGAAGAAAGTGGGGATCATCCGCCTCGATAAGATGGGGTGTCGCCCAAAGCGAGTTGTCCGTGAATATCCCGAGAATAGGGCGAACGAGACAGAGGATGACGAAGAGGGGACCATGCCCGCTTGATTGAACGGTTCGGAACACATAAGCCAGCTGGCCAAGCGCTCCAAAGAATTGTGCACCGGTGAAGGCAAAGTGCCGGAAAGCATACCACGCGCTGCGCTCGTATATATGTTTAGTAGCCACGGCTTTAGCTATTTGAATATGTCAGGGTGAAGAGTACAAAAGAACGAGAGCATACCTTGAACCCCGGTTAAATCTGTCCTAAGTTTGGCTATCAAAGCGTAAGGGAAATGGCTTGGAAGCGGTCGAGGCCGCTTACATCGAAGGACGAGACGCTGCAACTTGAATTCAATTCCGTGCATCATTTTGTTCTCTAAAGCATTACTGGGATGTGATGTCAAATAAGGTGAGGCGCGAGAATTGAAAGACTCACTTCTGCCGCTGAATGAAGGCCGTGGCCACTGCTGCGAGCATCTTCATAACAACTGCACCGAATAGACCGTTTGCGTCAGGCTGACCTCCCTTGAAACCTTCTTCGATCTACCAGATGAGTCAGAGAGAATATTAATGTTGAAAATGACGGACAATGACGAGGATGCGACTAGTCAGATGCAAACTAAGGATAGGCTCGACTGCATATATCCACAGCTGGAGGAGCAGGTAGGCACAGAAAGTCGCCCGTCCAAGCTGGATTATTTCCTTGACCAGTCGTTTTACGCTTGGTGCACCACGCGCAGCTTGATCCCAGCTCTCACGAAACTTTGTAGAAGGTACTTCTTGAACAAGTCGATAGACACCCAATCGACTCGTCTTGATTGGCGCTCCGACCACCGGATCCTTGGACGAGTTCGCAGCAGTCATGAAGGAGGGGGGAGAAGCTAATAGGCAATTACCGTACACGAGGCATTTATATGTCACGGCGCGCCTACACACCGGCGATATCTTGAAGTGAGTCACGAATTTTTGGCGGTGCAGGGCTTGATGAAGGAAGCGCCCGGGGCGCCGAGGCCAGGATGAGTATTAGCGCCGCCGGATTTCGTTGTCATCGCGTTGTGGTTAACAATAACATCAACACTACTTGCAGCTCTGAGGCTCGGAGTGAGAGAGAGGAGAAGTTGATGGTGGGACTATTATGGTCACAGATGCAATCAGGCACGTGACTATCACCTATATATATCAAGTTTTTGTGTCGTTTCTTTCTTTAAGCACTCAAGTCAAATTGCAGACTTTCGGTCTACCCCTCGATTGTCTGTGCCAAAGTAGTGCTAAGAATAACAGGATGTCTTAATGCTCTGTGCCCGCTCGTTGTAGCTTTCTTGTTGCAGTCCTGGAGGGTTGGCTGAGCTGGTGGTCCTTACATTCCCTTTTGTATGGTAGCTTTGAAATGATGCAAATGGATGCTTAAGAAGGATATTTTTTACTCGTCGGCTGCGATTGTGAAGTCGAAAAGGTTTCCGACTCGGAAAAGTACGAAAATATGGCGTCACACCATCAAACAGGTATCCTCTGTCCCTCATCCTCTTTTCGTGCGGTGCCCGGCCAGCTCGTTCCTTAACATGACTAACGCGCCCCCAGGCAGTCAAGACTCTTTAGGGAACAGTCATAATCTAAAGCGGCCTCTGCATGACTCAGATGGCTTCAGCAGTGGTGGCAGTTACAAACGGCAGAGGGAGAGAGAACGAGAGCGGGAACCCCGCGACTGGCGAGACGTTCATCTCAGCAACGGTCGAAGACGAGTAGAGGGTCGGAAAGAGAGCTACAACCGCGAACGAGACAGAGGCGGACGAGATAGGGAGAGGGCCAAACGCCGAGAATATTCGCCGCGACGACGTACTCCACCGCTACCTAGACAATCGTCTCCAGAAGAGCGGGAAGAAGGCGAAATCTCTCCTAGAGCAACTCCTCCCCCTCCAACACCTGCACCTAATTCACCGGGTCCAGCGTCAACAACCCGAATGCAAGTGGACGAGCCAGAATTGGAGCTGATGGCCTCACCACCCCCCCTCGAACAGCTTTTGGCTGACCGTAGGGCTCGTCGCGCGGCAATACTTGCTCGCCATGCTAGTGCCACGCCCAATACTTCACTTCCTGGTTCAACTGGGCCTCCGAATGGTAAGTTAATCTGTCTCGTTTTGTAGCCTTGTTTCATTGTCATTTCAGGCTCCTCTACACATGCAAATGGTAGGGAAAATATGCCTCTGTCGTCACCATTTGACCTATTTGTCCAGGAACTCCACAGCATGTTATCTCAAATGGTGACGGTATGTATTATTTCTCTCCCCACACAACAATGGTCCTTTTTACACAATCGCTCGTTTGTTGCAGTAGTAACTTTTTTGACAGATGAGCCGACTGTGGCCAAACCCCCTTCGCGGACTCCTTCGCCTGCTCCAGAACAGGAGCAAGATGCGTTGTTCACTTTGGCCAAGGTAGACTCACCCAGCAAGCCGAGTAACACAACAAACCTCACTCAAGAGGCACAAGTTAACGCTGCCGATTACGACCCCTCACTTGACCGACGAGAGGACGAATTCAGAAGGGTTCAAGGCGTTGTCGCCGAGGAGGAGATAGAAGTCGAAGAAACTGATGAAGAGGAAGATATGGACGACATGTTTGCGTTCGCTTCCGCCCCCAAACCGAAAAAGAAGAAGGTTGTCAAGAAAAAGACGAAGACCGTTGACCAGACCCGACTACCCGTTGCGAGCCAACAGATCTTGCATTCCGACACGGCGTCGGATCCCGAGGGCTACTACAACGTTATTCTTGGCGAGGTATTGACGGCCCCGTCAGACGGAGAACGATACCAAGTCTACGCCAGTGTGGGGCGAGGAATGTTTGCTGTTGTCGTTAGAGCGCGAGTGTTATCGGAAGGTGAAGAGGATGGTGCAGGTGGACGAGAAGTTGCAATCAAGATTGTTCGCTCCCAAGAGGTTATGTGTGTAACTCTCCGCTGTTTAACCACAACTCATCCTTACTGTAGGCATCGAGCTGGGCTCAAGGAAGCTACTATCTTGAACAAACTTCAAGCAGCTGACCCAGACGACAAGAAACACTTGGTCAGACTGGAGAGGACTTTTGAGCATCGCGGTCATCTCTGTTTGGTCTTTGAGAGCTTGAGGTTTGTTTTTATTCATGGTTTGCCGGTCATTGATTGATTCATAGCATGAATCTCCGCGATGTCGTCAAGCGTTTTGGGAAAGATGTTGGTCTGAATATACGTGCGGTTCGTGCCTATGCGCATCAGCTTTTCATTGCGCTTGGCCATTTGCGCAAGCTTGGGGTCATGCACGCGGACATCAAACCTGATAATATTCTTGTCGGTGGCTTGCTCTTCTGGCGTTGTTCGGCTGCTAACTAATCAAAGGTGAACGAGGCCAAAACGATGCTGAAGCTTTGTGATCTAGGCTCCGCGTCGGATGCCGCGGAGAATGAGATTACGCCATATCTTGTCAGTCGGTTTTATCGTGCTCCAGAGATCAGTAAGCATCTTTCTCATACTACCCTTTTTGTACTAACCTCTTTCAGTTCTCGGCGTACCTTACGACCCATCGCTTGATGTGTGGTCTGTGGGATGCACGCTATACGAACTATACACTGGAAAGATTCTTTTCCCTGGCAGGAGTAACAACCAAATGTTGCTCCACATGATGGAACTCAAGGGCCGCTTTAACAGCAAGATGATCAAGAGGGCTAAGTTTGGTGAGGTCTATTTTGATGAAATGGGTGGGTTTGAAAGCGTCGAGCGAGAGAAAGCGAGTGGAAATGTGCGTGCCTTATTGGTCTTTCTCGTGTCGCTGATCGTATATCCTTAGGACGTTATCCGGAAAGTCCACATTCAAAAACCAACGCGGGATCTTCGGGCCCGTCTGCTAGGTGGTGCACGTATGAGCGATGACGAGACAAATGTGTTGTTGCACTTCATCGATCTGCTCGACCGCTGTTTAGCGCTTGACCCTGCCCGGCGCATCACACCAAGGGAAGCGTTGGGACACCCCTTTATTCGTGGTTCTACAAAGTGAGGTCGATCGTTGATAAGGTATATATCGTAGGTGGCAACCGAAGAGCTGCAACTGTAAAAATTAACGAATTCTTATTTCTTCCTCAATGTCAATGCACTGTGGGCGACGGCCAGGAATTTTTGTACTCGCTTCAACCGAAAGAGTACGAGCATGCTTTGATTCCACAAATAGCTCGATTTTTTGCGACCATTTCCGTGGTGATTGCGCCAGAGGGTCTATCGCATCAGCTTCTTTCCCTGATCTAATCTGTGCTACTCTCACAAGTTGTCGTGTCTCCGAGGCCTTGCTGCACTGTTTTCCGTTATTTCTGCAAACCTTTCCATCCAATGCCATGGCCTCCAAGCGGCTGATTCACATCGCCGACCATCTACATGGGGTTGTGTCTTCCTTGAAAAACACCTTGACGAACAAGGGTACTAGTACCAGCGCCATGTCCGAAAGCGATAAGGGCGTCGACCACTCGAAAGTGGATTGGACAACAGCCAAGATACCCTCATTCGACGCGTTGCCCGCGTTTAAGAATCTCCCTGGTTGTGCTTGGGGAGTATGGGGACCTGACGATCAGCTGGGGACCGTCAACCTATTGACGGACGAGGTTGTCAAAAGGGCGGCAGCTGAGGAGGTCAAACTTGGGACGGGAGTGTCGCTTAACTGGTGAGATTGGCGTTTAGCTCGTTGGGAAGCGTTTGTGGTTGTTTGACCGCCGTTGCACAGGCCGCTAAATTTCCCGGAGAAGGTGTGGATGCCTTGTCACTCAAGGTTTTTGGTCTTGGCTAATTGACTCGTCTGTCTTGCCAGCCCGTATTCAAGAGGAAGGCACCTGAAGTCAATCAAATTGTCCGTCTGGCTGTCGGAATCCGCGACGATGAAATCCATATTGTGTGTCCCCGGCATCCCCCTTGCGTGCGACTGCTGACTGACTGTCTCCATTAGAACTCGCAGTCTGGGACCCAAGTGGGTTGTTCCTAAATATTGCCGCACTAACTCTGAGCGACATGCGCTAGTGGGATGGTTTGCGGCACTTTCCGATTCTTGAACATGGGGTTTACTACAACAAGTTAAGACCTTGCTCCCAGTCTGCTGTCATATTAACACGCACCAGCACGCCCATCGATGCACTTCCCAGCGGCATCCACCCCTTTCCCAACCCGCACGAAATTCATCCGGAACATGGCAAGATTGGAATCCAGAGTCCGTTATCGGCTTTCGTCACCAGTCATATACTTTACTTGATGTTCTTTAGACTGGGCTACGCACGGAATTTGCGGGCGAGGCGTACTCCTCGACCTTGTCTCATATCAAACTTCGCTATCGGCAGACAAGAAGACTTTGCCATACGACCCGTGGTCGACCCATGCCATTACCGTAGAACACCTTGAGGCCTGTGCGGCGGCACAGGGAGTCAAATTCAGGCGAGGAGATATACTGCTGTTGCGAGTCGGGTTCATCAAGAGATATTACGAGGCTTCACAAGCGGAGCGCGAGGAGTTAGGAACCAAGGAGGAGGCATTGTAAGACGCGCTTTCCTGTTCAAACCGGCATGTGTTGACAATGCAACCAGTGCGGGCATTCAGCAGTCAGAGGGCATGAAGCGATTCCTATGGTTTGTCCTGTCATAGCATTTTTAACTGACCGGGACTGTTTCCAGGGATAACCATTTCGCGGCGATAGCATCGGATCAGCCCGCACTAGAGGTGCGTGATTCACGCCGAACATCTGCTTCATTATCTTACTGACGTTGGACACACAGTGCTGGCCACCGCCAGCCGGGCCATCGCATCTTCATCAGGTAAAGTTTACTCCCGTTCTTCTTCATTTTCCCTAACTGCGTCGGTTTACATCAGACACTTCTTGGGTATGCATTAGATTCCCGATATGCCCGCGTATTGATCCGTTATTGTCCAGGCTATGGGGAATGCCCATCGGCGAGTTTTTTGATCTGGAGAAATTGGCCCAAGTCGCAGCTGAAACGGGCCGCTATACATTTTTCTTTTCCTCTTGGCCACTAAACATGTGGGTTATTTCGGACAAATTCACACAAACTATCCGGGCTGAATATAATGCGTAGTATCGGTGGATGCGCTTCTCCTCCTAATGCGGCCGTGCGTGCTCTCGGACTAACATTACGATACTTGAAGGCTGAAGGACATTATAGGCCCTTTTCTGACTTGATTGGGAATGACATTTTTCTTTCTGTGCCTCTGTGCTCCACGGTGTACATTAGATCCGTTTTGTTTTCACGCTTTATCGTTCCATGGGCAACTGGCAAAACTGAGTTGATAATAAACTGCTCTCGTTCTCGCATCATTTTCGATCGGATATCATGATGTTTGATAAGCGCTCAAGGTCAACCCCAATCCATGATGACTTCGTCTCAAGCAAGCCGCCTAAATGCAGCTGTCGGCTCTGAACTTATCAGAAGCCACACAACCTCAGCTCTAAACTAGCATGAAGCGAATAACGCGCTGATTGCGTTATCGTGAGTGTGGTCATCGAAAAATCCCAGTTAAGAGTCCCATGGCCCTTCACGTCACACCCTTCCTTGCCTCTTTCCCCCACGATAGCAGGACATGACTACCGACTGGAACACCGAAATCCTTCCCAGCTACGACGAACTCCCACCCTTCAAGAACTTCCCCGGTTGTGCTTGGGGAGTTTGGGGTGCTGACGATCAGTTGGGCACGATCAATCTACTCACAGAGGCTGTCGTCAAAAAGAGCGCAACGGAGGAGATCCGGTTTGTTACCACTGGGTCAAGTCTCTCTGTGTTCACCCTTGAGCCCTCTAGGACGGGCCGCACAGTTTCGCTCAACTGGTCCGTCAATACCGTTTTGCTTGATGGGATTTGTCTAAACTTAGAATAGGCCGTTGAACTTCCCCTCCAAGGTACGAGCGGTACTCATTTTTGACGAATCAGCTGTAAAAGCCGCTCTCTAGCCCATGTTCAACCGTATTCCACCCGAAATCAATTACATCCAGAGACAGAGAGAAGGTCGAAATATCTCCCGGTTTGTCCAGACACGCTGCGATGCTTCCGGTTTAAATGACGCCTCGCACAGCGATGATGAAATCCATATCGTCAGTGCGCCTCCCCTGCTACTCGGCATAGACTCACATTCATGAAAGAACACTCAATCGGGGTCTCAATGGGATGGTTCGTCAGGCAAACGCCATCGCCGTCAGTCAACCAAAAAAACCCTTCTAGGGCTGCGGCACTTCCCTATCATGGAACACGAAACATTTTATAACAAGTACGGACCAAATCCAAATTCAATCAGAATGTGGCTTATGGATGCTTCTAGCACATTGGCAACAGACCTTCCTCGCGGCATCCACCATATCGAGGACCCACACCAAATTGATCCAACCTTCACGCGGATTGGAATCCAAAGTAAGCTACTGGTAGTAGTTTGAACTTTGCTTCATTATGGATGACAGACTGGGCTAATCACGGTATTTGTGGACGTGGTGTTCTCCTTGATCTCGTCAAGTTCCAATCCAAGAACGGCGTTTTGCCATATGACCCTTGGACCACGCATGGCTTCAGTCCGGCGGAGCTTGAAGCGTGTGCCAAGGCGGAAGGTGTAGAGTTCCGTCGCGGGGACATATTAATTCTGCGTGCAGGATTTATCAAGAAGTACTACGAGAGCTCACAGGAGTTGAGGGGCTCTTTAAGAGGCAAACCCGAGACAATGTGCGTCGTCGCTTATCCTAACGACTACATGTTGAATCGCTGCAGGGCTGGGATTGAGCAGTCGGAAGACATGAAGCGATTCCTTTGGTTTGTCGCGTTTGCCATGTGAAAGTCATCTGAAGAATGATACTCCAGGAATAACCACTTTGCCGCAATTGCTTCTGACCAGCCTGCGCTTGAGGCACGTCTTGATGTTTATACCAAACTCCACACAGTCTTCTGAAGAGTTTATCAGAGTTGGCCCCCTGCACCGGGAGTGCCGCATATGCATCAGGTAGCCATATCCACTATCCTCATACCCACGGACTTTTGAACTTGTGCCTGGCGCATGTAGACGATTCTGGGGTGGGTTTATGGGTGACCTTCATCGGAGCTTGGACTGATTTTGTCTGCGTGCTAGACTTTGGGGCATGCCTATCGGCGAAATGTTTGATCTGGAGAGACTTTCGCAGGTCTGTGCCGAGTATAATCGGTACACATTCTTCGTGTCCTCGTGGCCCTTGAACATGTGAGTCCTAAAGCTTTTCCATCCTCAAGGCATGTCTCATTTTGTCCTAGCATTGGCGGCGCCGCCTCGCCTCCCAATGCGGCGGTGCGTTTGAATTTTTCTTTCTGCAGACCCCATGCTGAATGAATTCATACGACTGAAGGCTTTCTTCTAACCCCGCCCCATGCGGAGCACAGCACATAGATGTACCTCCAAAAAGTTGAGATTTGATGTACAATAGTAAATGTTGGATTCCGTTGTCGTCTTTCATTTCGCGGACTCGTGTTTGTGAAAACCGATGAGCTATGACTGTGCTTGCTGAGATTTGAATTCATATGGAAACCGTACTGTTGATGCCGAATGCTGGGAAAGTCCAGTGTCTCCTTCAATCCGCAGATCCGGCGTTCAAGCGTCAATGACAAGAATGTATGTTTAATGAACTCTCAATACGAAAACGTGGGTGCCTCCCCGTCGATCCCTCGTGGCCTAATCGCATGACTATCTTATCAAATCAAGATAACGAGTTTCAAGGCAAACCCATGCTTGAGGAGTATGCAAATAGGAACTACGACAAAGCCAAGAGGGCAAGGAACCCATGTGGATCCATATCCAAAGAAGAGACACCGGTAGCATCTCGATTTCATCATGGAACAGGTTTAGTGCAACGAACTTGATGCTGACTCGGTCTTTGATGTTGTCAGTGGATGACGACGAAGTGACTTTTGCGAAGACGACAATTCTCCCAGTTTTCCTTGACAATGTACTGGTTGCGATTATTCCACGAATGCGACTCTTCTTCTTGTTGGGGGCAGTGAGGTTGTCGGGCCACCATCGTCAGGTTCGGAGGATTGGTGCTGCTGTTTCCTTCGTTTCTTTCTGGCCTTCTTGGTTTCCAAGAGTTGTGACGCAATTATCGCTTTGGTCCGCTTCTGTTTGTGTTGAATTCAGCGCACATGGCACTACGACGAGAGAGGAAGATGATCACCATTTTCGCCCTTGATTCGGACATTCGGGGAGCGGTACGAGATTGGGGCTGCGCGCTCGCAACCTGGGTGGGTTCAATAATCAAATAGATGCTGCTTGGGTCGCATGCGGCCACCAACCTGTGCATGTTTCTCGGCCTTCTTCTGGGATTTTTGTTCTTGCTTTTCGCCAATCAGCTCTGCAAGCCCAAGGGCCGACTTTTAGATTGGTTACCAGCGGGGTCATGGGAGGAGATATCCTCACTGTTTGGTCCAAGAATTTTTTCGCTTGTTTGCCCCTTCCCGTCTTGCGGTTGACCGTCATGGCAGGCGGACAGGAAATCGTCACATGTGACGGAGGCTGATGTAATCCTTCAAGCAATCTCTGTCGCGTTTGCGTTCAAGGTTGCAACTCGCACCCGAACGGACAGCCGTCCCGTGTAACCAGTCCAAACTAACCCCGACACATCCCGATACTCTCCTCTCACTCAGTGCTCGATCGGCTGCATTGTTCGGCAAAAATGAAACGCACTTGTTGCCCACCTCAGTTCCCATCCATTGGACCCTTGCATGACTTCCATGCGCAAAGAATCTTGAATTGCTTTATCCAGTAACAACTGTTGGAAGGGGCTGGAAGCTATACCACCTATCGACTGCTATAGTCAGATCGCCAGAAGGCTAACTGTAAAATCATCAACCTGCTCAAATTAACTCAATCCGCGTCGCAGCGTTCTGCTGCCAGTACCCGGAAAATCGGAGGGAGGCGGGAGTGAGTATTTGACCTAGATCACAATAGCCACTGGACCACACTCTTTAAAGGTCGAGGGTTCCGAGCATCGATTTTCTGCATCTTGTCGTTCCTCCTCTCCTTCCTACAAAGCAACCCACCAATCCACCAGCCTTTCACCTGCTACGTACATACCATGTGTCGCTGGCGTCAGTGAGTGTCGATCTCTGGCTCAGCTTTCGGCGCTCAAACGCTTACTTGCCAACTTGTAGGGTTCGAAACACATACACTCGCTGCGGCCACTCTGAGAACCTTGTGGGCTTCCTCTTGCGTAGCGCTTGACATGCTTTGCTGACTCGCTTCGCTGTTTTTCCAATAGCCGGCCGTCGAGGTATGTTTTTTTCCCTCCCTTGTGGACTATCTCGCTGACGAAGAACAAGATCCATTGCGAGAGCATGTACTGCAAGTTTAGTCCGAACCACCCCAAGCACTGCGCTCCTCCTCAATGCCGACAGACTTGTAATCAGTAGTGCGTCGTATCATCCCTCCTCGTGTGTCAACTATTTAACTAATAAGTAACACCAGCCACCTCTTTCCCGAGCAGTACAGTGCGTCCGCGCTTTTGTCGCTGTTTCGCGATGGCTAACGCGTTCTACTAGCTCCTACTATCAACGGATATTGCTCGGCTTGTAGGAGCGCAATGGGAAGCCGTCGCTAGCCTGAGAGCGGGACGCCAAGCACTACATAATTCAGCAGGACGAAACTGCTATTGTAAACGCAATATTTATTTTGTAATTATTTGAAGATTGTACCAACATGAAGGTGTCAAACTCAAAATCGCCGACTCCCGGTGAAGTAAAGTAAAGTACCAGTCGTTTAAGCGCTTCAAGACGACGCCTCCGATCACCACTGATCCGAATCATGTTCCGATCAGTGAGTAGGGAAGTTAACCAGTTACCACAATAAGCGTCTGGCGTTCATCCAAGTTCTCATAATTCATCTAAAGTCAAACCAAAATCCCCAATCTAGGGTCAACGCCATACTCCGCCGCTTCCGATGCCGTATTGTAGAGTCTTCGAAAATTCTGATTGCTGCCAGTCTACTTGGTGCGTCAAGTATCTCAATCAACCAGAGTCGCTGTTCATTTTGTTTGAAGCGATGCACACGCGGGTGCCGATATTGAAGCGTTTTTCTCATGAAGCTGCACGATGGCGAAGGCTGAAATTCAAAGCACATCGCGCCTGACCTACCCATCGAAGTCAACATCCAGTTGTTTGATCCAACTGGCCGCCCACGGAAGACTGCCACCGCATGTGGTAGACGGGGCACGATGCTGATGCGTTGAGCAAGCGATTTGTCATATTAAAAGCCTTGCCGCGCGTATATGGGGTGTCCACTCAATCCGCACTTCGCTCTTGCGGTCTACTCTTCATGGCCACCGAACGGGACCCGCTGCTTCCCCGACCACCACCAGAAGACGACGAGCTGAAGCCGAAAACGCCCACCGAGCTCGGCCCTTTGCAAATATCTAGGTGGAATAGAAGGTCGATTTTGTGTGGAATATGGCTGGCAAATTTTCTGGGGGTACCGCCATAAGTGCTTCATATTGTTAAAAAGACCTGAAACCCGCTTCCAGGCATTGAACTGTCCGTTTACGCACTGGTTTCTATGCCGTTCGCTCACTCAGCCGTCTAGCTACTCTTGTCCCGACTAGTGCGCCAAGCCACCTCTTTCTTCAGATAGCTCATGTCAGCTAATAGTGATGCCGGCTATATCATCCGAATTCCAAAGGTTTCATCAAGCTGCCTGGCTCGGGACGGCGTGCGTTCGTCTGACTTATTGGAGTATCACTTACCAGTCTTTTTAGGTATCTTCTCGCAACATGTACCTTCACGCCGCTCTACGGTCGTCTATGCAATGTCCTTGGCCGTCGACGCGCCAACCACACTGCTCTCTTGTTCTCAGCATTTGGGGCAATAGGTTGTGGCTTGTCCCAAAACATGGAGATGCTCATCGCAGCCCGTTTTGTTCGTTGCTCTTGATTTCCTTTCTCTCGCTTATATGATCTCCCTCACAGATAGCAGGAATGGGTAGTGGCGGGCTATTTACTACTGCTAGGTTTGTTTTTCTGTCGATCTACCACAAAACCAATATGTGACTCTAGCATCATCGTGAGCGATATGTACACTTTGCGTGTTTGTCGTTTTGCTTTTCTAGTTTTCTCAAGTCACGATTTTTAGGACCGTGGGTTGGTGCAAGGAGCTGCCAGCTGTTTCAATGCGGTGAGTTTTCTTTGGTGTATTGGAATATCATTATGAACTAAGCCAGTTAGGAACCGGTCTCGGAGGCGTTTTCGGTGGGATAATAGCCGACTGGTACGAAGCTAGGGAGTTTATTAGCGTTGGATTGAAACTTTTGGGCTTTAGGTTGGGTTGGCGCGCAGCCTTCCTCCTTCAACTTCCACTCTTCTTCGTGTCGTTTCTTCTGACATCACGTAGCCTCCGTTATGTTACTTCGGTCCGTTCCGTTTTCCATCGCTCGATATTCGATTTGACTTTAATGCAGGGGAAGTCAAAGAGTGCGAAGGAAATCTTGAGACGGATAGACTACTGGGGTAGTCTCACGCTCTTCGTTTCCCTAGGATCTCTATTGCTTTTCTTGAGTATGCGTTACAACGAGATGCTCAACGCAAGTGTTGGTCTGACAATTGCCCTTGACTGATATCCTTGCAGTGGTCCGACCCTTGGGTTTTCATCCCACTCCTCTGCGGTATCGCGTTCATCACCCTTTTCTTCCTTGTCGAAAGCTTCGTCGCATCTGACCCCGTTCTCTCGCCTTCCATGCTCCGGCAGAGAGTGCCCGCCCTCATCGGCGTATCCAACTTCCTCTCCGCAACTTGCAACTTCTCCGTCAGCTACTTCTTCCCTGTCTGGTTCCAGACAGTCATGCTCGAAAGCGCGTCCACGGCTGGTCTACATATTACGCCAAACAGCGTCGCTGCATCGCTGGGTTCCGTGTTTGCTGGTGTCATGATGCACTGGACGGGGCGGTACAAGGTGGTCAATATCGTCTTCGGGTGCTTTCCATTCTTCGGCGCGGTAATGCTGTCGAGGATGTCGATGAGTTCCGGGTCGTTGCAGTCCTGGCTGAGCATCGTGCGTCGGGAATAGTGTCCATATAACCGATTGACTTCGTTGTAGGTTCCCCTGGGCTTCGGCAATGCCGTGGTTATGCAGACCAACTTGAGTAAGCCTGTCGCTTCGAAGGTCGTCTCGGTGTTGATGGTTTCATAGTCGCATTGCTTGCCCATCTTCATGGTAGACGGCCCACCCCAACAGCCTTCCTTCGACAAGCTGATAAAGTCCTCAGAATCGCAAACAGCCGTAGGGACCGGCTTCGGTGCACTGTTCCGCGGGATGGGTACATAAGTCTGTTTTATCGGTGACTAAATTCCTTCATCTTGCTTGCAGGCCAGGTCGGTGGGGTTGCCATATCCTCCGCCATATTCCAAACTCGACTGGACGCAGCGTTGACGGAAAGGATACATTCAGAGGATGCCGTAGAGGCAAGTTCAACGAGACAGCGTGCGTGTTCTAATTGTAAGCAGATAATCGATAAAATCCGTCGGTCCAGCAACATTATAAGGGACTTGCCGCCAGTGGTTCAATTGGCAGCACGGGAGTCGTATGCGGATAGTCTGCGTGTCGTCTTTCAGTTTGCAGCAGGGGCAACTTTGTTGGCGTATATTGCCAGATTGCCGGTAAATTTCTTGCTGCTGGTTCCCAGTATGAAAGTGGCTCACAGCTAAGCAGATTCCTGATCGTGATTTGGACAAGGCCTATTCACAGAGATGTAGCCAGCCTCGGGATACCAACGAGACATCGGGGTCAGCTGTATGAACAGTCTCAACTGAGGAGAAGTGTACTTTGTTGGTACGAGTAACGTGAATGTTGGTCCTGGAACTTGGCTAAAGCTTGCGATCAATTGACGCTTGTAAAGATGTCCGAGAGATTTCGCGTGTCTCAGTTGGCCGAGATGTTCTCCCGATGTCTGTCTCATAGGATAGAGCTTCTTCTGGGGCATCTTGTCCGGATTGGGCCTCGATCGTGGCTCCTTTGGGAATGTGCAATGAGCGACAAAGTCGACGGACATGAGAAGAGAAGCCTTTATGGCCGCTGACGCTCTATCGTGAGCCGCGCATTCGAAACCAGATAGCCACGAGGGGATACGTGGGCCGCCTCGAGGCTCGCCTAAAGTGCGCCACCTTGTGAGGCTTCGGGGAGACTGAGAGTCCAAGATGCGTTAAATACCGATTAGATGCGTACGATTGGTTGCAGACGACAGTTACAAAAGACAGATTTTGACGCGGTTTTCTCCGCTGCCTCGTGTTTAGATGGAATGGATATTTTCCTTGTGGAGATATCAAACAAATCCCCTTTCATGCAAAAGGCGCTATATGTCATTACAACGAGGCTGTTTGTGGTGGGGTGTTGTTGAAGAGGCGCGAGCGCGGACTGAGGGACCAAGTACAAGGGTTCCAATCGGTGGCATTTTGGTGGCCGCGGCCCGGGAGAGGCAGAAACGCACGTGATGGTTGTTTGTATCAAAATCTCGCTTGATCTTCTCTTCCACCTTGCCCGACGACGACACCCGGCTGTGCTACTCGCTGTCGCCGTGGTAGTCCGCGATGAGCAGGCGAGAGTCCCGTGTGTCCATGGGTGCTCGCCAGAACGATGCTCTGGTCGAATTCGAAAATTGTGAGTGACTACCAATCTCGTCGTCCCCAGTTTCTTATTCCCTCTCAGTCAAGAAGAAATTCCTCCTCGCAAACAAGCATATCACTAAGTGAGTACAGGTTTTGCATCTCCCAACCGGCCTAGCGGCCTTCCCATCTGCTCTAACACAACCTGCCACCGAAGGGGGTTGTCGAGGTCTTGCCACCGTTTAGAACAAGACTAGGGCCAGCTGGGAGCCTTGTCTGCCTTGGGATACGATCTTCGGATGCTTATTTTCTCTTCAGACTAAACTCTACGCTAAGCATGAAGATTGAAGAGCTTAACACCGAGATATCGACACTCTACGCTGAGAACCTGCGATTGCGCGCGTCCGAAATTACCCTCACTACTGAGCTCAAACGGGAGCGTGAAAAGTCGCGCAAAATACTGTTTGACGCCCAGACTGCGGTGCGTGGCCATGAGGCGTATCATTCCTTCTGCTTGTTCTGACGCCCCACTGTTTTAGGCCCATACACTCTCTTCTCAGCTCGCTGCTATGCGAGACATATATAACATTCCTCTCACTGCATCACCAACGCCAACCCCCCCACGCAGGAAAACACCCTCCCCTCGAAACAGCACATACTTAAATAATCCAACGGTTAATCGACTCTCCCGGGAGCCGCAAGTTCCTAATATCAACGAGGACGAGGAGCCGGAGGATGTTCACGGCTCACCACCACGCAAGAGCAAGAAAAAGCCTCGCCTTAGTGCCTCTCGACTACCCCTACCTGCTCGATCCAGTACCCCACCAACCGAGATACCGGCGTTGGCGTTTTCCCAACCTCAACTGGCTATGGACTTTTCCAGCCTCATTCTTCCCACCAAGAAGCGACGCCAGAGTGGTCTGCTGCTTGACCTCGCTGTCATAGACCTAGACGGTCTTGAACTTGACGACGGTGGCCTGGGCGGCGGGAGTGAAAATGATTTGGAGCGAGAAAACGAGAAAGTGCGAGAAAAGGAACGCAAGCGGGTAATGCGAGATGCCTCCGCCAAGCCCAAGGCAAAGCTAAAGGATGTTACAAACGCCAACTCTCCCCGCACTCGACCGAAACCAGACCCAGATATCTTGTCGTTGGAGCCATTGCCACCCCCTCCAGCTCGCGCATTCCTTGCCCCCGCCCCACCCAGTCCACCACCTCCCGAACCACAACTTCTACCCGTTGTCATCGAGTCCCAACCGGTTTCCTCTGGTTCATCGTCATCCTTGGACCGAGAAGTTCCCGTGATGGAGACTGACACTGAGGCTGGTGGTCGTGAGCGGCGGACCCGCAAAAGCGTTAATTATGCTGAGCCCAAACTGAACACCAAGATGCGCAAACCCATTGGTAGCGAGCCAGCGACAACGACCAAGCGATCACGAAGCTCGACTTCGTCTGTTCCTGTATCAACTCGTCGACCTTCTCCTCCATTAGCTGGTCATGGACCAAAGACTGACCCTCTGCCGCAAGCTGTTGCTGAGGAAGAAGACGACCTGGATGATTTTGATGGGGAAAACAGCGATGCTTGGGCCGACGGAGAATATGTTCCTCCTGGCTGGTCAAGCACGCATGTGAATCTAGAAGGGAGACGGAGGGCGGTGCAAACCGCTGGGAAGCGGAAGGAGGCTGGCGATTCGGGGAGAAGACATAGCTCTGCTATGTAGAGCATTTGCATTCTTTATGACGGCGACGAAGAGACATGAACAACAGTGTAAATAGGACGACGGTAAGTATATCGTATGCGGTTCTCTTGTAAAAAAACTTGTACTTTTGGGCGCCCAGTCGCTGCTGGGCTAATTTTCACTGACTGCGACATTTTGTTGATTCTTCCGTCCCATCTCACAGTCCCCTATCGTCATGGCTTTGGGTCATCCTTTACTTTTGCACTCTCTTGGCTCGACCGGCGAGTGCAGTTGAGTTTGCCCCGACAGCGACTTAATCTGCGAACAATGTCATCAACAGTTCCAAGCGTCATTCCAGCGACAGCAAGATCGGAATCATCTTGGTCAATATATGTTTTTGGCGCGTTTGCTGAGTCTGAATGTCCACAAAATACTTACCAAAAAGCTGACGCGTGTAGGAGGCTACTGGTATCAAATTCACCCGCTTGTCGCTGTGGTGTGACCGTGCCTACAACTAACCTTCTCGCTTGCTATGATGTGGACCCTGCAAGAGGACACAGAAAGAAGCATTTCTAACGTCAAGTGCCCGCCATTCTTCATGCCTGGAACCGACTTCTGGCGCGTAAAGACAGCTATTTGTGAATTGTCCGACGTGGTTTCACAGTCAAATTCTGAATCCAACTCCGAGCCGATGACCCACACAGACACCAGCAGTTGGTATAAAACGGGTGGTGTATGAATGTTGTCCTCCTCTGGTCCGACATGACTGACGCCTTGCTAGACTCCCCGCTATATAAAGTTGGCGAGCATTCACTCAAGCCCGAAGAACGTGTCCAAATCACGGTCAGGAAGGCACAAAAGCTTGCTGAAGCGTATGGGCTCTCTCTGGAAGATATTTCATCACTGTCCCCCAAGTTCTGGGCCTTCCACACCGACCCGATTGTCTGCGACAACCCGGCAACAATAGTCATGATGTCGATTCAGTATAACCTCGTCTTGGGGACTATCTTGGAGCACGTTGGACAACGGGCCGACTTAAGGAGCCTCTTGGCGGACCTTTTGGCCTATCGCGTGTCGTAGGTCGTCTACCGTTCACATCTACATAAACTGAGACTGTTTCTAGAGGCCAGTTTTGCTTAACTGAGCTGGATCATGGACTCGACGCAGCGAACCTAGAAACCAGAGCAGAGATGCTGGAAGACGGGTCTGGATTCATCCTCAATACGCCCCATCCTGGAGCAGCAAAGTGCGTTGAACATATTCCCTTTTTTAATGCAATATCTAACTCCCTCAGATATATGCCGCCGGTCACACCCTGTGGTATTCCTTGCGTTGGAGTCGTTATGGCCCGCTTGATCAAGAACAAGAAGGACCTCGGGGTCCGACCTTTTCTTGTCAATCTCACCAATGGAGAAGACACCTTGGCCGGTGTCGTCACTCGGTAATATTAGTTGTTGTTTGCAACATCTCACTTAGCGATGCAGAGTTCTTCCAGATCGGGGCGGCTCATCGCCTGTCTGGCATTCAATCACTTCATTCCACAATCTATATCTCCCCGCTAGCGCCTTATTGATGCCTGACCACCGCTCCAATACTTCTTTCCAAAAGACCATCTGGCGCGTTGCTGTGGGCTCCCTGTCTCTTTCTGCTACTGCCATTCCAGCACTCGCACACGGAGCAACCATCGCCGCAAAATACAGCCAGCGACGTTTAGTCACTGGCGGCAAGCCGGTAATCGCCTTCCCGACCCAACACGGCCCCATTCTGGAAGCTTTTGCGCAGCATTTCGTGCTTGGAGTCTTTTATCAAAGGGCCGCGATGGCCTTCATGAGGCCGGGACTGAGTATGGATGTTCGGCACGGGATCGCGACTTGCTTCAAAGCCGTTGCAACGAGAGACGGACAGAACGCGATGCTGAAGCTGTCGGAACGGTGTGGCGCACAAGGGCTGTTCAACTATAATGGACTGTCCCAGATGCATGTTTGTGGTCGTTTCCTTTCTGAACGAGCTTCATTTTGATGACTGTTAGGCTGACCTACGAGGAAATGCGGTTGCAGAGGGTGATATCCTCGTACTCTCCATCAGTCAGTATGAGTCGTTGTTGCGGGGGCGAGACTGATGGGAGCAATCTAGGACTGGTCACAGAGCTATTACTTGGAAGATACGCTCTCGACGAGGTGTTCTTTTCTGGCCTCCCGGTTTCACTCTTGGACAACCCACTCACTCGCCACGCCGAGGGTTTGTTATCTACCGCCCGCTCAACCCTTTTTGGGCCATGCAAAGGTGTTCATCGTTCGGAGGAGTTTGCCCGTCGCATTCTCCCGCAGTGCACCAAGATCGTGGAAGCTATCGGAATGAGCTATGCTTACGTTTCTGCTGTCTCGGCGGGACTTGACGAGCGGATAACGGGATTATATCTGGCTGTGGCTTTGCGGGAGGACCAGGGTTGGTACATAGAGCACTTGGGGCTGACGCAGGGGCAGCTGCTGGATGGAGAGGTTAGTGCTGTCAAAGAGGCGTTCCCGTTGCTGGGCAAGTGGATGGCGATGTGTGGGGCGGAGAAGTATGTCAAGGCGCCAATTGTGGATAAGCAACGATGGGATGATTTTGTGGGCTCTTTGAAAGTGTTCAATGGGAGCGAGGGTTATGTTGGCAGTAAATTATGAACTTGGGCCGTTGGCGGTTATTGCGGAGTCGTGCGTTGTCTCGAGAGATCTGTGTGAGTCTGTCACGGCGGTCACACGATTCGATCTTACTTCCAACTCTTTCAATGTCCCTCGACGGTCTTCATGAACGCCATAAGGAAGCGTGACATCATGCTTATCCTCCCTCCAAGCGCATTCTTGTGTGGCGGCCGGATGATTAGGCATATAGGTGGTACTGTACGGGAGCACGCTCACTTAGACCTGTGCAAGACTCGAAGCGCCAGTCTTTTGACTCACCTTCCATTTGAATAGCTCAAGGACTCGGATCTACTCCCTTGCGCTTTCCATTTCCATCATCCCTGCTGTCCCAGACTGCGCACCGAGAGTAGACATCCTCCCTCACGCGAAGGCATTGCCTGCACTAATAAGTACTCCCCGTACAGTGTCGAAATCAGGTATATAAATGGCTCGGTATGCCTTGTCCCATAAGCCCCACTTATCACTTATGACTGACAGTTTATTAGACACACCGCTTTTCAAACGACCAACCCACTCGCTGAAACCTGCGGACAGTGTGATCCTCACGGTCAAGAAGGCTCAAAAGCTTGCTGAAGTGTGTGCTTTGACGCTAAATGACATCGCCTCTTTGTCCCCCAAGTTTTGGGAGTTCCATATGGACCCCATCTTCTGCACCAACTTCGCGCCACTCGTCTTGCTTGCTATCCAGTTCAATACTGTTGTGGGCACAATATTGGACCATGTTGGTCAGCGAGAGGACTTGAAGGGTGTTCTACAAGACTTATTGGCATACCGAGTTTCGTGTGTTCTTTGTTGATATTTTCTGTGTGGCCTCTAATTATCTATTAGTGGACTGGCTTGTATAACCGAGATTGATCACGGACTAGATGCACCAAACCTAGAGACCACAGCGGAGATGTTGGAAGACATGTCAGGTTTTGTTCTCAATACACCTCATCCAGGAGCAGCAAAGTACTCTTTCTCTACCATGATGGCGAACATTTTGGCTGATTGTCCTCCAGATATATGTCGGCAATGGCTCCATCTGGAATTCCAAGTGTTGCTGTAGTTTTTGCTCGACTCCTTAAGCATAAGCAAGATCTCGGTGTCCGCCCCTTTCTGGTTTCTCTTACCGATGGCCTCAATGTACTTCCTGGGGTTGTTATAAGGTATGTAGGCACCGTAAATTATATGGTTCTTGTGCTAAGGTTAGAACAGGATCTTACCGTTTCGTGGGGGCTCCGAGCCACTTCAGCATTGTATCATTTCGTTCGAGAATCTACATCTCCCAGCAGCTGCATTATTGACCAAAGACACGGAACAAGAGGCTGATTTCCACAAGACAATCTGGCGTGCTGCTGTTGGTTCTATCTCATTCTCTGCAACCACCATCCCCGCGCTTGCTCATTCAGCCTTTATTGCGGCCAAATACAGTCAGCGCCGGCTGTCTGCAGGCCAACCAATCATCAACTTCCCCACGCAGCACGGACCGATTCTCGAAGCGCTTGCCCAGCATTTCGTTTTGAAGGCATTCTATCAGCGTGCGACCAGCGTCTTCGTGAAACCCGGGCTTGACATGCGCGTCCGACACGGAATTTCGGTGTCTTTCAAAGCTGTTGCCATGAAGGATGCTTTGGCAGCCTTATATAGACTGTCGGAACGATGTGGTGCCCAAGGTCTTTTCAGTTATAATACCTTATCTCAGCTACACGTAGGTTTACTTGGATTTCTGTGTCGCTCGTTTGACTTATTGTTTAGATTGATCTTCGAGGGAATGCAATTGCTGAAGGCGATATTCTGGTATTGTCTATCAGTGCGTTTAAACTGAGTTGTGGAGTCAAGTTCTCATTGTTAACAGGACTCGCCACGGAACTTATATTGAAAAGATATGAGCTCGATTCGGCGTTCTTACCTGGCTTGCACACACCAGACAATCCTCTAGCTCATCACGCTAAACACCTTCTCGTATCTGCTCGTGCGACCCTTGCCGGACCATGCAAAGGGGCTCATCGATCGATCGAATTTGCTCAGAGAGTACTTCCACAGTGTGCCAAGATTGTCGAGGCAATCGGGATGCACTATGCCTACGCGTCCGCTGTTTCTGCAGGACTGGACAAACACATTTTGAAGCTGTATCTGGCTTCGGCGATGCGGGAAGACCAAGGGTGGTACATCGAGCACCTAGGATTCAAGCGAGAGCAGTTGCTCGAACAGGAGGTCACTGCCGTTCAAGAGGCGTTGCCAATGCTCGATGAATGGTTGAGAAACTGCGGAGCGGCGCCGTATGTGACCGCTCCGATCGTGGATGAGGGAAGTTGGAATGATTTCCTAGGCTCGTTGGTGGTATTGAGAGGAAACTCCAAGGCCCGTTTGTGAGTTGCCGCAGTAATAGCCTGAGGCATGATCCATTATCCCTGTTTTATATCAATATCTAAGTTCAACTTTTCTTTGAAGGACTGTACTTCAAGTTCCGTGAACACACACTAATTTCATTCTTCGCGCAAGGAACACACCTTTCAGGCAACAGCTGAGTCCGGTGGTAAATTCTGGCACCGGTGTTTGCAATATAAGGAACCAATGTCGTGCACGCTGTCTTGTTCACCTAGCGCTTTATACCGCGGCCTATTTAAGCCTGAGTGAAGTAGAGACTACCTCAGAACATTGCTAGCTTTACAATTGCAACCTCTTCCTCATATTAAACTCATGTTTCACCAAGATGCAAACTTGAATGGTAGGCATACATCTATTGTCAATCTCCACTTTCATTTACACGTTTCAAACTAGCTGCTGGCGTACTAGTAGCAGAGCAACCACAGCTCGCGGACCCAGAGGATGGTATCGCAGCGGCCCATGAGTTCTCAGAAGGCACCACTGCCAGCAATGCCAACTCAACACTAGTCCTCACTGCCAACGGCTCAAAGTTGTCAGCCGTTTTTGACGGCGGCAAAGCAGGCCAGTGTGGCTGTCAGTGGAAAGGAACCGGCACGTTCAAGGGCAACAAGGTGCCGACCGCGCTCGTCGGCGTATACAGCTTTGTGGTGTCAAAGGTCGATGTGACTGTGTACGACGCCAAACATAAGGTGGTGTTCGAGGGAAAAGGCACAGAGAAGGACTTGGCCGGGTTTTATAAAGTCACATTTTGATTAACCGGAAATGCTCGGAAATGCAACTGGTATGCTATTACGGAGCAAGCTTGTCGACATTTTGAGTCTTGACGTGGTATGAGGACAAAGTGGCAGCGAGTCGGAAAGAGATCGTAACGATCCGCGGGTGAACGACAATGTCGTCGGTCGCTGTTGTGTGCGTGTCCGAGATACTGTAACTTGAAGCGGGGCAAAAGCGGGGTGAGCGGGGTGCCCGGTGGGTGTCACGTGCTAATGCCACGGCGAACACGTCACATCTAGTCACACCCCTCCCAACAACGAGCACAGCGATGGTAACCTTCTATCTCTCTGGCAGATATCCCACTGTGCTCTTTCGTCCTCAGGCTAGTGCTCACTAGCCGGCTTCGACCATGCCTCCAAACTTGGGGCCAACTGGGTTGGCTTTCACGGTAGGACATGTTATCGAGGGCAGGTCGTTTGCGTTGGCGTCCTTCATGCTCTTTCTCTGGGACTACTGCATAACTCTTGACGAGGAGGTCCGCCACTTCTGGTCTGGGTCATGGTCAATATCAAGGCTTCTCTTTCTACTGGTTTGCTTCCTTTTATCTATTTCTCACCTGCTCTGACCCATGTCTTTCAGAATCGTTATTTTACTCTTGGAGTATTGACGTGCGTGCCTATAGTTTCTGCCCCTTGCTCAGGGCCTCAATATTAGCTAGGTTCCGCATACTGGTAGACTTCTATGCCAGCCAATTTCCTCCACAGGTATGAACTATTGGCATCCTCCTGCCTATCGAATAACGCTAGCCTAGTTGTAACTATTGCATCATACTTGTCGCCCCCTCCTCAACTTTTCTCAGTTGCGATATTGCCCTTCGAGTCAACTTTCCCCTCAATCTCGCAGCCATGGCGATCATCCAAGGTATACTCATGCCGATTGCTTTCAGCTCTCATAACATCATTCCAGGAGTTCTCATTCTGCGGCTCTGGTACTTATTCAGGACCAGTATCACAGCGCGCTACACTCTTCTTCTCGCATACCTCTGGTGTTCTTGTGGATCGGTCGCAACCCTTGTCATCCAATTCCATGACCTGCATTCACAACTCGTCAAAATGCCCCGACGCGGTTTATCCTACTGCTCAGACCCTCCGCCATCCCAATTCTGGCTTGTTTTCGTCCCTTCTTTCGCCCTTCATGGAATTCTTTCCGTCTTCATGGTGACACGATTGGTGCATAACATACGGACATTGAAGCATCTGTCTGTATGGAAGCGCTGTCTTCAAGAGTGCGGCCTCCTTTCTTGTCACGGTTGGAATCTGATGCTAACGACGAATATAGCGGCGGCTTCTTATATCTGGTTATCTTTTGTGCGTTTCCGTCCTTCAATGCAACATTCCAACTCAAGTCCCTGTAGTCTCGGTGTCGTTTTCCATATCTGCAGCCATAGTGGGTGTTTCTCCATCAGTCGGCGTGGTGGCGATGTTCTCCAAGTGGGTCCAACTTCGCCCGCTTTCTGCCAATTAACATTCCCTAGTTTCATGCTCGCCCTTCTTTCCGCATGTCTCTCGCGCGTTATCCTTCACCTCAGCGAGCTTGTCGACGCGTATGCGATTGACCCCATTACCAAGGCTCCAGCGCTACTTCTCCACACAGCGATGGTTGACCGCGTTACTTGGGAGCAAAAGATGGGTTGCCTGGTTTTTACACCGTCTGTGCATGATGAGGGAAAAGATGACGGAGACTCGGATTACGCGTACCTTTAAGCAGCGAAGATGACAAGACAGAAGCCGTCTCTGATTCAACTGTATTTCTAGCCTCTTTGTATCGAATCCATTTGTGCCCCACCTTGTCATGTGACTTGAAATTTATTTCCTGCTTTCTTCCTTCCAAACTGGCATCATATGCCCAAAAGCCAACACAACGCTTGGAAATGGAATTGACCACCACGTCAGCGGCTCACAACTCCCAGCGGTCCGGCGACGCATTCGTTTTGGTCGTCTGACCACCCACTTCTATGACGCCCCGTCGACATAAAAAGGGAGATTTGGAAAGCTATGCCATCTCTTCAAATGCGATTAACATTCGCGTTGATATCCTTCGCTGAGTCAGTCGTATGCCTGGCGCCGTCTGGGCCATGGGATGCTTTCAACTACGCACCAAACTCGAGGGTTGTTTACCCAGCCAGCATTCACTCAACCGTCGGCGCAGTGACTGGTGCGGATGCACTACTGGACAATACGGGTAGCGCAACTCTGAGTGGGAATGGGTCATGGTTGACACTGGACTTCGGGAAAGAGGTGAGTTTGCTCGATTATTTTTTCGATTTACGTCTAACAATGCATAGGTTGGCGGACTCATCTCCCTCAACTTTGACGCGGTCTCTTCCACCTCCTCTCTGGCGCTGTCATTCACGGAATCGCCGATGTTTATTCGTTCTTTCGCCTCAGACGACTCCTCTTTCCCTGACGCCTCCACCACTTATGATGCAGTTTTCCCGATCCCTGCCCCGCTTTCGACCGGACTTTGGACACAACCGGAATTTTCGCTGCGCGGTGGATTTCGATACTTGAGCATCGTGCTCACGGGAGCCCAACTCGCCATCTCCAACGTCTCTTGTGCCATATCTTTCATGCCACATGTCGACAACCTTCGAGCATATGCGGGTTATTTCTACGCGAAAGACCCGTTCTATCATGACCCAGACTTTTTGACAAAAGGCTAGTAAATCTTTTCTCTTACTCATGTTCACTCAAACGATCGCAGTTTGGATGGCTGGCGCCTACACAGTACAGACAAATACTGTGCCGTTAGACACTGGGAGGATGGTTCCCTTCGAGTCTGCTGGACGTGAGTACAGAAGAACTCACACGAACATCGAAGCTTATGTTGATTCAGACTGGGCCAATAATGCAACTCTGGGTGTTGCAGGACCTATCATCGTAGATGGTAAGTTGTTTGCGAACGTTTGAGTCAAATGAAAACAGCCATTTAGGCGCAAAGCGAGATCGGTGAGTGATTTCTCCTTGCAATACCGTCATAACTCAATTCGGTGATCCAGCGCAGTTTGGCCAGGTTTGTCCTTTGTTGTTTACTCTACACAAACTGAAATCTGCTCCACAGGAGACATGGGTATTGCCGTCCCAACACAATTCGTCTCGACAAACGATCTCATTCCGACTCGGAATGCGATTTCGACCATGTTTGCCCATATCAACCCTAAGACAGGCGCTCTGCCCGAATCGGGCCCGCCGCTTAGCCAGCTGAACAGCGACACGTACCATTGCTGGACGCTTATTGGAACCCGTAAGTACGCTGTTGACTTGTGCCTACTTGTAACTCACGGACGTCAGATAACTACTACCTTTACTCTGGCGATCGTGTATGGCTGCAGACTATCTGGACCAACTATACGAAAGCGGTCGCATTCCTCGAGGCCAAAGTAAATTCAACGAACGGGCTTATGAATGTCACGGGTTTGCGCGATTGGGCCCGGCAAGGCGGAGGTGGTTTCAATGCCGAAGGAAATGCGATCCTCTACCGCGTGCTGCTCACCAGTGCGGAGCTTGGAGAAGCCATGGCGCTGCCAGACCTGCGCGATGCGTGGCTTGCAAACGCTACCGCCCTGAAGACGGCATATAACCGTGCCTTTTGGGTCCCTTCGCTGGGGATGTATCGCGACAATATGACGACAACGTTGACACCCCAGGACGCAAATTCATTGGCGATACTTTTCAATTTGACGCAGACCAAAGAACAAGCAGCGTTGATCAGCACCGGATTAGAGAAGAACTGGAACGAGTTGGGTCCCGTCGCGCCGAAATTGCCCGATACAATTTCGCCATTCATATCCAGTTTTGAGGTAAGTTTCTTGTTTGTCTTCATCTGGGGGCAAAGCTAGCGGCAGCAGCTAATGGCAGTTGAGAGAACACAGAGAAATCTTGGTTCCAATAACACCTTTCAACTGCTGCTGCTGCTAGCATCGCCCCCAGTGAATTAATTCGTCATTTGCTCAAGCTTCAGATAGTTACAAGCACATTTTGTAGCCGGAAATGCAACAAGGGCAATGGATTTGTTGCATAGAGAATGGGGCTACATGCTCTCTACCAATCTTTCTGTTCAAAGTACCTTATTGGAAGGCTTCACCGCTAATGGCTCCCTTGGGTTTGTGTTTTCCCACCAGTTGATTGAGCTGACAGTCTATAGTTATCGTGCCAATGTTGGGTACAATCATGATGCTGCATACACCTCCCATGCGCATGGCTGGTCAACCGGTCCAACGTCCGCCTTGACCATTTATGTCCTTGGTCTCAGCGTCACAGGTGTCCAAGGCTCAACATGGCAAATTGCACCACAAACAGCAGGATTGCCGGGTGCTGAGGGAGGCTTTGAAACAAGTTTGGGCAGGTTCGACGCTGCTTGGACGACAACCGAAACCACTTTTGCGCTCACGGTCAATACGCCCACCGCAACTGAGGGGCTATTTCTGCTTCCAGTTGAGTTTGAAGGGTCATCGGTCAAGGTGGACGGGAAGAAGGTTGCGCTGGACGGGAGGAGTTTGGTGTTGAGCGGAGGTGAACATGGCATAGTCGCCACTGTCCGTCGATAGTTGTAAGCCGCCTTGCGTCCAAATCGTGACTCGATCAAGTACACGATCCTCGCGAATCGGTTCAACAGCTCAATAAAACCGACTGTTTCCAACATGAGATTGGATGCATTGAAGCATTGAGTACCCACTCACTTTGCCCGTTCATTCAAGAGTTGGGGACCTGGACACCGCCAACGCTAACCACAACGTTGATTGGAAAGGGCGAGATTTCGTTGGCATTTGTGATTGGTGGAACGATGTCCCTGGCTTCCTCCGAAGAGGCGTGAACCATCATTGTGTGGACAGCCTTGGTGAGTGTGGCTGACAAGGTCTCTTTGAGTTGTTCGCGTTCTACAAATCAATTCAGGGGTGTCAAGCGAGAACGGGCGACTGAACAAACCCCGGTCAGACTTGGGATGACGGATTTCAGCGTTGACGATCCTATTGGGATTCAGATGACCTGAAGAGCGATCGAGATGAAAACACACCATGTTTCCCAAGGGACCTCTTCGAAGACGTCGTAGACCTGGAACCAGCCCTTTTTCTGTTTCTTTTCGGAGAGTGTCAGGGTTATCTGGATCGGTTGAGTGCGGGAGGCTAGTGAAATTAATGCACGCACTTGTCCACGCTTGTTCGTTCCGCTGCCAATCGCACGCGTAAATGCATCAACCTTCTTCTCCACGAGAGCCTCGATCTCCTTGTCCTTCACACCAGGCATCGTAACCTCCAAAATATCGAAGATCTGAGGCTTGACGAGTCCAAAGAGTCGGTGGAAGAGAATTGCATGGAGAATCGCCCGAAGCACGTCTTGAGTGCTACTCCTGTCAAGGACCTTTGTCGGATTAAGGAGAGCAATAGAGGGAGGCCGCGCGATACACACACCAAGTCAATAGTTATTGTGGTGTGGCCAGCGTTCATGGTGGTCAGGAAGATAAATGCGAATTTGTGACAGTTTGATCAAATGCAGACTACAGAGGGACTAGCTAATACTGTTATCCCTTCAACCAGTTGCTTTTCGACACTGGCTCAATGGTAATGACGAATCTAACGCCGAACATTGAAACGACCACTGCGAGAAGCAAGGTATCCACAAACCTGAAGTCCTGAAATAATCTCAATGTCGTACTCCTCGCCTTTGATCAACTCTTTACGGCCGTAGCTTTTTATACGCGTCTTCTCCCACCTGTATCAAGATTTAGAAGCGCCGCTAAAGTGAAAAGAACAACGCACTGATCGGTTGTGGGCACTTCCTTCTCGAATATCCGATGGCCATGACTACGAACCTTCTCCCCGGGGAGAAGGTCCAGCGGTAGACCATGGAGGAAATGCGCAAAGTGGAACACCCCGAGGCGGCGAAGGTGGGCTTGGTCAGGCGGTGGGCGGACAACTGAGTACGCATCCATCAGCTTGAACAGAACAGTATACTCAAACAAACCCTAACAAACCTCGATGCATAGTCCCTTTGAGAACTCCGCCGCTCATGAAAGAAAGCTGGTCTCCTATGTTGATGACCAGCGCGCCATCTTTGTGCTTGACATAACGCCAGACGTTGTCTGGCATCAGGACTTGTAGCGCTGCGATAGGTTGCGAGACAAGGATGCTGACTGAGTTGAAATCCGTGTGTCCATTGAGCATGACACCGTTGGTGATGGTACTTTCGTCCTCCGTCAGCGGGTCGTATATCATATAGCGAAAGACCTGCAATAGTGAGTGATTGTCAATGAACAAGATGAACGAGGGGCAGTTACATCGGCTCCAGCCATTCCATCTTCAGTTTCGTGTAGAGTCCACAAATGACCGTTACTCAAACCCAGGACAGTATCAATGAGGGATAGAATTTTGCGCAAGACCTTCTGACGTGATTCCTTCTTGTTCATGAGTAACTGACACCAGACAGAGGTGATGGAAAATACCTCGATAAAAGCCTTGACCTCTTCGACATGGGGTTGCAGTGCTTTCGGGTGTTTTTCAACGGGGTCAATCCTAAGTCATTCAGTCTTCGAGCCTTCAATGTTCAACCACACACATACTGTCCCAAATAGAAATTGTAGTGCTCGATGCGATCACGCACGCCGTCCTTGATCTCCCACCACCTTTGGAGCTAAAAGAGATTGAGAGGCCGTTATGGCAAGTGAGAATGCCGCACTTTATACCCCATGAAAGACCCTTCTTCAGCAATTGGCGCACGATGTGCCTCCTTCTCCTCTATTGAGACGGCATCAAACGCGAGTTGTGCCAGGTCGAATTGGCGGTCAAGCTAACGACTAAGAGGACGAGGGAAGTGCGGAATTGCAAAAACACACGGTAGCTTGGTCGATACCATGCCCGACCACGTAGAAGAATCCGTCGCGTTGAAGGGCAGTCGATACTGTTTCCACAAGCTCGCTTTTGTCTATTGTGTCGTAGTTAGAGAGGTCCACAGTGAGAATGTCCGCCCAAGGGAGATCGTGCGTGGTATTAGGCGATTGCGGCTGCCACTTTGGAACGGTTATGGAGGCCATAGACGGAGGAGCAGCTCAAGCAGCGTATATATGGTCTATGAGGGGAATGAGAATTATAAAATAAACGCAATGAAGGCCTAAAAGCACACCATTTTGCTGGCAGGTGGGACTTCGCTCATCTTCATCTGGAGGCCTTCTTCTTTCTCGATGACGTTCTGGCGCATGACTGCTACAATCTGAGTATTCGACTACAGCTAAATGCAGAAGTGTAGGTGGTTTGTGGAGCGCGTTCAGCGCTCCAACCTGTTTACACTTGTTGTCATGTTTTTCCCATAAATGGGTCTTGGGCTCCACTCAATGGGGTCGGGTTGTTCTTGGGTTGTTCCCAGGCCAGCTTAAAATTTGGCAGGAGCCACAACAACAGTAAACAGGCTGGAGCGTCGAGTAGGCTCCACAAACCACCTACACTTCTGCATTTAGCTGTACTTGCCGCGTCAATCCCATCAGGACTAAAAAGTGCATTGGGCTCTTCTACTAGCTTTCCGGGTCGTTCATTTTCCGCGTCTCTCAGGCGATTTATGGAACAGCAAGCAAGGTGATTTCGACGCAAGATAACGGGCTGAAATCCGAATGGCAAAGAGAGAGACAAGAGAGATGACTGCATGTCACAGACGAAAATTCTTGCTTTGCACCTTCTCCAACCTGACAATTTTCTGCTCAATACGACCTCCCCACTTATCCTTGAATGCTAATTTTATCATCGTCGCCATATGGGTGCAATCCCAATTCACGTCGTCCGCCAAATCTCTTCTCACACCAGACAACGGAAACGACTACCAGAGTCTTGAAGATCAGAAACGCATGCGCTGTTTGGTCGGCATGAAAAGCTGCGCTGGCTGACGAGCTCTGCACACTGACGAAAGAGACGGACTGGAAAAATCCACGGTAGCGCAATGAACGTCCATTTCGGCGATATGCACCCGACTGTCGGCATGAAGCTATTTTTAAGGCTCTCGAAAGCCCCACTGACACGCGCTCACATGGACCGAATATAAAAAGGCACCTGTCGAAGAATTTTCGATAACGCGCGGCGATGTTTTCCCTCGTAATCGTCTGGGGGTTGCTCAAAGTCGTCAGAGCGGTCGCGGCTCCTGCGTCAGTTGCTCCAAGAACTCCTTCTTTGCTCAGCTCATTTGCAATTAGCGATCCATGCACAGCAGCCACAACAACAACATGGGTTCCAAGCAAAGTTGCTCATGCTTGCGAGTTGAATGTCCCATTCAACAAAGCACGCAGCGAAACCATCATGGACTCCGTGCTCAAGTCTCTGCAATACTATTCACTGGAGACATGGTTCCTCAACTCGCCAAATCCGCTCATCCCACATAATGTCAATGTTCGCGCCTTACTTGAAGGTGTACAGAAACAGACATCGACAGTGGGCTTCAAGACGGACTGGGACTTCAATATGGCCGTGCGCTTTCGGCTCCTCTCGTTTTCCGTTGTTGACATTGGCCGCATTAGGTTACTGATGCGTACAATCGAGAAGCAGATGGACACACCCTCTTTGTGGCAGACTGCACGGAAGCGTTCAGGCAAGGGCCCTCTAATCCTTCTCCTTCGCGTCGCTGATACACTTTTCCAGCTGGAACTTGCCATTTTCTATCGCAACTCTTGCCCAAAGTCCGTTTGATGCCGTCGCTGAACCTACATTCCTTGTCAACTACGACTTCCCCAACCAAGGTCGGACTGGGTTGGAAGCGTTTTACGAAAGTCTGGGTGTACATGTTCGCCCTTTGGACGGTTCCCGAATTCTCAAAATCAATGGCGTTGATGCGAAAACCTACCTGGTGGATTTGGCGACCACCTCAAATATCTTCAACGGTCTGGTTGGCTCCTTCGAAACAGTCAATCCAAGGTTCATGAGGCTTATGTCACGGTACTCGGCGGATACAATGGCTGGACTATTCACACAGGTATGTCTGGTTATTTTATGTGTTCAAAACAACTTCATAGCGTCACACAGGAAGTGGGTCGCTTTGGCCAGCGTGCATTCTATCCTGGCGCAGACGAAGTCACCATTCAGCTTCAACCACCAAAGGGGGTACCAGTGACCGTTACTATTCCATGGGCGGCAACATTCATTGGATTGGGCAACTCCACAGCATCTTTCATTGCAGAAACGTGTCTGCCCCCGACTGACGAGAATGCACGACGCAGAAGACTCGAGCGGAGACTGGAACTGAGCTCGATGAACGAGAAGAGAAAGGCTGTCATTTCTCCCGAGTCACAAGACAAGATGCGAAAACAAGCTTCTACTCAGCGTGTCCTGGCCAACCCCGTACAACCCACTCGTGAGCTCTTCTTCAGATTTGTGGTCTTTGCTCATTTTTGATCAGTCAAGTCATTTGGGCACTTCGTTACCCTGGATATATACCAGCTCGCAGAACATCCTAAGGTTGGAGTTGTTTACTTCGAGCAGTTTGAGCCCTCGGATGGAACCGGTGCCAACGACTACTTTAATGGTATCTCGGATACCCTATTCACCGGCTTAAGTGCCCTCAAGGCCGCAGGGGTCAAGCATATCCTGGTCGACAATTCAGGAAATCGTGGCGGTTTCATCTTCGCAGGTAAAATGTCCCCGGACAGCGAGTGTCGGCTAATTTCACTACAGGTGCCATCGCATTGTGGTCGCTATGGCCGAAAGATTTGTTCCCCGGCTTCCCTGCGGTCTTCCGAGAGTCTGACCTGATCAGGCGGCAGTCGGATGTTGCCGCTCAAACGGAAAACTTGAACTCGGAGTATTTGTTTGAGTTTTACCGCGACCTCGGTATACCCATCTGCCCTTTCCTGAATACCTGCTCTGACGCGTGTTGTAGAATACGTCCTCCTACAAAATAACTCCCAATTCATGGACCCCCCTGTCCCTCAGGTCGTAAATGGTGTTCGTGATGCTTTCTCAAAGCAGTTCCTCGATGACTTTGGCGACAACTCGTCCGGCGTGACCAACTTCACTGAGCCGCCATTTGAAGGCAAAGACTACGTTATGGTTGCCAACAGTATTTGCGCATCGACTTGCTCCGTCTTCAGCTCGTATATGTTCCAAAAGCATGGGGTCCGGTCGGCGGTATTCGGCGGTACACCCGACTCCTCCCTTTCGCAATTTGACGGGGGGGTGAAGGGCTCGGAAGTTACGGACTACGATAGCATCCTTTTTGAGCTCGAAACGCTTGGCTTGCAGGACGACCCAGCTGCCCCACAGCCGTTGCCCATCGAAGTTTCCTTCTCAATGAACTTCCGCAACGCAATTCCATTTATCGACAAACAGGATGGGATTCTGGAATACGTGTTTGAGCCGGACACGAAAAAGTTCCAGTTTACGTTTGACCAGTTCAATCGCCCTCAAAAAGTTTGGGAGTTTGTGGCGGAACAATTTTGGGGTCAGGAATAATATTTTGCTGGACTGGGCTTTTGTGGATTATATGTAGCAATAAATTTAGAGGGAAAATGTGGTACTCACTCCTTCTGTCACACATATCACGTGGACACCATCACGCTCAAACTTTGAACTTCTCCTCGAATTGCTCAATGTAAAGCTCCATCTTGCAAGTCTGTGCCTCATGAATGCATGGGCCTATATACGACAGCTTCTATATACACAAAACAGTGTGCGGGTTTCCTTCCCCCTTCATGTCGTACGGGATCCATGACCGTTACCATAGCTAGTAACCAGTATCAGAGACCTGAAGTTGAAGGAGTGGTGAGTATGGGCTGTTTTGAGAGCGGAATTCAGACTGACCATCGTTGCTGCTTGCATAGCCGCTCGGTTCTCTCTATCGCCCGCCGTGGCCGCCATGCCGCTGCTGACACCGCCACGATATCCCCGATTCACAGTGTGTTGAGCTGACTTATGACCGACACCCCGAACGACGCTTCATCCCGACGATTCACTGCTATAGCATTCCGCGGTGACATACCGCTTCCGGTGCCAGCGGACTGCATCGGGGGCTTATGAAACGAGCCTCTATCTCCGGATCGGTCCCAACCTTGAGCCCAAACTCATGGGAGGGTCCCGGACGGACTGGTTACATGCGCGGCCATACCCTTGCCCCGCAACAAACAAGCAAGTGGGGTGGGACGTGTGGTGGTGGTGGTGAGGATCCACCGTTAATCTCGTTTAAGCTTGGTTAATTCAGTATGGGTCACCGAGACTCGAAACGAGCTGGCATGCTGTGAACTGCGTACGTGTGCGCGTCTGCATACATATAAACCGAATCGCTGTTATTGTCTTGTACTTCAAGCGCGGAAAAACAAGCTGTTTGTGTGGCCATGGCCCCACAACGCCGTTTCTTGTTCTGCTTTGACCATCATTGTTCACTTTCTTCCCTCATCTCTGGCCTGTTCAAGATGAACTTACCTGCAGAAATACCCAAACCGAAACCTCTCCAGACAGAAAAAGTACCTTCTGCCATGCAGCTCGGCGTCTGGCACGTCCACTACCTCGACGAGTCATGGGAGGCGTGGTGGCACAAAATCACAACATCACTACAGACGCTCCAGCATCTTACTATAGACCTCTACACTCTTTCTCCCATTATATTTCCCCTCCTTTGCATTGCTATCTTCCTCAAACAGACGAAATTCGTCCTCATGTGGTTCATCTTCAACAGGATTCTCTTCTGGGTACGTGAGACAGTCTCTAGCAGTGCTTGACATTAAATAAGTGGTCAACAGATTGAAATTGGCCTGGTGCAGGGTGAACTGGCTATGAGTACCATCATCTTTCATGTACTCGGTCGAGCAACCTTGGTCGGAACCTACGCTGCTCTTGACCATTGGATGTACGTTCCAACCCTTTGTGAGCCGCATTACAAAACTGATTGGACTCAACTTCAGTGCTCAAGCGGAAGACATTGTCTCGACACGTTTGATTAACCACTTCGATGCAATGGTTTTCAAATGCACGATTTCTTCTTGTTGCGCGTTTTACTTGACTGACCATTTCTTCTTTTTCTCCAGGGAAGGCAAGAGCCGACGTCCGCACGTTTCAAAGTGAGTCTTTGCTGAATCAGGACCACGAAGCTATCCCGGGCTGAAATATCTTTCCAGAAAATTCGATGGACGCCGACTTGTCTGGCGCCGATGTTTGGTGGGCTTATCACCACATCCTCGAGGGATGTGGCCGCATAGTCTCGATCGTTGTCCAGATATATTGCTCTACAGCTCATTTCTCCTCGATCCCGGAGGCCATTTTTTATACCGCAATTTTCTTCGCCAAGTCCCTCGTCGACATTCTGTTGAAGCCCTCACTAGACAAGAAATGTAGATATCTTTTTTGTTGTCCGTTTTCGTGACTGACGTGCACCAGCATGGGTTGCCACATCAACGAACAGCGATTATAACCGACTTCATGGGCTGCGGGCGCTCGTGTCTAGCCTTGGACTGAAACAAGATATCGTCACTAATGGGTTGTCGGGGTACCTTGAACGGGGTTTGTGGACTTTCTGCTCTTCTTGCAGAATATTAATACCTTTCAAGAATATCGCGAGACATCTATGCGCCTTCGGAACACTTCCATAAAGCACCCAACTACGCAATATATGAAGCAAGGAGGTGTTTCGACGTCGATCGTTTCAGAGCTTTTTGGCGAACTACATCTGGTTCGTCCTGGCTTACTCTGCTTCCATTCAACCTCACCGCCATGATAGTTCTATTTCTTCTTCTCTGCCTTGCGAAGTCCTTCTCAATTTTCGCTCACCAAGCTGATCATGCTTGAGGACGGTGGCGAGACGATTTCATGTCAATCCCGAGAGTTGCTCGCAAACTTCGCATTCGCTCAGAAGGAGCTGGGCAGTGTCAGAAGGATGTATGAACTGGCGGCGAAGCCAGAGGTCCTGGTCGACGGAGATGTGGACTATTCGTCTGCAGCTTCTCCGCTGGGTATGGGTCTGGCTATGCGGTATGTGGAACAAGAGGAGGGTTTGTGGCTGATCTAATGAGCTTTTAGCAATGTTTCATTCTCATATAACAGTGACCCAGAAGACTATGCGCTCCGCAATGTTTCTTTTACCATTCAACCCGGCCAACTCGTCCTCATCGTCGGAGCGAATGGGAGTGGTAAATCCACGCTGGTCAAGCTGCTTACCCGGATGTATGATCCTACGAGTGGGAGTGTCGTCGTGGACGGAAAGGATATCAAGGACTTGAAGAAAGACGGGCTTTACCAAGCGACGGCACTGTTACCTCAAGACGCGCACTTGTACAACGGAATGTCTCTGGCAGAGAATATCGGCATCGGAGATCCTCGCCCAGAAATCGTGGCAGATCGAGAAAGAATACAGGCGGCTGCCCGAAAAGGCGGGGCGGAATTCATTGAATCGAAATACAATGAAGTATTGGAGCCTACTGCGCCAGAACTCTGGGACTGCAAGTGCGAGGACTCTTACAAGTGCTCCGTATGCAAGCTTTATTATGGCTACGCCAAGTCGAAATCTCTGTCTGGTACGCTGCAAAGCTTTTTTTCCTTCCGCGTTATTCTGACTTTCTTCTAGGCGGGGAACTTCAAAGACTTGCTGCGTAGGATTTTTCTTTGTCACGGCCAAAGAGTGCAAACTGAATGCCTAGACAGCTCTCGAACGTTTATGCGTATGGCGAGTGGCAACATCAAGCTTGTTGTTGCAGATGAACCTAGCGCAAGCCTCGACCCGGAAGCAGAAATGAAGTTATTTGATGCCCTTACGAGCGAACGCTGCGGGAAGACCATGGTATTTGTCACGCATCGATTCGGACATACGAAGCACGCTGATCTTATCTTGTGAGTGTTTTCGTTGTGTCCAAGTCGTGTCTGAGCCTGGTCGTACTTAGATGTATGAAAGGGGGCCAGTTGGCCGAGAAAGGCACACACGAAGAGTTGGTGGCGCTGGATGGGGAGTACGCCAAGATGTATCGCACTCAAGGGGATGCCTTTAGTTGACTCCAAGACACTGTTGCTTAATGGTGAATCACATGCAATTGCAAGGGTCTTGCTTGTCGCGATGAAGCTTTGTGATAAGATGAGAGATTAGATACTATTTAAGTCTGGACTCTGTGGTTCAGAGTTGGAAAGGAACCTACAAGCTTACTAATTTAAATTTATGACATGACTTATGAGCTAAGTGTTAAAGTAAAGTAAGTATCCCCGACTCTGGAACAGAGTAGGGTTCTGTCAACTGGTTGACTTTCCATAAGCTCAGATTGTACTTTCGGCCAGACGAGCGGTGCCAGTGGCAGATGACGGCACAAATTTGGTTAAATCTTTAATCCTTTTGTGAGTTCCCAGAAGCCACTAGAGCTCAGATAAATGCAACCTTCAGAGTATAATGTGATGCCTCTGCCTAGTTTTTGGCGCATCGACCCTTGTCCACTATAGCATGACATAGCCAAAAAATGTCAAGCCACTGGAGTATCGATATACACAGAAATGATCCGAACTTTCACGAACCGGACCGACAGATGGCCGGCCCCAAACGAGGGGCCGCCAAGGGAATGTGGCGGACTATGCAGCTTTGAACAAGCTCAGAAAGTCTGGAGGGGGGGTAGGGACCCCCCCTCCAGATATAAGCTCTGGTGCAACAGAAACCAGATTATAAGTGAGGTAACAAGCTGATGGGGTCCTGACAGCTGTCCGGCATCTGCTCAGCTTATCGTTTAGAAAGCTCAAATCTGAAGTCTGGTGTAAGGGCAACCTTGCGAGGCTCGAAATCAGAGTCCTGAGCAGAGGGGGAATCCTTAGTGAAACTACTACAACAGGGACGCTACAGACTCACCTGAGCAGAGAGGGAATTGAACAAGCCAAGGAGCCCTCTGCTCAGGTGCACTACTATATACTAGTGACCGAAGTAATGATAGAGTGACTGCATAGTGACGAACGACGCATGGGAGAAGTCAGGTGTCGCTAATGGACCCTAGGTGAGTGTCGAGTAGCCCTCGAAGCTCCGGAGAGGCAGGTTTGGGACCATGATGTCAAGGGAAGAGCCCAGGCATCCTAAGAAGGCCCAGGAAGGGCTTCGGGGGGTCCAGACTGCCTCTGGGCATCTCCGCTTGTGACCGTGACCGTGAAAACCGGAATCGGAATCGATTCCGGGTGTGTGACCGTGACGTGACGGCCAGAAACGGAGAGGGGGGGGCATGGAGCGGAGAGGGAAGGAGTCGGTCTAGCCCAAGGGGAGTGTCGGAGAGGACCAATGGGAATGGCGGCCAGCCATGACCACTGGAGGGTAGCGACAGGAGGGTAACTCGGAGACGTCCGGGACTCAGAGACGTCCCCGGACGTCTCCAGAGAGGTGGAGGTGTGAGGGCGTGCAGCCTGGGGCGCTGCAGTAGGCACGAGCCTTAACGGCAGTAGGCCTCACCCAAAGGAAGACCCGATGACGGGGGCCGTGGTGGTGGAGTGGGGGGCGGAGCCATGGCGGGGCTTAGCCATCCGAACGTAAGCCCGAACATTGACGTAGGTTGGGGACACCCAAGAGGTCCAACGGGTAGAGGTTGCAGGGAGACCTCGATGAGCCGACAGCCCAGAGAGGCTATAAGGCCATAGGCTCGAGGTCTCAGAGGAAAGTGGTGCGTCCATATCCGGAGAGGTCTCCGATGGCATTAGTGATCCCTGATGGTGACTCCGGAGACTCCCAGAAAGGGGTGGCCATGGGAGTCAGAGGTTGGGGACCACTGTCAGGGGAACCCCCACTTCGGCCTCCTTCGGACCCTCCGAACGCATCCGAGGCGCATCCGACCGGCACCCCTCGGACGCTCCGACCCACCCCGACCATCGTCCATGGCCTCCTTCGCCCGCACAATCACCGATCCGTCAAGACCCTCCCAACGATCACCTTGGGACAGAGCCTGCGACGCCGGTCAGGCCTTCTGCGCCCTACGTCGGCAGTTACGGACGACCAGTATATAGTTGGCGCCCTAGCAGGCGGACCCTTAGAGTTTCTTCTCTTTGGATCCTCCCCTGCTAGGTCGGTCCCTCCGTGTATTTCCCGTAGCTTTTATTCACGCTTTGGATCCTCCCCTGCTAGGCTTTCATCGGAGTCTCCAGGGTTGCCCTTACAACCACTGGATGCAGGATGTGGTGGGAGAAGTAGAGGAGGAGTGTCAGGGTGCAGGAATACAGAGACTTGGGTAGAGACACGGAGATGCGAGTGGAGACGCGGAGACGTGAGCAGAGATGCGGCGCTTGATGGGATCAAGTGACGGCATCAGGGTTTCCCCTGACATCTGGCCTTATCCCCGACTCTGTGAAACAGAGAAGGGTTCTGTCAGTTGATAATAATGATCGGTCCGCCAACCTCATTTAAGATTTTGATCCCGATATATTTCCGTTGAGAAATTCTTCTGATTGCTAGAAATTCCATCATCGATTGTGTAGGGACCTCTCGTTCAAACTTCAACCCTATTCAACCGATGGAGGCATGTACCGTATTACAAACAAACAAACCAACCTCAACGAACTGGCCCCAGCAAGGGCCCTAGCCTACCAAAAAGCGGCCCCGCGGAGGGTTTCCGGAGATGCCGTGCCCTTTCCTTAGGCCTATTACTCTGCACCAGTCTGAGAGAAGAAATGGATATGAGTTCATTGTTTACATACTAGTGTTGTTAAGTGCCGTGCAAGAACCGAAAGGAAGTAATGGAAAATCCGAAGCAGAACCGAGTGGCTATCACAACACTATATCGGAGTGAGCGACTACACGTCTTGCAGGCCGAAAGCAAGTCTGAACAAATACGTGAACTCCTGCGGATACGTTCGGAGAAACCAAAGGCGATAAGGCTTACAACGCGGGGAGGAGTCGGACGAGAGCGGAGAGCGAGGCAAGAAACGTTAATAACGAAACTGAAGTACAGGAGTGTAGAGTATGAGTATTTATACCAAGTGGTAAGCATAAGGCATATGACCTTGCAGGGAGATCCGATATGGTCCGCAGGATCTCCCTGCGGGTTAAGTACAAAGGCATAGTAAGTAAGGGGAACGAGAAGACATACACGAGGCAAAGGAAACAAGGCGAACGCCTAAAGGATATAAGTAAACAAACGCAAGTCCAAATGGGTAAAGATCCGAGTTGATGGTCGGAGGGTCTGAACAGGTCCGAGAGAGTCTGCGTGCAGATTAACTGTTTGAAGGGAAACGCTCAGATACCTTCATCGCTAGGGTGCTGTGAGTTGAAGGTGTTTCGAAACCCGTTTTGAAACGGTTTCAAAACACCTGTGAGTTTTGAAATCTTCCCGAGCTTGACCCGGTTTCGAAACCGGCAATGGTCCGGCACGTGATCCTCCCGGGATTCCCGGACGTGCCAGCAATGACTGGTTGGGGCTAGCAACGGCCGGAACCATAGCCGACGGCATCATATTCTTGGCACCAATTCGCTTGCTGGGGAGTCACCGGGGCCGGTAGTCTCCTTGCCAAGCTCCTAGCGACCGTCAGGGCCTCCGGCTACCGTCAGTCCGGTCCGGCCCTTGACAGCCGGCCGGTTTCGAAACAGTTTCGAAACGGGGGTGTTTCGAAACCGGTTTCGAAACACCTGTGAGTAATTCTCTGGGAATTACTCACAGCACCCTATTCATCGCGTAAAAACCCTATTGCGCTCCAAGGATAACCTCGGAGCGTCCGAAGATGCACGGGATATAACAAGTGTCCTTTGTACTTGAATCTGACAATTTGCTTCTGTGTATTGCGTTCAGAGTCGGGGACCGCCGCTTGCCGGGCGCTAAAGATAGAAAGTCAGCCACTGATAAGCTTGATCGTCCCGCCAACTTGCAGATCTTCCCATATCACCCCATCAGTGCCATTTGATCCCACTGTTTCCTTATATGTCCAGCACCGTCACGATTATAATCGACTAATCACAATTGTGATCTACTAAATCTCACGATCTACCAAGAATGCCGTTAGGTTAGATCTCATCGTCGATGACAGTTATGGTCATGATCTGCCATAATCTGAGAATCTGTAAACACTGCCGTTAGTTTCAATCTCATCATCAACGTCGGGGAACATCGAATAAATGTAAAAATATAATGGCATTCTACAAACATAAAGCAGCATAAAATTCCATTTTATGTTTTGTCATGCATCAGCATAGAATGCCATTGCATGGTTTTCTAACGCAGTTTGGCATTTATGTTCTTGTATTCATAAAATTCCATCACATGTTTTTGTAACACATCAGTCCAGAATGCCATTTTATGTTCTTGTAATGCAGTAGCATAAAATGCCATTGCATGTTTTTGTAATGCAGTATTTTATGCTGCTGCCCACCTGTAGTTCCCACATATCCTTTCTAATATGAATTGACGGTATACCTGACTGTCAATTCATATTAGAAGGAAAGTATCAAAAATCCCCTGTGCTGCAATAAATGCTGGAAGAAAACTGCAATAATTTCTAGATATATGACCAAAAAACTTCTAAGTCAGCGGCTGCTACATATGCTGCAGTAAATCTCTAACATTTAACAAAGTATGTAAGTTAGTTCTATCTGATCGTAGGCTACTTAAAAAGGAATATAAATGAAGTCCTAAAATGTCAGCATCTGTTCAGGCCAATACCTACCAGGTTCGTACACTCTGCTACATAGTGTGACATGAGGTCACAGGGTGACATACTTCCCAAAAAGGAAATTTCCGCAGTGGAACAGCAGAATGATCAGAGAATGTCACAGATCGTCACAAAAATCAAAGTTGTACATTTTGACTATAGAAACAACTTTCATTAAGTGACCTGTAGTCACAGCTCAATAAATGTGTCAGCACTGGCTAATCATTTGCTGATGTACCCCTGATGTAGTCATATCTCAGTAAGTAGATAACTTACATAGATGATTTCAGCACTACAAAGGGTACCTGTATGATAAGAATAATGCCCTTGACAATACAATGTTATTAAAATATATATATCATCTCATGATTATTCATCACACACATTGATGCAGTAATATCTCC